CGCAAGCGCTGCGCGCAGAGTTGAGCGCCTGGATGTTTTCGCCAAAATCATTTTCCCGCCCGGCGTTGTTTTCAAAAATTTCGCGGAAAAACCCACAAGTAACACGACTCACGTGACAACGTGTATTACGCGCCGCGTGTGTCTCATTTCCACCCGACGCAGGGGCGGCTGCTCGCTCTTACGAACGCTTTATTTTTTCCTGTTATATAATAATACAGGTCGGCAGCAGGCGGGTCTGTTAGGGTTTGCCGGGGGTAGCCGGGAATCGTCGAGCTGGCGGTGGCGGTGGAGGCGGCAGTGGGGATACACGCGACGCTATTGGCGGCGGCGCCATGGCAACGCACCTACGTTTCGCAGCCGGCAAAAACAAAACTGCGGCACTTGATCCCAGATGAAAGCGCTCCCCACGTAATATCCCCCTCTTTTAATCTGGCTCGTTTTTGCCCGTTTGTTTTATGGCCATTTTTCACCGACGTGATGGCGTTTTTTCGCCGAGGAGAGAGCACCGGCGGCAGCGACGGCGGCGGGTTGGTCGTCGTGCACAGAACCGTTCTCGGCGTCTTCCCCGACAGCGGCGCTGGAGAATAGGGTTGCGAGAGAGCTCGGCGTCAGCGACGTCGGTGGTGGTGGTGGTGGTGTGCAGAGACGAGAGTTGCCTACAAATGTGCGCTCGCTCTCCCTCGCACCGAAAATTGGTAACACCGCCGCCGCCGTTGCGCGGCGCGAAGGGTTCGTCGAGTTAGGTTGGGTCGGTTTGGTTCGTTTCGTTCGCTCTCGCCTCGCTACTCACCGCAGCAGCGCGGCAATATCTATATATTTTTGGGGCCGTTTTGAACTTTGTTCCCTCTCGCCAGAGAGAGGAAATTAATGGAGAAAATAGCTTTGAGCGAGGGAAAATTTTAAACTTTCCTTCGGAAGCGCACCAAACCAAGCCCAACGCGGCGAACTCTCCTCTTGCTCGCTCCACTTCCACCATAATTCGAATCCGTTGTCTCGAGGGGCTTTTGATAAGTTATTATTATTATAACACAAAATATTCACGTGATAGAATGTTGGTCTTGATGGTACAACTCTTTAAACATGCAGCATGAAGCTCGATGTCGAACGGTTCATTCGCGAAAGATTTCTCTATCTGTGCGGCGCTCTAGCGTAGTAAAAATCACATGTCACATGTGACGCGTCGCCCATGCGCATTTTCTTAGCAAGTGAGCGCCACACTGCGACTCCTAGTACCTACTTTCCGTACTCGCGCTCGTACAAGACGGGGGGCCGTGGCCCATTCAGAAAAATTGTGGATGATACGTGCGCGCGGAGGAGCTGGTCTTCTCCGCGCGTCATATGCATGTTACATGTAAGCTAGTTACGTGAACAGCACGCGCGCGTATTGAAAGTAAGCGGATGAAATTTCGCCACCGCCAACGCACGCCCACCCATGCCGTGGGTGTTTCAGCGAGTGCTGGCTGGTGCGGTGGCGGTGGCGTATCAACCCCGTTTTCTGCCTGGATTATATCCTGCAGCGTGGGCTACACACGCGAACTTTTTACGCACACCGAAGAAGCGAGGAAGTTTTTCACGTTGTTTTTCATCGCCGGGTTTTTTTCCTTCGTTCGCAAACGTTCTTTTCTTTCCACGTTTTCGAGGAGGATGAATCTTCTATGAGTCAAAATACAAAAATACCAATGTGTCATTCTATGCAGTGCTGTGTTTATTTGCTAACGAACGATGGTGTAAAATTAAACATACATTCGAATTATTTTGTTACAAATTAATTTTATTTAATATCAAAGCGATGGATTAAAGAAAATTTACCACGTGTGTAATTTATTCAGCAAAGCAACGGAGTTCATTACACAAACAATTGTATGATTATTTTGCACGATAAATAGATCTCTATCTAAAATATAGTTTTATTATTTTAACTTTTTCATCTTTTGCAAAAGTAAATTTAATAGTATACATAATTTAATCGTCAATTTCTTTTGAATATTAAGTTACATACCAATTAAATAATATTTAACGAAAACAAATCTAGAATTACCAATTATTTTGCAAATTATCGTATTTACCAGTTTATTTACCCAAAACAATACATCAGCTGATTGAAACGCTAACGAATGCTTATCTATACCATCGGAAGGCACGCGCAACGTAATCGTCAATGTCAATGCGTCTGCACACACATAGAGACAATGTCAGACGCAAAATTCGTTTACATCGAATTACGGCTCGAGCCGCTCGAACACAATGAGCCTATATTTATACACACCGGACGGACTTGTGTGTGTGAGTGCGCGTACACACATTTTTTACGATTATGATTATTATGTAGTGGAGTCGAGTTAATGAGTCGTAGTAAATATCATTTATGCGAGTGATTTCATTTGTGTGTACGTTAGCGTAGGTCAGGAGCGCCGCACGGTCTACGTCGGTTATTTATTTATTGTAATTCGGCGACGCATTACATGAATGGAAACATTTTTCGCATAAATAAACATAAAATTATTATTGCGCCGGCATCCAGGCCACACACAAACACAATATATATTTGTGTGTGTGTTACGTTAAGTTTTGTCTGTAGTAATATGTCAGAAAGTAAAATACTACGTACGTGTACGTCTCCTCCGTATGGAAGTTGTGAACTTGTGAACGAATCGACATTATGCAATAGGCAATAACTCATTAAGTTGTAAAAGAATACAATCGAATGTCATTATACTCGATACACTACCTGTTCACAGGTATAGTGTGTCAATTAGTTTCATTGGTTGTGTTTGTTTTCATTCCGTTTCGTTTATGGAACTAATCTCGCGCGCTTTTTTATTTAATTAATTAACACTTGGCGAAATTTATCGTAGGAATGCGCAATAATTAATTATCTTGTAACTGGCAGGTAGTAAAATTAATAAATACGATTTACTATCAACTATAAATAAAGTTATTGTAATTGTAAGAAGTACAAGTCAACGTAAACACGAGTGTTTAAAAAATATAACTTGTATATATATAAAATGAAATTTGGTGAATTTGTGCTGCGTATTCGTTATTGTGAGCGCAAATGGGGAGAGAAAAACGACGAAAACATTTTGACGGTCCCTGCATGATTTACCGATATAGCGGGCGCTTTACGAATATACCGACCGGCGTTCGGCTGCTCTCTGGCAACAAACCGTCGTTGTTCCTCTATATGGGGTACCTTTTTCAACCCTCGTGTATGCGCTCGAGTTCGGGCGGTGCGAGTTGGTGTGAGTGCGCGTGTTCGAAGTGGTAGCGCTCGGCTTGCACGCCAGCCCGCCTGCCAGCCGGGGCTCTCTATCCCCTCGCGCCGTCGCTCGAAGGGGCTGCACCCCTAACAACACCCGACCGCCGCTCCGCTCATGCTATAGAAAATAGCGTCTGTGAGGCAGGGGCGCCGCTCGGCGTGCACGCCAAGCGTACGGTTCGTTTTTCTTCTATTCGTTTCGCCTCTATACCTTCTGCGCGCCCGCTCGTTTTACTCGACGTCGTTTTCGGGGCCCCAAATGTTAATCCCTTGCCTGAGAGACTATTTTAGTTCGGCTAGCGGTGAAGAGGAGCTCGGCGTGCTCACGCGCTTGAGTCATATTTCGGAGAAGGTACATCCGAAAGCAGGGCCCCTATTTTGAAAACTAAATAACGTTTCGCCGAGAGCTGCACCCCCAGCTCTTAGATAATACGTCCTGAATTACTTTTTTTTTTGCGCCCACCAAATGTTATTGGAATTGCGTTGGAAATTAGAAAATTTGGGGACGCAAAGAGATGGAAAATTAGAGCACAAACTTGAATGACCTTCGATAACTTTATGAATTAATTATTCGATAACAGGTTGTACATGAACTTTTTTTGCGCCGATTTTTTGCCTGCAAATTTCGGAAGCGCAATAAAATAGTTTTTCCATTGACTTTTCAACTGAAACGGGCATTATATGACGTGCATAATTCGAAATCGTTCGGATCTTTAATGGTACCGGCTGTTGTCCGCATTCTGTGTGTACCTGGACGTTTTCTCATTTCGACGTACCGGACGGGCACCGGGTGAGGATTAAAAATACCAATGTTTAGGGCTTCAGGTATATCCTCACCGAAACTTGCGACCCATGTCGTATACAAAAGTGCACATTCGGTGACGATCAGGTAAAAAGGACTCGGGATCCTATATGATGAGTACGATACGAAGGTTGCCTGCGCACCGCAATGAAACGGATGGTGCCTGACGCGGAATAACATTTGGTATTTTTCGATTTCGACGCCGTACCCAAATGCACCCTAAAACGTGCGGGCTCGTCCCATAGATCGATTTATCGATAAGTATCAAAAACGTGGATTTTTTAAAATTTCAAATCCTTGCAAATCATTTCAAGGCAAAGGACAAAAATTTTATTTTAATAATTTTTCGTAACTTTAAAAATATATATTGTTGGTGGATACTGTGACACTAAATTTGAATGCCGAAATGCCGTCACGCGAGTACACGATTGTTGGCCGGGCTGCCAGGTTGGTTGTGGTTCTGTGGAGCATGATAACCTTGAATAGTTTCTTAGGCAGAGTGAGCGGCCTTGTGGACACACTGCTGCATCTAGCAGAAATACTTCTACACATAGTAGAAAGCTGACCATTATATAAACATCTAGCAGGCGTACAGGCGCGAGCCGCGATTACTTATTTAACGCGAAGCCTACTTTGAGGCGAGCAGGCAAGCGAGCAGCCAGCCTGTAGCAGCGTTTTCTAGAGCTGGAGCTTTCTACGTTGTTGTTCCTTGACGTTGTCGTTGAGTGGTGTTGTTGCGCGGTGACTGCGCGCTCGCCGCGCTGTCGACTGCAAATCGTGAATACGAATACGAAATGTACCTACAACTTCGCGCTCGCGACTAGCACACATGCGTATTTATGTTTTTTTTTTCTTTCGTCGATGTTGAAAGCATTGTATATGTTGTACTTTGAATGTATATGCGATGCAATTCTGACGTATTGCGTTTTGTCTTTCTAGAATTGTGCCATGATGGGTCTACAAGCGACCACAGGAAAACGTAAGCTCGAAGCCGCCACCGCACCAGGAGAATCGTCGCCAGCGAAGAACGGTCGCTGGGAAGCGGAAGATTGTATAGCGCGTCTGCAAGCCGTTGCCGTACCAAGTGATGCATGGAAAGCAGCAACTTTGCTATCTGAAGATTTCGAAGACGATGAGGACTTTGAGGATGATTTGTCCGATGATGATCGGTGCGGGCCTAGTGTGCCCGAACCGGCGCGATTCACCCAGCTGCAGCACCACCACCATCCGCAGCATATCCAGCCGCAACCCCCAACGCCGTACCCAGCCGCCAACCGCTACCAATCGGCGGCCGATTACTGGCAGTACTACCAACCGCCGCAGCAGCAAACGATACGATGCGAGGAGAATGGCAAGTCGTACTTGGAGCTGGGGGCGGCGCCGCCGGTACGAACGCGATGCTGTGATGGCCGAACGCGATGGTGCCACGTGCCGTGCTACCGACAGCGGCGGCTGGCCGTCCTGAACCTGTCTATGTGCAAGCTGGCGCGATACCGGCAATGCTCCGATCCATCGCTACGACGGAGTGTACTCATCTGCAACACGCTGCGGCGGCTCGAGCGAGAGATGGAGTCGGAACCACCGGAGCCCAGCTACCCGCCCACGATGCCGGAGATTGCACCACCTAGCCGTCTCAACGCGGTGCCGGAGCCGACGTACGAGAACAGCCTGCGGGAGATGACTGCCAGCTCGGGGCGCGCCACCCCTTTCCCCCAGACACCCACGGTCGACACCGACTCGGGCATCGGCGACGACGACGCGACGCGCCCCATCAACTGGGGCTCAGTGCTTAGTTTAACGTCGCAGACGGACCTGGAGTCGCTGAACAATAATGAACTGTACGCGGAGCTCGGCTTAACTAGTGACTTTGAGTGGAACAAAGAATCGGGCGGCAGCTCGTCGCGCGCCGAAAACGAATGGGACGGTTTTATGCATGTGCTCGTCAGCAGCTCGTAGCATAGCTACTCGTACTAAGATATGCATTCGCATACTGTATAATTATAGCATCCACATAGCAGACTGAAGGAGACATCCAGACGCGTGCATCTCGTTCGTCTCTGTGATGCAGGCGATTGCGCATACAGTGTGCCACAGTGCTACCCCATCGCTCAGGTTGTGATTAGCTAAAGACATTTAGTGCAGTACAGGAATTGTGCAGCTGTATTAAGATTAATGATTGATATTGTTGACTATTTTTTATTTTTATAAAGTTTTTACCTAGCGATCGGTCTTTGTATGAGGTGATAGTGAGGCGGGAGAGTGGCGGTATCGCGGCGGGCGGCGGTTTGATACGAAACGATTTAATGGCGAAATTGCGCCTGCGATACCGATACCGAGAGAGTACTTACGATAGCGGCACCGATGGGTTCGTACGCGATTACACGTCCCGGCGCAGCAAGCAGAAAAACCAGAACAACTTAAACAAATATATCTTAATCTAAATCCGAGAAAGAACTAAAACAATTAAGCGAATTCGTTGACAGTTTATGATCTCCATCGCTCAATAAGCGCTCAAACTGAAGCATGAGTTTTATTGATATTATGGTTAATTACTAGTACTTGAATTAATAATATTTATGATTATTAATTTGGTGTTACTCGACCCGTTTTGGGCATTCCTCTTGTACATTATACAAAATACGATGTGTATATTCTTGTACATATTTGCAACAAAGAAATGAGAGAAATTGATGAATTGATAGTGTACATATGTACATAAGAGTTTCTAATTAGGTTAAAACAACAAAATATGTATATAATTAATTCATATATACGAGTAAAAATATATTATATAAAATTATATATGTTACATACGCATATATATTTTAAATTGTGTGACTTTAACAAAGTTGGCAATATCTTAAGGTGTAACTGAAAAATTTTAAAGAAACGAATCGGAGAAAGAAGGAAGAACGCGCGCAAACACAATTTATGCATCCCGGTAAAACGCAAACAAATGACATACTCACACCTACAACACACACACACACACACCAGCGAGACATTCAAGGCAAGAAAAAGCAAACGATAGTAGTGTACATGCTAAATTTACTGGATTATTTGAAAGTGTTAAAGAAAAACAAAACGCGTCCCTGTCGACTAAAAATATCAACACGTTTTCATTCATCTAGTTATATACTACACTACATACTCTCACGCTTTACGATATCGTATCTAACGATGCACGAAATGTTCATTGATGAATCTTGATCAACCGCGCAAATTAATTTTCACGGAGCGCACGCCGCTAGTAAAAATATCGCGTTGCGAAGGTTTGGGTTTATGATTATAACGATCGAACCGGCGTGCATTGCCATCCACCGCATGTTTTGGAAATGCGTTTCTACCTGGAGCAGCCACCGTTTCCAAAACATTCGGTGGTCGTCGATGCTACGAATTTATTCGATATCAAAACTATCGATTACTCAATTTTAAAATAATACTCATTGATGTCAATTATCGCACGATTTAATAGCTAGCGACATGCTACGGAAATCTAAATAATTCAGTTGCGCTCGACGCGCTTTGAAAGTGAAATTTTCCTCAGTCATGCTCGGTCAAAATTCATCAAATTGTCGCATAGTAACGTGGTGAATTCAGTTAGATACGATATTTCTTAGTATGTTATTAGCGCTCATTCTCAAAATCATTTATTATTTATTACACCATTCGCGTGTTGAATTCAAGTTCACAGGGATGCGGCGTATCTAGTCCAACAAAACGGCCGTTTAATTTTTGCTAAGAAGTATACTGAGCCAGTATTAATGCGATCATTTAAACATAGAACAGAATACGCGCGAAGCAAACACGATCGTTCGTACCGTCCTTTAAGAAATACATAAAATGCAAACACTTCTTTCAGTCAAGAAAACTCGTGAATGTGGCTGATTTTCACATATTAAACATATATTAAATTAAATAATAGATTATAATATATATTGAAATTTTATTATCTCACACAGATGCATTTAAATTAATGAATACCTTAACATCTTCTCTGTTCTTATTATTTGCATTAGTTTGACAAAACGTACTAATTCTCTTCGCGCATAAATCAATCGATCAAAGAAAATACGAATGAATCGCTGACGAATAAAAGAATTACATTAGTTATAACTGAAATAAATACGAGGGCACAATTAAATACTGTTACTACTGAAATAACTGAATAACTAAAGATAACTTAATTGAAAATGTAAAAATATGTTGTACTACTTCATATACCAATAACTTTAATTCGTTGGAATTGCAATTTTATTACTATTATCATACGATTTTATGAATAGATGAATGAAAATGTACCCCACAATAAAACAACAGACAGACCTAAACCAGACGATGCGTCGAAGGAATGAAAATAATAAGAAACACATAGAAAGTAAACGAAAACAATGTTTTGAAACCATAAGGCAATCAATATTATACAGTTTTTAAAAGAGACAAATTATGAACAAATTTTAAGTAACAAACTAACGCGTAATCTAAGACGATGAAATTCCAAAAATGAAACCATTTTGATGAGAGGTATAAGTTAAACAAATGAATGCTGTGTTTTATTCTAAAATATAAATATATACTATGTGCACAGATAAAAGATAAAAATAATAGATTTAATATTTTGATAAGATTGCAATAATAAGACAAAAACTTACAAAAAAAAATACAAACACAATTTGACGAAGAGAGCGGTGAAGTTTAAGACGACACAAAAATATTATGTTCATGGCGCGTTTGTTCTGGATTTCTTTAGTTTTCGATTTTTACCGGGAACCGAGATGACTTTACATCATCAAATGAGCCACACATCTCAATGAGACAATGAAAATGTACAAACTTACTAATTTAATACATATTTAAAAGTTTTAAATGACGGGAGGCACGCTGAATAGCAGAATTTAGTGCTGGGCGAATATTTTGTGCAGAGATTGATGCAAACAACGACAACTAAATTAAATGATAACTAAATTAAATCATGGAAACTTAAAGTAATACGTTATGCAATTATCCTATTATTGTGAATATTCTTGGTTGATTTTCTAATGAACCACTTAAATAATTGATAAGCAAGAGGAGGACGATTGGACGAGTAACAGACAAAAAACAAGCAAAGCGAACAAAGTAAATTTATATGCTCGGTAAAAATCGAATTGATTTTGTTAACGTACGGGGAGAGCACAAACCAAGGCGTTGAAGCGAACGGCATTTGAGATATGGAAAAGCCAATATGCCACAACTTGTATGAGATGAATTTCATATAAATTAAATAATACTTGTACTCAACGTACTCGTACCACATCGAGGTGATGTCAATAAGATGAAAACATTACGTACAACACTAATTGTGTGCAAGTAAAATGTGATATCATGTAATATGTTAGTGTTAAAAATAAATCGGTATATATGCATATTACTTATCGTTGTCTCTTTTAACTTATTCGCAAAAATTCTATCCTTCCCTCCCTCTTTTATTTTTTCAGGAGAAAAATAGGGGTAAATCTATGAATGACATTCTTCAAGTTGTTATTCGTAGTAACATAATGATAGAGCACACTAACTGGACTTTGATTAAAACCGTTAGCGTGAAAATCTAAGGACAGAAATTAAAACTTCATGCTTAATCTCGACCCAATACAATTTCACGTAGGTGGTGAGTCGTATTCATAAATTGCTAAGCCTGCTCATAAGCATAGAGTGCGTTTTCAATAACGTCTGCAATGTGTGTACTGTGATACTAGATAATTAAAGTTTTAACGAGATTCGTCAATATCTTTCGTTCTTTCGTGTTTGCACTCATGCCACAGTATATTTCGTTTATATTACTTGCGATAAAACTGAATCAAATTCAAACTATTTTATAAATATCGCTTATTTAACAGCGAGAAATTAAATGCAGTGGTCAAGTGAATATTTATGAACGCTTTCTGCTTACTATGAATTCGCTTTATCAATCAACATCACTGTTTTAAGCGTCGTCAATTTGTGTTTTATTATCATCCCGAACCATTCTGATAAATGTAACTAGCTGCTTTTGAATTCTTAAATTACCCAAAAAGTTTAAGTACAATTCGCACTTTATGTAAGTTTATAGCATTTTACATTATATTGATTATGTTGATAAATGAGAGCGAAAAAAACGGCAATTTTTTATCTTAATAGGAAAAAGTTAAATCGATACATTTAAATTTTGGTCACTATTTTTCGGCTTTTCAGTATGAGCAGAAACTTGGCAAAATCAAAACAGCACGCTTGCCAAGCAAACCGATTCAAAATATTGTGTAGAATTTATACGGCTGCTATAAATGTGCTGCCAGCCAACTCAAACGCAACGAAACGGGAACCAGAAATAACAAAAATAGCCTCATGTTAACACAATGCTGCCATCTAGGTTCTATACTTACATTTATGTGCATAAACATAACCTGTGGTGTTTCACGTGCATGTTTTTGAACTTCACGCAGCCAACGCGAGATTTTATTGTTAGTGGATGTTTATAAATGTTAAAATGAAGGGTAAATTTAAAGGAAAACAACGTGGGAAACAGTCGGGTAACAAGGGTGGCAATAGAGGTAATAAGGGTAATAAGAAACAGAAGTTTAAACCTCAAAGAAAAACCTACAGTCTGCACAACTCAAAAAATGACGGCGGTTTCAGTAAGAAACGAAAGTTTGGTGATAACAAAGAGAAAGATTATGAAACAAAACGTCCTAGGAATGACGAGATTGAAAAACCTGAAGAAAAGGTAGTTTCAGAAAGTTCCAGTGAGGAAGAGGTTGATGATATGCAACAATTGTTGGGAACATTTAAAGGTGTTAAACCTAGGACAGCAATTGACAGCAGTTCAGAGGAATCAGAAGAAGAAGGTAATCTGCTTATTATGTTTTTTATTCTTACTAATTATTAAATGTTTGAACAGATGAAATTGAAAGCAATGAACAACTAAAAGATATAGATCAAGAAGAGGAAGAAGATTCTGATGTCTCTAATATGGCTTCTGATTCAGAACATGATGATTTAAGTGACTTAACTGATGAGCAACAGGAGGAATTAAGTGAACTTGAGCAGAATGTAAAAGAGGGACATGAAAGTGCAGAAAAAGCAGATGAAGGTAATGATTCTATTGGTGTATTTGTATCATATTAACTATACAACTACTGTTTATATTTAGATGTTGATGATGATGAGGAGATTGAAATACAATTACTTGAAGACCATTCAACTGAAACTAAAATTGAAATGCAGAATGATCCATTTGTCAAACATTGTTTGTTTGATATTAACGAATCACTACTAAATTCTGTTCAGAATGTTCCACCACTCCTTGATAACACAAAAGCAACATGGTCTGAGTTAGGTACACTACTCATTCAAATACCAAAGTGTATTGAAACTATTGAAATAGACAATGAAAACTTAATCCAAATAGAAGAAAAGAAGGTGTTTGCTTCAGGAGCAAAAGTTCCTGTGAAAATTAGTCAATCCAAAAGTACTTTACAAGATTTATTTATTAAACCACAAATATTGAAAAATATTCAGAAAGCCAACACGACTATGCATTCTACTACCTCTGATAGTGAATTGCCATTAACACAATTACAAACAGAAGTATTTTCCATTTTGAACAATTATCAGGATTTATATTTTCCTCAGCGCACATTTGAGAACGGGGAAGAACTCCGCTTTGTTTATTGTCTTCATGCAATGAATCATGTGATAAAAACTAGATTAAAAGTTATCAATCACAATTCACGTTTAACGAACAAAGATGATGTTTCTGAAGAATTTAGAGATCAAGGATTAGTTAGACCTAAGGTAAACATTTATTTACTTTGTCGTTTGACGCAGTAATAATGTTTTTAATTTTCAGGTTTTAATTATCTTACCATTCAGAGATGCAGCATACAAAGTAATCAATATGTTGATTGATATTTTATTCGACGAAGATAAAGGCAACGTAATGAACAAAAATCGATTTGTTGATGAATTTACGGGGTCTGAGTTAATAATGCCGAAGAAAAATCCAAAGCCCGAAGATTACGAGTTGCTGTTTTGTGGGAATTCAAATGATGACTTCAAAATAGGCATCACAATAACGAAAAAGTCCATGAAGGTAGGTGCTCACTTTTTTTGTGGTTTTCACATGATGCGTTATTTAGTTTTGCAATATGTAATTTTTACAGCTCTATGCAGATTTCTATTCTTCTGATATAATCATTGCATCGCCTTTGGGCTTGCGCCCAATAATTGGTGCAGAAGGCGAACCAGAAAGAGACTATGACTTTTTAGCCTCGATAGAACTTTTAATTTTAGACCAAACTGAAATATTCCTAATGCAAAATTGGGATCACTTGCTGCACATTTTTAAACACTTACACATGCAACCGAAGGAATCTCATGGTACCGATTTTGCTCGAGTTCGTACTTGGAGTTTAAATGGATGGGCAAAATACTATCGTCAAACAATTTTGCTCTCTTCCTTGCAAGTGCCAGAAATTAATTCAATTTTTAATAAACAATGCTGCAACTATGCCGGCAAAGTAAAGGTTGTGAATCCGATTGCGTTTGGATCAATCCGTCAAGTTTTTGTGCAAGTCCCGCATGTTTATCACAAGTTCAACGCGACAAATAGCGCTGAAGCAATTGATGCACGATTTGATTTTTTCATTAACAAGATATTGCCACAACAGAAAGACACGTCCATGAAACATACGCTCATTTACGTAGCGAATTATTTTGATTATGTTCGATTGAGGAACTATTTTAAGAAAGAGGATATAGGTTTTGTACAAATCTGTGAATATTCCAAGGATAACAAAATTGCAAGGGCCCGGGATATGTTCTTCCATGGCGACGCACATTTTCTACTATATACAGAGCGTTATCATTTTTTCAATCGTAAACGGATAAAGGGAATTCGACAGTTGATCTTCTACCAACCGCCATATTTTCCACATTTTTACTATGAAATGTGCAACTTGATGCAAGTAGGTTAACGAAACGATGTGGTGAAGTGAATCATTTTCGATAATATAAAAACATGTTTTGTTTCAATAGGAGGCGAACATGAATAAAAAGCTTGGAAGCGTGTCGAACATGACCGTCAACGTAATTTATTCAAAGTACGACATTCAACAGTTGTCTGCGATCGTCGGCACTGAAAGAGCAATCAAAATGGTACAGTCTGACAGGAGCGTGCACATGTTGTTAACAGACTGATTGTCGCACAACAGAATTTCACACAATGAATCAAACGTATTCCGCACGACATGCTCTGGTATTTTATTAATTTATTTGCAAAGGCTACAAAAACAAATCGGACATTGGAAATACGGCAATAATTTCATATTGGTTAGTTATTGTTTGTTTTTCTTGTTAGGTCTTTGTAATTCATGGTAATTTGTAAGTGTTACATATTGTCTTGATGTGAATCTTGACCGGATTCACGACTGATACGAATATCAGACTCATCTGATGGGCATGTGGGAGAGATACGTTAGGTGTGTATGCGAGTTGTTTTGTAAATTATTGAATAGTTAACAGATACATAAATGTATGTATGTTTACAATTAAACATTGTTATAATAATTTTTCTAGGATTATCTTATTATTTGAATATAGTATTTCCTAATAATGGATCGTTACAATGTAGTAATAGTGATTCTATTTAGTTTTTTTTGTTTTTCTCAATTTTAGTTCAATTTTCTAGCGAAGCGAGAAAAATAACGTCATTCATCCTAAAACAAACATTGAGTAACATTTAAATAGATAATTTCTTCAATTAGTTCACTTTCCATTCTTGATTGATAACTCTCTAACCGTAACTTTTTAAAAGTCGGTTTCCACACAGCCTCGAATTGCGTTCAACGTACCGCATCTTGCAAAATTAATTATGTTGGTGATATAATACAATAAATTGATTTTCAAAATATAAAACGTTTATCTATGTGGACTTTTTCTTTTGGTTATCATATAATAAATTGATAGAATCTATATTAAAGTTCTGGCCAATCTCTTTTGCTTTACTGCCATTCGGAACATTTTAATTATCTTCTCCATATTTTTTCGCAGGTAATTTTGGAATGCAATTTTAGTGGACATATGCTTCCGCAAGTTATTCATTCATCACAAAATTTTCATTAAACATTTCAATAAACATAAGTTTCTGTTTTAATAGTTTCTAAGTTATATCATGTCATATGCGCTCCATAAAATGTTGAAATACACCTAGAACTAAACATTTGTTTAAAGAAAATAGGTTCAGTTGAACTAAATATCTGAGTTTTTGCTTTTTAAATATTTCCTAAGTGCCACATAGAAGTCAGTTCAGTGTAAATTGTGTTTATTTAACAAACGAAAATGATTTCCAAAATATTCCAACTGGAATCTTCAGTAATATAATGCAATTCGTGCCACTGATGATTCTGAACCGTCTGAACTGACCTTATAAAATACATTGATTGTGATTGATTATTGAATAGTATTCTTTGTCTTTATCATTACTTCTTGACTATCAGTCTAACGAAATATTGACTTTCTGAAAAATCAAACCGCCAATTCTTATAGCAATAATCGTATATCATATCTCATGAGTTAAACACACATCAACTGAATTTCAACATAACAACAAACATGGCTTACAGTTATGTTAATATTAAGTTACAATGCAATCTAACTTTAAAGGAAACCAAGTGGTCTCTTGGCTTACGCTTAGATTCTCGAGGATCTTCCTTTGTACAGGTGCAGTTGATGTTCATTGAAATGTGTTTGATGTTGGCATATGTTGTTGATTGTATCACGGACGCAAAGAATTGACGATTATTAGCGCGAGGATTAAATTTGGACCAATTAACACTTGCGTCGTGATTTACTATGTATGTTATTTGATCGATGAACGAATGTCATCTACATTTGTTAGTGGCACCCTGCATTTATACAATGCCTTTTGTATGCATTTAGTTTGTTCAGTCGAAATTATAATTGCTGGTAACCACGAACCGGTTGATACTAGTCCATGATGTTACTCAGAATGAGCTTCTTAAACATGGGACTGCGCTTTGTGAGCTCTGGTAGTTGCGAATAGCTGATATTCATGGGCCAGTCACCTTCGTTAAGAGTTTCTTCAATAATTGGCTCTGGTGTTGATGGTGAAGGCGCCTCTGTTTTTGCTTCTACGACTGGAATCGCCGTTGGTTCATACGGCACGTCGACCAAAACATTTTCTAAAAACAACATATAAGATTGTTAAATGTGGTGTTCAAGGATGCATATAAACAATTATAGGCATAAACAAAATTTGATTGTTGTGGAAAGAAATTACCTCCGTTACTACACAAACCATTCGAGTGTTGAGCTTCATAACTCTGTCTGGACTTGGATACGTCCTTCTGATTACCGTTCCAGAGGAACACATAGTAGAGGGATAGCATGATGGCCGCTAAGGATACGAAGAAGACGTACGCGACAACCGTGAGCACGCGCACCAATTTTTTCTTATGCTTTGGCTCATACAACCGATCCTTGGACTCTTCGCCCGCTAATTTAACGCCGGCTGTTTTCACCCATTGCTCGTCACCGGTGTTCAGCTTAATGCTGTTATTCATCGCTATCTTCGTGGACATGCTTCACACTCGCGAGGCTTACGCTTTTCAACGCTTCGGATTAATCAACTGTCGATTGACGCCCCGCGCCAAAATCCGCACACATTCGCTATACGCGCGCTGGTGGAACTTTTTAATGCGGCGTTAAAAAGTGTTTCTATTCTGGTCGCGGCGTGTTGTGCTTGAAAGCGTTCGCGTTTTTGCGATCAATCGAACTGTACGGCACCCGGCTCTCGGTAAAGGAAACGCGATTGTTTACACAGACGCTATGATCAACAACTTTGCACCTTGCACACTCTATTGCATTGTTTTATTTTGAAATTTTGCACGGCGAAGGTGAACCGCGTAAAGGGGTCGGCTCGGCGTGGTGAGTTTCTAGGGCTTTTACGTTTGCTGGGTGAAATTCGGGACACCCTTGTTGTGATTTTCCCTTGTTTTTCACGAATCAATATTTTCCCGAGTTGTGTGCGTGTGGTGTGCGCGCACTGCGCACTCGCGGCTTCACGCTCGCCAATTTCCCAAATCGCTTCACATTCAATTCCCCTGGCGGACTACCTACTGAAGGCAATTTTCATCCTTTCCACTTAATTCTAATTAAGGCTGTCTGTCTTCATATGATGATAGTTACGCAATAACGCAATTCTGTTACAAAACTCTTCCGAGAAATAATTGTATCAGCTGAATAAATTTTGTTATTGGCAGATATTTATTATTATGTATTTTTGTGGTGATACGAAAACATAAGAAAAGTTATCTCTCTCACTTGACTCTCACTTTATTAGTGTACAGTGTAATTAATTGGTCCTTAGTTATTCTCAAGGGTTCTTTAAAATCTTGACAATGAAAACTAGAAAAATCTTAAGACTTTTACACTCAGATATTGGATTTTATGATTTGTGAATCACAAATAATGCATATACGATATACGAAATATTTTCACCTTATAAATATTTGTTGATGTTTGATTTGCTTATAAAATTTTCCATGAAAACGTAATAGCGCGGGAGAAGTAAACGGAATATTTAAGAAAATAAACCAGATCAAGTCGTAAATCCGCTTTTGCGTTATTAAGGCTTCGTTGTGACCTAATCTCGGTACTCAATATTGAAAAATTTTGTTTATTGACTGAATTAGAATGTGCATTTTAAGTTACGTGTTCTTTTATTACGAAACTTTAGATTTTGTTTAGTTAATATTTCTTTTTAAAATAAAATCTTTTAATTCTGTATAATTTAGTACCACAAACCTTGACTCTTTTGAACCCGAATACCGGATGATACTATATGCGTTCAGATAAATATTTGGAACGAATTTAAAATCGAACGTTTTCAATGTTGCAATAACATGAAAAAGTGTTTGCTAGAATTCATGGATTCATGACATTGACATACACCCACAAAGCAAATATTTACGCACCTTCTGTGTTTTCGTCGAATTTGTTTGCTACTGCTAAATTCTCAAAAGTATGACCCCGCATGAGCAATTCCTTCGACTCGGTGGTGGTCATTCTGCTGGTTCCACTTGTTGACAGAGTGTAGGCGGCTGGCGGGGGCGTCTGTTGTTGGTGTTGCGCCAGCGGATGGTTATGGGGGCTATGGGAAGGATCTTTGCGTGCCAATGTTGGATGGCCGTCCCACATGAATACATAGTAAATCGATAACAAAATTGCCGCCATCGACACGCTCAATGCGTATGCAATTACCGTTAATACTCTTATAATTTTATGCTTCGTCTTATTCGTTTCAATTAGGTCATCGTCGTTACCGACTGCTTGCTCGCTCGAGTCACCTTCTTCTGACATTTTCGCCAAGGGTTGTTCAAGCAACGGTTTGTGTTAGAATATTTCCGGGATGGTAATAATTCTAGTAGAAATTTATCTTAAATAACTGAAATCAAATAAACTTAATTGTCTTAAAAGGAAATACACTATTTAAGCGAGTTTTGCTCCTGCGCAAAGTAGTAACAAACTCACATACAGATTTTCATTGGAACTAAAAATAATTAGGTAACACTTATTATTCATGTCTTTGAAGCAGACAAAAATAAACTAAATAATTTTCTATGATTTTAAAAGTATTATTTGCTTACTTTTTATTTACGAGCGGTGAATATTTTTCACATTTTCAACTCACATTCCACCACAATGTTGTATGTACGCGCCGCGATAATGACTGTCTACAACGCGCGAAGGACGGAAAGACAATAGAAAACTTTTCTAAGCTTTCCTCGCGCGGACGGCGTCGCACAAACAAATATGAAATACGAGATGAGCGTGTCCATGCTGCGCGTACTTTCAGCCGGCGTCGCGTATTAAATTCGCAGTGCATGCGCGAAATAAAAAAATAGAGAAGCCGACGCACCGTGTGCATGTTGTATGTATGTGTACATAGTGCATATGCCCCGTGCCAGACGTGCTGAAAACGTTTATGATATGAAAAGCGTCAGCCCCTTATCCGACTGTTTGGAGATATTCTTTGAACTGTGCGAAGTGCTTTCCCAGTTTATTTCAATCCAATATAAACAATTTTATTGCTCTGGCATTGGAAACCGCGAAATATGTTCCACACTTTAATCCTCAATTTGTCCTACGGCTTTGATTGGAAATATTAAATTTGAGTGCGTGCTAACAGATTTTGATTGATTTTGTACTTTAATTTAAAATTTTAATAATCTTTTTTTGAAACTACTCCTATAAACCCTACCCTTTTTGTTTCTATGATGCTAATATTAATTGAATTTATAATATACACAATTTAACGAAAAATGTTTTTTCCGCACTTTATCATTCAGGTATACCAAAGAGTTTTGAAATAAATAATAATTACAGGGTTGTTTACAATTTTCAGCTGCATCTGTTACAAAAAATCTTTGGTAGATGGCAGTACCATGATTACATTACATTATTTTGGCGATGTTTGTACAGTACAATGCACATTTTAACACCGTTCAAGGTTGCGGCGCAGACTGCGCGCTGCACGCGGATTTCCAATCAGCACAGGCTGCAAGCGCCATCGGCGCACACCACTTCATTCGAGTCTAGTTGATCGTCCATCGTTGTCTTTCGCGCTCCTGTCGAATCGCCACTATGTTTCTTGTGAATTTCATATGGTTAATCGCGCTACTGCAAGCTTCTTTTTAGTTGGTATTTGTTATTGATCTGAATTCCGAGCATGTTTATTCGCTTCTTTCGTACTAGAATTATTGATTCATCTCAACGCGCTTATCGATGTTTGTGTTGTGAACTCTCCGCTCGCCAATACCCTGTTACATTTGATCCAACATCGACGACTTCGTGTGGCATGATTTCTACCTCGCCATTGTTCTACTGGTACGTTTAAAATTCTGCACATTTTAAAATTTAATCTGGAACATCCTCACTATGGGAAGTGATTCTTTAGATGTAGGGTGACTGCACCAGTAACAAACCGATTAAGCGATATTTTGAAAGTAATTTTGATATTGTGACTCAAAATTGTTGTAAAATTATTGCAAAAAAAGTATTACATCCTCCTGGTCTACCATAGAATCATATAGCTTATTCAAATTTTAATAGCTGTTAGGTTTCTTTTTATTTAACAATCAATGTGGAAAGTCGCAATGTGCCTAAGGTTGACCAGACTGTACCAGCAGTAGACCAGACGTTGAGCCAATTGTGAACCACTTTTTTTATGTAATAATCATCACTACTTTTCATCAGTCTACGAGTTTCAAGTAATACTTAAATACTATAACGCTCATAATGTTGTTATCAAATTTAAGAACTAGATAATTAACAAGAAATTCATATCACTTACACAAGTGTCATAAATATAACATAAAATATTTATCAATTAACATGAATTAAAGAATATAAATTAAATCAAAATAAAATTCTTCATATTTAGATAGCGTATAGTGGGATCAATAATAATAATATCTTTTTCATATCTTAAATTTCCAATTCTTTTTTAGTTTTTGAGATATACCCAATCAAAGAAATCGCGATGTCAGAAGATGCGGAATTCGGGTTGTATTTAGTTGTTGCAGGAATTCTTGAGCAACCCACGAAAATTTGGATAAAACTGTGATTTTTCAGTGTTTTTCTGTGGAATGTTTGAATTTTTTCGGGTTTGCACGCGATCTAGGCGACTTAGTAATTTCAGCGTGGTGTCAGAAGATGCGAAATTAAATTTTTCGTCGGCTTGTATTTATTTGCTGTAGGAATTCTTGATGCAACTCGCAAAAATGTGCATAAAACTGTGATTTTTCATTGTTTTTCCGTGAAATGTTTGAACTTTTTTCGGGTTTGCACACGATCTAGACAGCTTAGTAATTTATGCGTAGCGGCAAGAGATGCGGAATTAAATTTTCCATCGGGTTGTATTTATTTGTTGCAGGAATTCTTCTTGCAACCCGCGAAAGTTCGCATAAAACTGTGATTTTTCATTGCTTTTCCGTGGATTGTTTGAATTTTTTCGGGTTTGCGCGGGATCTAGGCGCCTTAGTAATTTCAGCGCGGTGTCAGAAGATGCGAAATTAAATTCTCCGTCGGGTTGAATTTATTTGTTGCAAGAATTCTTGTTGCAACCCGCGAAAATTTGCATAAAACTGTGATTTTTATTCTTTTTCCGTGGAATGTTTGTATTTTTTCGGTTTTACACGTGATTCACCTGCCGAGTTACTGTTTTTTACACTCACACATACACACACGCGCATGCACGTAATGAAGAGCGGCCTGTTAGCGCGTATATATGAAAACGAAACCACTTAACACTACCTGATATGTTAATTGTTTATTGTACAAAAAAATTAAATGATATGAATCATTTATTAAATACTTGTTTGTTTCGTGCAATATCAACCTTGTTGCATATTGGATAAATGTGTTTTGAATCTTTTTAAGTTGATAAATATTTTCAAAGTTTAGGTGGCGCTACGATGTACAGTTTTGCATTAAATATTGCTTGTTGGTGGTAGTGAGTGACGGTGTGCACTCCGTGTGGATCACTCGATTTCGCGCAAGAGATAAGTTTGTTTACCTACAGGTATCGAATCTTTATTTTGTATACATCGTAAATAAGCAAATATTCTTCAATTCTTCATGAATATATTTTTTACTTTCTTTGGCGAATACGTAATCCATTATGAAGATGCCCTCTGGGCGAAACATGTCAACTCAAAATAAAATTGTAAATCCAATATTCACGAAAAATTATAAATAAATAAATATTTCAAATTTATGAATATAATTAACAATTTTATATTATGTAATTCTAATAGTTTATTATAAAAATCATCAAGAATGCAAAACATTTTTATTATCAGCAGATGATTACGGACTAATGTGTTACCTGGTGAACGAGAATTGATGCATGTTTAAATTAAATATAATTTAAATATTTAATGTAAAATCTGACAATCCGTCAGCATAAGAAATCAGAATTACTCAAATCGAATTTTAATTTTTATATTACCTTTACTAATCTAAATTTTGAAAATACTGTATAATTTAAAAATTGTACAATAAACATGTATTGTTTATTTCTATATTTATCAGCATGCGTGAACCTTCGACACAAGAATTGTGTTTGTTTGAACACAATATCGCATTCTTATCGCATTGCCGTGTGTCGTCGTTGCCAGCACCTCACGCCGCATGTTGCTGCATTTTAGTTTAGTTTTGATCCCAGGTAAAGTGCCAAATGCAATTCGCGCACATGGTTGCATGTTATCGACGCGCCGGCTTTGCGCACTTCTTGCTTTCTTATTATAATCTTCCTCGTCGTTGCTTATGCAGTTTGTGGCCGGTTTCGTGCCGGTCTCTGGTTGATTCAGACGTATTTTGTGCGACTCGTATTGTTTATTCGGACTTCTACTTTCCAATTCGTATTATATTCGATCATCAATCGACTATTTAATTTTAACTTGACTTTAGTAACATTAGTACAGTTATTTATTATTTGCGCGTAAGTGTATCGCGGCCATGTTGATTTATTCATCATTTGGATGACCTATCGTCAGGGGCGTAGCTACCGCCGTATTTGCCGTATCAATTATACGGGGCCCCCGGGCTACGGGGGCCCCCAAAGTGTGTAAGGAAAAACCTTTACCTCCATATAAGGGCCTCCAAAAACATTTTTATACGGGGCCCCGACAAGGCACGCTACGCCGCTGCCTATCGTGCTGGTGTAAGTGATTTACTAAACAGTGTGAATATAATATTACTTATGTTTTCTTTTTTATTTACAGTATTTGCCGTGCCTTGGAGTCTGATGAATTCTACATTGGTAAGTCTATAATTCAATTAGGGTAAAGTACCCAATCATTGGCACTCTAAGAGAGAACTGCACGTCAGTCTGGAATTATATTGTCATAAAATCCCATTTACATTAGTTAATAAACAAAACATGTGACAAAATCAAAGAAAATACTTTAATCTTTGTTTTTTATAACAGTTTATAAGTGATTGAATAATAATAAATAAACATATGCTCAAAATCCAAAAGACTGCAGAAAATCCTATTATTGGCATAGAAAATCTCAATATTGGCCCCTACTCGTCTAATTATTGGCATGTAGTTCAAGTAGGAGATATGTAGGTACCTATCTATCAATAAAGTTGAAAATACTTACTTAACGTATAATTAAAGCAATATTTTATTAATTAAATATCTGCCTTTATTTACATAAGTAATCTATCTTATAGTAGGTATTTAAAATGTGCATAAAAATATTTTGTAATTCAATTTTTATGCCTAACATAAACACTTTTTCTTATTCAAGCTACTAGTTTCACTTTATCAGTACTTAAATGGCTATCCTTGAGATCTTTTAACATTTATGCTTAACCACCAACAAAATATTAATGAGTCGGATTATGAACCAACTTAAAAACAAATACTCAACATCCCTATTTTATACCCTACCTAGTTCGCAGTGTTCTAGAACCAAAAGTAACATTAAGTTAATTTCTGTTATTGTTAACTTTTTGTTAGTTCTAATATGACTATCATGATCATGATCTAAATGAATAAAAAACAATATTAGCACTCAATATTCTATTATGGGCACTACTGCCAATAATTAGCTTTTAGTTATTGGCACGGGTGCCAAGAATAGGATTTTGATAAATTCTTGATCCATATGTTGGCACATGTAATAAATCAATGTGATAAAAGATATATTCAGGAAATAATCTTTGAATCTATTGCCTAAACGTGTAATTAAGCATATCAAATTAATTCAAAAGTATCTATTAGCCGAATAGCTGCGATATACAATGATTAAAAAAGGTCTCACCTTAAGAAAAAAACAAAATAACTACACCAAATCACAAACACAAAATATCCACTGTTGTATCTAAATCGCCATATTAGTTATTGGAACAGTGTAGTCAAATTTGAACAGAAAACATATACTATTGTACAATTTAATGCATATCAAACTTGAATTATCTATGGTTTCCTTGTTTTTTCGAATTAAAACATAAAGTGCCAATAATTGGAGGAGTGCCAACGATTGGGTGTTTTACCCTATATATTTAGTTTTATTTTCTGCGTCGATCATTACTTTCCATTCACGTGTTTTTTTTTTGTCGCGGTCCACTGTCTTCTACGAAAGCGTTAGCATTAGATATATTTTTTTTGTTATTGGGAGTAACGCCTTACAATTTTGGTGCGCGGGGTCCAAATATGCAGTATTAAATTTTCAATCCGGTTGTATTTAATTGTTGCAAGAAATGCGCTTATACGATCCCATTTATGATTTAATATTGGAAACAAACTTGTAAAACCCAGCTTTAAATTTGAACATCACGCCTCATATAAGTTAGATTTATTGCATTTGTGAACAACACTGTAATATTTATTTAAATTTTACATGATAGAAACATGATGTAGTATCCCCCTTTACTCATTTTTCCTTAATAATTATTATTTTATATTTCCAATTTAGCAAGCTTATCTTATAGGGCATTATCTGTAGATTAAGAATATGCTATTCGTTCCTTTCTATCTCTTTTAGTTTGCGAGATATTTGCAATCGAAAAAAATCGCCAAAATTGAAAAAATGCAATTTTTAGCTTTTTTAGTCGTTTAGTCGTTTTTCGATCTTTTACTTTACGAAATTAAATTATTTTAAATTCTTATCTGAAAGAGAATTTTCCAATATTCCGTAATCAACAATTTTCTGGTTGCTATCTCTTTTAGTTTCAAAGATATTCGTTATTGAAAATCGTCGATAAAAATTATCAAGAACTCCTTGCCAATTTTTTCTTATGAATTAAAATTTCATCTCTAAAATTTCCAAATTACCTGTCTTATTTTATATGGAATTTCTCGTAAATTAAGAATTTGTATTTCGGTCTTGTCCGAATAAGAGCAGTACGTTTATAATATAAAATTTGTTCAATACATTAGACTGTATCAACAACCTAAATTGTTCATAGTTCTCACTCTTGACTCCATCACTCATTTGGTCTTTACGTACAAACAACTTGTTTTTATCACGTTGCAGCGCGTCCGATGTGCTCAACAGTGTTAGTTTCACTTCTTAGTTAGTCGATCGTTTGCTGCCGCGTGGTGAGCGCGCGCTAGATGCCGGGCGGTTTTCGTGGCGACTTATCGCGTTTCTTGTGATTTTAAATCGGTAGTTGAATTAGAATTGGTCAGCAAAGATAGGATTTAGAATTATCATACGAGTGCGGCGTGCAGTTAATTATTTATCGCGCGTGGAATCCAGAATTGTGGGGTTTTACAATGTACGCACGTGTTTGCTGTCGGCCGTCTAATATCTACCGTCGGCTAAAAATTCCTAGTGGATATGTTTTGTGTATTCATTTAATTGTTAATTTGATAAACATCATTTACATTGTGAGTGCCTCTTGTGGATTATTTTACCTGCTAAGGCGTTAGAATATGTGTAACGTAAATACTAGATTCTATTAACATTTGACGATTGAAACAGCAAATGTAGATTCATCTCTAGATAAGGAAAAGCGATCAGTCAAATAACTAAACACTCTGAAAATAAGTAGAAATAGTTGTCACATTGCCGCATATAACCCGTGTTTAATACGAGTACAAGTATTGCAATATTATCGCGTTCCGTCAGCTGTGTATTCACTCCGTTAGATTCCGTTTTTTTTGTACCTGATTGCTGCTTTTGTATCTTCATTCGGCATCTAATCGGCTTTACGTGTTTGCTAATTTGAATGTGCAAGAAATATTACCATAATATTGCTTTAAAAGATGTCAAATAAAATTATAATTATTAGTACATGTATTATTTATTATGTTTTCTCCCCACACATATCTCTTCTAGATATCCAGGAGGAAACAAACACTTGTATTTTTGATTTTCTTTTTGTATAACCTTGTATATAAATTTGCATAGCGGGAGAGGAATTTTATACGATACGGTCTTGCCGCCCCCCCAAAATCACACTGAAAGTGCCTTAAAATCTCTTTGATACTTTGACGATTTTCATGAGTTTTCAAAACACGCGGTGGAAATTTGGCTGTATCTCGAGAACCGTTCGTACGATTTTAATGATTCTTGCTAATTTACATAGCGCGAAAGACGTTTTATACCATACAGCGTTGCCGCCGCCAAAATCTCACTAGAAGTGCCTTAAAATCGCTCTGAAACTTTCATGATTTTTATGAATTTTCGAAACACGCGGTGGAAATTTGCCTGTATCTCGAGAACCGTTCGTGCGATTTTAATGATTCTTTCAAATTTGTATAGCACGAGAGACATTTTATACGATACGGGCTTGCCGCCCCCCAAAATTACTCTGGAAGTGCCTTAAAATCTCTCTGAAACTTTCACAATTTTCATGAATTTTTGAAACACGCGGTGGAAAGTTGGCTGTATTTCGGGAAACGTTCGTGCGATTTTAATGATTCTTTCAAATTTGCATAGCGTGGGAGACATTTTATATGATGTAGTCTTACCAACCCACAAAATCACGCTGGAAGTGCCTTAAAGTCGCTCTGAAACTTTCACGATTTTCATGAATTTTTTAACACGCGGTGGAAAGTTAGCTGTATCTCGGGAAACGTTCGTGCGATATTTATGATTCTTTCAAATTGGCATAGTGTGGTAGGCATTTTATATGATGTAGCCCTGCTGCTTCCCAAAATCTTGCTAGAAGTGCCTTAAAATTGCTCTCATACATTCACGATTTTCGTGAATTTTTAAAACACGCGGTGGAAATTTGGGCGTGTCTCGGGAACCGTTCGTGCGATTTTAATGATTGTTTTAAATTTACACAGCGCCAGAGGCATTTTATACGATACGGCTTTGCCGCCTCCCAAAATTACGCTGAAAGTGCCTTAAAATTGCTGTGAAACTTTCATGATTTTTATGAATTTTTGAAACATGCGGTGGAAATTTGGCTGTACCTCGCAAACCGTTTGGGCGATTTTAATGACTTTTTCAAATTTGCACAGCGCGAGAGGCATTTTATACGATACGGCTTTGCCGCCTCCCAAAATTACGCTGAAAGTGCCTTAAAATCGCTCTGAAACTTTCATGATTTTTATGACTTTTTGAAACACGCGGTGGAAATTTGGCTGTACCTCGCAAACCGTTCGGGCGATTTTAATGACTTTTTCAAATTTGCATAGCACGAGAGGCATTTTATACGATACGGCCTTACCGCCTCCCAAAATCACGTTGGATGTGCTTTAAAATCGCTCTGAAACTTTCACCATTTTCATGAATTTTCGAAACACGGGAGTGGAAATTTGGCTGTATCTCGGGAACCGTTCATGCGATTTTAATGATTCTCTCACATTTGTATAGCGTGAGAGGCTTTTTATATGATGCAGCCCTGCTGCCCCCCAAAATATTGTTAGGAGTGCTCCAAAATTGCTTTTGAAACCCGCAGTGGAAATTTGGCTGTATCTCGCGAATTTAGATAGTTATTCCGGTGCCCTAAATAAAGTCACTTCTACCGTTACCCTCGTTTGGTGCCCTGAATAAAATCAGTTTTACCGCTGCTCTCGTACGGTGCCCTGAATGGGAGTCACTTCCACCGGTACCCTACTAAGGTGCCCCGCATGGGAGTCACTTCTACCGCTACCCTCGTACGGTACCCAAAATAAAGTCACTTTTACCGCTACCCTCGTGTGGTGCCTTGAATCAAAATCACTTCTACCGCTACCCTCGTACGGTGCCTTGAATCAAAATCACTTCTACCGCTACCCTCGTACGGTGCTCTATATGGGTGTCCCTTCTATCGCAATCTTCGTATGTTGTTTATACGAATAAGAGACAAAGTCCACAATATAACATCATTTCATTACGTTGGACTGCATCCACAACATGAATTGTTCATAGTTCTCACTCTTGACTTTTATCGGTGTTGTACGTACAACTTGTTTTTTTTATTGTGTTGCTGTTCTTACTGTAGACCGTGTGCTGCGGCCTGGTGTGCACGCGTCTATTTGCGCGGCGATTTTCGTAATGACTTATCACATTTCTTATGATTTTAAGTCGGTTGTTGAATTAAAATCGGTCCTCAAAGATAAGATTTAGAATTACCAGACAAGTGCGGCGTATAGTTATTGAGATATCGCGCGTAGAACACTTAATTGCAAATTACACAGGTATTTCCCGTAAGCCGGCGGATATCTTCCGTCGGCTAAGAATCACTAGTGGTTTTGTTTTGTGAATTCATTCAATTATTAATTTGATTAAGATTTCTGAACCTTTACACCCTGAATTTTAATTATTTTCTTGTTTTATCTTATAAAGAATTTCCCAAAATTTCATTATGTTTAATCCGATGGCTGCTAGCGCTTTTAGTTAAAATGATATTCGTTACTGAAATTACTCAAAGAGCACGATGCAGCAATATTTTTTGTTATTAATAATTTCCTTCTTATTTTCAAAATTTTATTATCTTATCTTATAAATTATTTTTTTAGGTTTAACGTTTTAACGAGACCTTACGGATATATTGGACCAGCTGTGAACGCACGCTTCTTCCAGAAGGATTTGATAGAAAATGGTAATTTCCGGTAAAGCAAGAAACATCTTTAAGAGCCCCCGCACACTACAAACTTTTTATCGGCCGATATTTTGATCGGGTTGGGCTGTGAGCGCGCACACTACGCCAACTAAACAGTTGGGTTTGTGGTGAGTGCGCACACTAGACAACAGTCGGCCGACTGCACCAATACTCTGAGCGAACTAAATTGATCAAGTCGGCCGACTAAACAATCGGTAGGTGTGCGCGCTTGCGACGAGCTCCATACTGATATCGCAGTCGGCCGATAGTTGGCCTGGTTGGCCGATAGTTTAGTTTGAACGCAGTTGGGTAGCCCATCAAACTTGTTTATCGGCCGATACAAAATCGTTGTACTATGCGGACTTGCATACATCTTCATACTGATTATAAGCCCGACCAAACTATCGGCCGATAAAAAGTTTGTAGTGTGCGGGGAGCCTAAGCCCGACCAAACTATCAGCCGATAAAAAGTTTGTAGTATGCGGGGGCTCTAAGCCCCGATTGGCTAACGCAATCGACACAATTATACATAAAATATAATACCTAAAACATAAATAAATAAAGTTTTACATTTGTTTTTATTAAAATAATGGTATAATTTAAATAATTATTTATTTCAATTTTCGATGTATAGCGTTATAAATGTATCACTGTAGTACTGAAATGGAAATAGGTGGTATTTTACTGTCCTACATACAGTGTGAGTAGCCTTTACAAAAACACTAATTATTTAATTAACTAAGGTAGGTATACAGTAAACTTTTACGAAGACTCAATCTTATTACTTCCCAAAGCCTTTCTTTTCGTATGCCGAGAATATTGAAAGCAATTTCAGGTATGTGTATTTCAACATTGTGAATTTTTAGTTTCGTCTTCTCAACTTCGTGTTTATCAGTACGTTTGTATATAAACAACTTTTTTTGTTCGACGGACTGACTCGTGATATCGCTGCATACCTGCCTAGTACCGGGCTACGCGCAGCGCACACGGCAGTTGTTTCACCGCGTGGTCCGCGAGCGTATCTCTCTAATCGCCACGCGTTTTGAGGTTTTAATTGGATTAATCGTCGTGTATTCTTTCGGCCATCGGCAATATATTCACAATGGGCATGTGTGCCTGTTTCGTTTAATGATTTATGGCGGTTAGAGTCTTCTTAAGTTAGAAATAAGTGTCCGTTAATCCCCGCGCGAGTTTTCTGTTGATAGAATATATTAAAGGATAGAAAATCTCCTCATCAATGCACAGGTGAGTGGATAATTAATTTTTTTTGCGGAAAGTTAAGGCGGTTTAACTTAAATTGACATGCTTGATTTAATTATTATAAGCACTGTTTTTAAAATTCATATGGTCGATCACGCTTACCGGTCATGTTTTCGATGATCACGTAAACATTTTTAATCGCATTGCATCATTAAACTAATAATTTCTTGCTGAAATAAAATCTTGAACGGTGAATAGTTTTTCGTTTTCGCAGTCTCAGTATATCTTAATATTCATAAAGAAATGGTTATTTTTATCGTCTTTAACCACTGTGTTGCTCCGCGCCGTCGCTTGCCGTCTGTTGATTTAGGTATTATCCACCAGATATTCTATCAATTTATAATGATGCTTCACCCGTCGGCTACGTTATACAGTTGATGCTACCATCAATTAATAAATATACATTTAGAATATATTAAAATGTAAGTGTTTTATTTTTGTAGCACCCTCAATTTTTCGATGTTTTTCGGGTAAAATCTCTGATTTTATATGAAAATATTGTTGTTAATTGGTAAATTTCCCTCTTCATATTGTGAATATTGACTCCCTAAAATTTTCTTTTTGTAACACCCTGTATATTAGTTTTCCTTTGTGTCCGTGAAAATTTTGCTGTCGTTTTTATAAATTTTCCCGTTTGCCCTTTGCATTTTCTTTCTGGTACACCCTGTATACTAGTTTCCCTGACCGTCGAGTGAAAACGAGCGGCGTTTGTAGTGTTGTATTTTTGTTTGCACTTTAAATTTACAATTTGTAACACCCTGTATATTTGTTTGCATTTTCAATTACCTAGAAAGTTGGCTATTTACTAATGGAGACATATATTTGTATATTGTATATTTATATATTGACTTGTAAAATCTAAACTTGTATTTCATTGTTAATAAATAAATAGTAAGATATATTGACTTTTTTGATTTGTGTGCCTCTTCTATCATTTCAGGAACAGGTCTCTAAGAGAGTTCCCTCTCTCAGGTACAAGTCAGAACTTGTAAGAATATTCTTAAGTGTCTCCTCTCTTGAGACGACTTAAAACTTAGAAATATTTTTATAAGTTCTTAAAAGGATGTCCTTATAAGGAGTTCCCCCACTTGAGGGATGATCCCCCACCGTAAAAATTGTTGATATGCCTAAGAATTTCGGGGATGAAGCGCAGAGACATCGTAGCTGTAGGATGGGCCGGGAGCAATGGACGCACCCAAGCAGCGCCGGAGGCGCTCTGGGAGATCGACCGTAGACTGTCTTATAACGACACGTGCCAAAAAATTTAAAAATCTGGCCTCCCCTGTTCTCTTTCTTCTATCTCCTCCTCTTCTCCACTCTGTTCTCTCTTCCTTCTATCTTCCTGCTTTTCTCTGCTATTCGTTCTTCTACTTCTCCTATTTTTCTGTTCTCTGCTCCTACACTTACTTTCTTACTTCTCATATTGCCTTCGCTTGTATTTCAATTTCTCTTATATTTCGTTGCTATTCATATATGCAACGCAAATTACATCTGTTATTTTTATATTTGAGAAAAACGCCTCCTAAACCTGAGATTCGATCCGTGTCTGCTAGCATGCCAGCAGGTGCACGTCTCCACTCGACCACCGAGTGTCTTTATCACTGTTATTTGATTCTTCTATTTATGTTTCTACTATATTCAACTTTTTAAAAACAACAACACAAACCTTAGCAATGTTGCACTCATATAAGCTAAATATGAAATCGGTATGATTCAAGACGCATATCCTGAAAACGACAAAGGATATCACAACAAAAATGAATGAGATTTTAACTTTAAATTGAGTTTTATTAATTATATTTAACAATACATTCTTCTTTCTTTTTTAATAAAATGGACGTACGTACGATCCAAGGCATATCCTACGTACCATCGAGCCACAACGCTCTCTTATCAAACGTTACACAAAAAATAGAATTGATAGTGCTACTCACTGTATTACTTTTGCACTAACAACTATGCCACATGGAGAAAACGCGTGATTTATCCCCTCTAATTAACAATACCATTTTGGCCTATAGATCCAATTGGAATACGTAGCCCAACGTAAGATATCCGACGGCCGGCGGCTGAAGGCTTAGTCTGGAGTTGATTCGAGATAAATCACTTGTTCAGTAGTTGGTAGCAATCGATGACTAAACAATTATAAGGCTCGCACCGTATTAAAATCGCCCGAAATACTAACAGTCGCGACGAACAGTGGCGGAGAAGAAAGAGAATACGTGCACACAACAGAAATGCGTACCGCCGACTGACTAAACAGGAAAAAACAACAGCCAATACGCCAGCGCAAGATTTACTGAGCAGTATAGCGAATTGTCACTTGAAGCCGATGACACACGGCGACCAGTGCGGCACTGTTAAAATTTCAAATGGCAGCACACAGCGTGTTGCGCAAGCCAAGGTCGAACTAAAAGCAGAACGAAACAAACAGTTACAAGTTATCGACATAACAACATACGAAACGTACAATTTATCTAACAATACACGTTCTACAGGTACATATCCTACGACATTGGAATATAACGCCACGCAGAATTTAATTTTACAACTTTAGGGACCTCGCTGATATTACGCGTCCATGTGCTAAACCTCGAAAACCAGCAAAATTAGACCTTCGAAACACAAAAAGTAAATTTTTCTCGCTAATTCAAGAGTTATTCATAAAAGTTATGTATGAAATTGATAAAGAAATTAATTACTTACAATTTGATGCAAGAATGGCACTCCTACGATATCGGGCTCGGGTGCAGAACATCTAAAACAAGCAAAAAGGGATAACAAGGTCGCACCTTATACATAAACTCTCGCGTTATCTAAATTTGAAAGAATCATTCAAATCGCACAAGCGGTTCTCGCGATACAGCCAAATTTCCACCGCGTGTTTCGAAAATTAACAAAAGTTTCGAAAATTTGAAAACGTTGACAAAGTGTAAGAGCGATTTTAAGACACTTCTGGAATGATGTCGCGGGGCGGCAAGGTCGCACCGTATGAATAAACTCTCGCGTTATCTAAATTTGAAAAAATTATTCAAATCGCACAAGCGGTTCTCGAGATACGGCCAATTTCCACAGCGTGTTTCAAAAATTAACAAAAGTCGACAAAGTGTAAGAGCGATTTTAAGACACTTCTGGAATGATTTCGCGGGGTGGCAAGGTCGCATCGTATAAATAAACTCTCGCGTTATCTAAATTTGAAAAAATCATTCAAATCGCACAAACGGTTCTCGAGATACATCCAAATTTCCACCGCGTGTTTCGAAAATTTGCAAAAGTTGACAAAGTTTAAGAGCGATTTTAAGGCACTTCTGGAACGATTTCGCAGGGTGGCAAAGTCGTAACGTATAAATGAATTCTCGCGTTATCTAAATTTAAAAGAATCATTCAAATCGCACAAGTGGTTTTCAAGATACAGCTATATTTCCACCGCATGTTTCAAAAATTTGTAAAAATCGACAAAGTTTAAGAGCAATTTTAATGCACTTCCCGGATAATTTCGGGGGGTGGCAAGATCGCACCGTATAAATGAACTCTCGCGTTATCTAAATTTGGAAGAATTATTCAAATCACACAAATGGTTCTCGAGATACATCCAAATTTCCACCGCGTGTTTCGAAAATTTGAAAACGTTGACAAAGTTTAAGAGCGATTTTAAAGCCCTTCTGCAATGATTTCGCAGGGTGACAAGGTCGCACCTTATAAATATACTCTCGTGTTATCTAAACAAACAAACGCGTTTCCAAACAGTCCGTCAAGACCGTCACGCCAAAACCCTAACAGAAAATCGTGAAAAGATCACAAGTTTCGGCTTGTAACATATTGCAGTTAATGTTGTGTGCTATTTGTGACATATGAAAACACGTTCACCCAGTACATAGCAACGTAAATAAACTTCTTGATGAAATGTAAAACATTAATTTGAATTGATTATTTACATTGCCGTTGTTTGACACTGTATGTTCTTCACAAAGTAAAAATGTCAATGAAAATTAGCAAGCAATTTTTAGACAGTTAATTTCCGATGCCAGAGGCTAATCACTCATGACAACTCTTGCGTAATCAAAATATAAACACAACATTAAAGTAGCACAAACAGTTCCTCAGACACTGTTCAATTTCAATAGCAATTTAATGAAGATGTTAAAAACCGAACCGGATTTGGGAAGTCGTTTTCAGGCAGTTTTGCGACAAAAAAAGTTGAACCGATAAGAACAATGAAAATAAAACTAAAACAATTTAACCGCAGTCAAAGTCTACGCCAATATATTAACAATTAGAATAATTTAATCGAAAACTCACCAGCATATCTCACATCAAAGAACAGAAGCCAACATCACTGATAGCGAAACAAGGTATTAAATCGCGTATAAAAATCACAAAATACAATATGTTCGCGATTAACCGAATTGAAAGAAAGAATTGCGAGCCTCGAGGAATACGAGTACGTACTCAATGGCGGCCCGGACAACAACTGCAGGTTGAAGCCATTCGCGGTCGCTGCTAGTTGCGCGCGGTGCGCTGCCAAAAAACCTGTTTGAGGCACACACGTAGATAAGCACGCCGACAGTTCTAGTTTTCAATACCTGTAAGATGATATGGAATAAATGCATAGGAGAATTTGATTAAGCAAACGACAAGTGACTGAAAGTTGAACCATACAGATTAAACAAAGTTGCCTATGTTATTTAGATAAACTTCGTCTTACTCTAATTATCAACACATTCGACCCCATTCTAAAAACAATTTAAAATTTATAAATATCGCACAATTTATCAATACCAAATTTTAATTGCTTTGAAATTTTTGCGTTTTCCATGAGATTTTATATTTAAAAAGTGCCTTGACATAAGCATCAATCAGAAACATCCTACAACTTCTAATTCAAACACTTCGTCAATCTATGCTCAGGGCAACTCGCATCCGCTTGTTAAGACTCTGATACGCTAAAGCATAGGTTAGATCTACACTTAGGATTAATTAGGATTCGGTACCATTCTTTTAGAATGCGCATGGAACGCCCACCAAGAAAACTCGCCATCCTGCAAAAGAAGCATAAAAGAATTTACCAGATAACATATGACGTCGTCCTAAATACAGAGTACTGAATTTTAAAAGCTGTTATCAAAACACGTAAAATTTAAAATTAAAAGTATTAAACCAAACCTGTACACTGAGCAATAAAAATAAACACGGCCCTGACCATCTCAGTGACAGCGTAGTCAGGAAAGCGTACACAGCCGATATTTCTCATTTCTTATCGGTTGTTTGGGTCGTCGTAACAAGTTGCAACTGAAACATTTAAAATATCGTCTCGCAATGATAATAATTTAGTTATGTGCTCGACTCAATAGGCGTCTTGTTGCTTTATTATTAGTAGAATGGTCAGTTTATCAAGAAGTATGAACACAAACGCTGGAGTAAGTATTTATTATAATTGTCTGAAGCATAACCTCTTCCACTGTTCAATATTGACTTTGTCGCGCAATTACGATGCAAATAAAATATTGTTCTTATGATTCATTACTAAATATAAGTAATGTATCACGAGATGCTGCATGTTGCAATCACAGATCAATTATTTATGGATTTTCTGCAGTAATAAGTTTCATTACAATTTTAAAATAATTTTCAGGGTGCAACATTCTTTAGTGAATCAACAAATATGGATGATGATTATTTGCAACCAATTTTGGAGTCATATGGCCGGTTTAAACCACTTAGGACAATTCCATCATTTAGTTTTCACCTGCTTGGTGCATTGGCAATAGAAATTGCTGCAATTGTCATTGCCATTAAGCATCCTGATGAGAAGACAAAGTGTACAGAATATTTTATACTTATCTATGCACATGTTGCATTTTGGTTCTTTACATTGGTATGCATTTCATATAAGTTGTTAATAAGATGAATAATGTTGTAGAAATATTTTAGATATTGGACCAAATTGTGAGATTGAAACATTATGCTCTAAGAATGAATGGATATTTAGACTTTTACAAGAAAACACAAGTTCATCATAGATTGCCTCTGTATATAGTAAGTTTGTGGAATGCAGGCATTCTATTACTGCAAGCGCTCATGCAGCATTACTATGAAGATGGTTTTGCTGAGAAATGTATCAAAGCTGGGGTACTTTCACCTGTTAGTTACTTCTTAGCTTTGATGACAGTAGAAATATGTGTGATATTTGGTGTTAACATTGATTACATTGGTAGGTAGAAAAATATCGCGTAACTTTAATAGAAATAATCATTTCTTTCATTATAGTAAAAGTGAGGAGATTCAACAAGCAACAATCACCACCTGATGTACAAAAAGAAGAATGGAATGCATGTTCAAATGAGAACAGTTTTGTTCAAAATGAAGTTGGTGTACGACAAATGGGCGACAAAGCTTTTGACTTCATAGAGAAACAAGTAAATGAATTTATTCTTATTCGTGTCTCTTTTACCAACATTGATTAATTTATAGGCAGACATGATCCGTCATCTGAAGGACCACAATGCAAGACTTGGCGAGAAACTAATGGTTTTAAACGCACAATTACAAGCTAGGAATACAACATAAAGAACGTATATTTACAAAGATGTTAGTCATATCACATGCCAATAAACTGATAATAGAACTATTTTGGGAAGTTTCTTCCTCCAGATTTGATATAAGATAGTTATAAATTTGTATAACTGACAATCGCAATATACGTCTATGAACATATACTACTAATTGAAATAACTTATAGCTTGCTGCTTATATTACGTTACAATAAGAGAGATAATTATTTAAATTTGTATAAATATAATAAGATTTTTGTTTATTTGCTTGAATGGATATAATATATAAAGATATTAGAGTGATGTATATTTTGCAAGCCTATGCACACGTTCTTGTCTCATTGTCCTTTTTACATAGCTTTCTGATCACTTCTGTAATATTTCCGAAATAACTTCATTCTAATCTAAATATCCCTTAAGCCCTTCTGATATTGTGATATTTATAATAATTTGCAACAACAATAAAACATCACCACACAGCATAAAAATGACATTAAATGACACAGATTTAATCATTTTGTGCCCTGGGAAGTACATTGGGCATAGAATTTGCCCAATCGCTTGTTTAATGATTTAATAAAGAAATTTTATAAAAGAATGTGTATGAATGTTAATTGGGAACACCCCTTCTTAATATCTAAAATGACGAAAAGGTAATTTAACAAAGAAAGAGATAAATACCAATTAGAAAATCTCATTCTAAAACTTGGGTAAAATAATTTTTCGCTGGGACCGATTCAACACATTAAAATGGAAAGTTCTGGAAGTGCTATTAATTATATACCGTGACTAATTTGTGATACTTGAAACAACTGTTGATGTATTCATATATCTTCAAAATATATTGCATCGTTAATCTGAGAGGTGATGTAATTTTGCGATAAATAAAGAAATGGAGAAAGTGTCGTACGATTCGGAAGAATTTCTATGCACTTACCTGTTAAATAACAACAACTGTTCATTTACAATCCTGTCAAATGTTTTCAAACTATTTAAACTAACATTTCCAAAGCAAATGAATTACAAATTATATAAATAATCAACGTTATTTCTAAAACCAAAGCGTGGATTTCCGATTAGCAATTGATAAATGCGTAAAGGAACCATAGTTAACTGTCTTGCAAAAAATGAAAATCAGTTAGCGTGCTACCTACTTCCTTCCTCGATGGCACCATTGTTCCTGCGTCTTCGCCGGTGTCTCACTTAATTAGCAGTATTTTGCCACAGTCAATTATAAATTAAGCATGTAGCAGCCGCGCGCGCGTTAAAGTGGTCAATGCTGGTTTCGATTGTTAACAAAGTTAAATAATAATTCCCCCACGTTAGCACGAGTCTGTGCAATTTGGAAAGTGCTCGCTTCCAGTACAGCTGGCCGGTATCGGCTTCTTGAAAGATCGGAGCTCAGTGCAATCATGTAACCAACCGCCACGCGCTAGTGTCAGAGTGCTTCTGTTTCATTTAAGTGCAATTGAAGAGTTACATTTTTAAATCTTCACGGGAATAGTTGTACACAATGTTGGAGCGTATTCATAAAATAATTTTTATATTGGTTTTGATCAATGTGTCACTGGCACAGGAAAAATTTACGTTATTGAATACCAGCAACGACAATGGTATGTAAACATAACAATTTTTAAACCGTATTATAGAATACTACTTATTATACTTTTCAAACTACTAGCTATCAAGATATTTTAGTACCTTAATTTATTAACCCGTTTGATAAAATTGTCAAGTTAGTATTAAGTTTCAAAATGAGCGTTTATTATCTAACTTTATACCGTAATGTGTGAAGTTTTATTTAAATTAAAAGCCACATTGCAATTTATGCATTTGCCATAACATGATTGCTCCATAATCCAGAACAACTAAAATACAAAGCTGCCTGAATGAAAGTAAAAGGCAAAACAGCTTACTTTTCCTTTTTGCAAGTCTTGTGGTCTCCATCTAGCCTCGCCAAGCGTCAAAAAATTAATTCATGGTCAACCGAGTGCGTATTTCAAAATGTGTACAAAAGCGTAACAATTTTGTATGATTATATGTATTATTGTCATAGTCCTATTATCTCAAAGAAACTACATAACAAGTAATACCTGTAACTACCATGTGCAAGTATATGTATAAAAAATCTCATTTTAATAATTACATGTTTACACATTATACACACACGAAATTTATAAGCACCTGAGCTTGATGCAATTATAGCGAAGATTATTTCTTCTCTGATCGATTTCTCAATAGGTCTCCATCGTACCAAACCAACTTTTGACATTTTGCAATGTGGTTTGGTCCACATTGTCCATATACATATTACCAAAAATTTCGTTTCGCAATTTAAAATTAAAGTTTCACATAAAATGAACTATTATCTGCTGATCATGTTAATAATCATTTTTAACGCAATAATAGTTTCAACACCGTATATCATCATTTTGCTTTATCCCATCATTTATTTTCTTTTCTAAATGTAGCAATAAAAGAGTGTTAAGTGAATATATGCAAGATGAATAGCTTATGAATATTTTAAGAATGGGAACTGTTCACACAATATCTTATGTCACTGATTGTGAGATGCACAATTGCAACTTTTTAGAATATGTTGCTTCACTTATCGTTTGCGTAAAATTATGTTTGTTCTTAAAACCTAATGATCTACCTATCAACTGGTTTCAGTTAACGTGAGAGAAATCATAGTTGGAAGGCCAACGACGGCACGATCAAGAAATGTAGTTATTGTAACGCCGGCTACGACAAAGATTCCGCCAACAACAAAAGTACCATACAAGACATTGCAATGTCCACCCGAACCAATTCGTATACCGATTTTTAGTCTTCCATGCAATCATGAAAAAGACTGCAGAGTCTTTGGACCAAATTTAGCATGTTGCAAAGAACGATGCATTAAAGGCGTCCTGATTCCCGCAGAGGCCAAAACGACCGCACCAGTGAATGTCCCAAAAAGAGCAGCAAGTAATTATATTTACATGTAATTTTGTACTAGTTTTACAAACCTATTTTTGAAATTTAGGAATATCAAATGAAATTGTTAGTCCAGTTTTAAATCAATTACCAGCCATCACGACTGCTTCACCAAAGATTGAAACAACAAGTAAAAAGCTTGAGTTGGTATGCCCAAGTGCAAATATCAGGTTACCTTTCTTTAGTTTACCTTGCTCAAAGAAGACTGATTGCAACATTTTCGGTCGAAACCTTCTCTGCTGTCGCAATGTATGTCTTCAAGGTGTTGCACCGCCGAAGGAAGAAGTTAGTCATGCGCGTAAGTAGCCGACAATTATTCATCAATCGAAATGAGACATAATTGAAAAATAATTAGAACTTTTCAGCGGCTCTTTTCGGACTCGTGGACCGCCACTGTCCGGCACAGCCACTCGCGGAACTATTTGATGTAAAAGAATGTGAAACGGATGCAGATTGCTTACCTAGAATATGCTGCCCGGAGAAGAATAGTCTTAATAGAAAAAGTTATTGCAGGACTCCGATTCATAACATCGAAAGACTGCCTGGAGCTCAGCGAATCCAAGAACGTACGACACGCAAAAACTATTTGAAAAGAATCGAAATATCTTAATTAAATTTACAGCTTTAAGGAATTTCGTAAGTTACATGCAGTGTACTCCACCACCTCCTCGAGAACTGTTCCCAAAGCCTTGTAACAACACTCTTGACTGCTTCCCAAATTTGTGTTGTCAGGAGAGTGGGAAAAAGTTTTGCAGACCGCCGCGAAGATCTCTTGTAGCTCTTGTAGCTGATGTCACAACGGTAAACTTTAAACTTAACTTAAGACGCACTTAAATTACTCAACACTAAACTATTTCTGTTTAGAGGGTGGGAGCAGCTGAAGCTACCAGAAGGTTTATAGAAAGGATAACGACGTAAAATTAAGCACATTACACGGTTTAGTTTTATAACTAAATCATAATCTTTACTTGATTTGTACAACCAGCCACAACATCAGCACTTAACTATGTTAGGGCTCTTGTAGAATTCCAGGAAAGACCCAACCGCCTTATAAAAATCTAATCCAGCTGTAACAAATAAAATATTCTGTTGTAAAAAGAACCCTATAAAATTATTTAAATAAATTATTAAATGAAAATTTGTGTTCTTAATGAATAAGAGACAAAGTACAACCAAGTGAATAAAATCAATTCCGAGTCCAACAGTGCCTGAACAGTTTCAAATGCAGGCAACAATGGAAGACTACTTTAAAATGTCTCTGGCAAAACATGAGCCAATGCAAGAATATTTTATCATTGCATATGTAGTATAATTTAAAAAATATTGATTAATAAACGCATTTTTCGTCCAGAACATTACGTCTTCATTAACCCTTCAGACTATACGTCTCCCGTACCATAGTCATTAATATCGTGATGAGAGAAAATCTCACGCCTATTGCGCAAGCGCCAAGCGCGAAATTTCAAACCTACTAAAATAGTTGTAGGTTACACATCAAGTAAAATACAAAATAAAAAATTGGGTTTTGAATAATATAAATTAAATATTAATGTTATTAAAGTAAAAATTATATAATTCTGACGAGGACAAAATAAATATGAAATTTTCTATTTAGATAAATTATTTTATTAAGTTTAACTTGACAAATTAAATGCCAAATGGCGGGTGGAAACTACGGAGACAGCCGAAATAAAACGAAGCCATCCGAATAGCGGATTTTTTTGTGCCTAACTTTACTTACGCGATGAGAAAAACTCTCACAGACGATAAATAAATAATTTTTTTCCTTAATTTTTTAAGTTAAAAAAAATTATTTTTTCAGTATTTTGTAAAAAATTAAATTTTAGGAAGGTAAAAAAATTTTCAAGGGGTCATTCCATTTGAAATTAGAAAGAAAAAAAAGTTTTAAGAGAGGTGTGAGAGATTCTCTCTACACGATATTTCTGAAGGGTTAAAAGGCAGTACCATTCATTCCTAACAACTGCTTGGGAGACAATAAGTTCCAATATTTGAAAAATCAACTAATAAAAGGACTGCAACAATGAATTAAAATTGATGAGCATACCTTCTTGAAGCCAATATCGCCAGCATATTCTCTGAAACACTGACGGCACAAGTTCAATCCATATTTTCGGATGAGTCCGTGGCGGTTGGAGCACGAGCGGCTGAAATCGAAGAAAACATTGTTACCATTCAATCGATCATAACCTCTACTTGGTACACAGAGTTGGAGATTTTAAAGCAATCAAAAGACATAGAAAGAGATTACAGTTGACAACTGAAGCAACGATAGCACTTATTTAACCTCACGCACTGTTTACAATTGCATTTATACTACCGCTAATTGAATCTATGGGTTATATTTCACTGACCATGTGGCCTCACTTGATAGTAAAGTTAGAACTGTATTAAAACTTAATTTTCCTGCGTCTACCAATGTTCTAACTACTTCTGATAAATAAGAAATTGTAGCTTACCAGGATCGAGATCCTTGACCGTATTTACGGGGGTGAGAATACCAGATATTTTGGAAACCCATCGTGCGTTAACAAATTTTCAGCGCAAAAGAAATGGCCGACGTTACGGAAAGAGTGACTCGCCGTAGGAAATACACTAGCGCCACTTGCGGCAATGATCCCACGTCAAACTGTTAAAATTATACACTGCGCATGCGTTTACTGCCGACTATTGCCAATAGAATCCGATAACAAACGATCTACGGTCAACTGCTTTAGATGTTTTTAAGGTTATATTGAATTACTCAGCGAATGTTTTTAGCAGTGTCATTTTGAAGACGCCGGAAAATTGTTAAACAACTTGAAAAATGGCTTTAGCTGAAGTATGTGGTTACAACAATTTTGATTCTCACACTGGTGGGAATTTGTTCGATAGTGATGTCGTCCAAATGAGCCGCAACTTTACCAATCACATGGAATTAGCTGCACCACCATTCAACAATGTATGTATTTCTTTACAATTATGTAAAAAAATCTAAAATAAGTCTCTAGTAGGGATGTTCTTATGCCTTTTTGTTTGTTCATCTATTTACAGCCAGCAACAGCTTTATCAAAGTATGCTGTTGATGAAACAGGCAAAGAAATCAAGATAAAGTTTGATCATGGTACCACTACACTTGGCTTCCAGTACCAAGGTGGTGTTGTTTTGGCTGTGGACTCACGCGCCACTGCCGGTGCTTTCATTGGATCACAATCAATGAAAAAAATTGTTGAAATCAATCAGTACTTATTAGGTACCCTAGCTGGTGGTGCTGCTGATTGTGTATATTGGGACAGAGTTCTTGCAAAGCAATGCAGAATGTATGAATTGCGCAATCGCGAGCGCATTTCTGTAGCGGCCGCCTCCAAATTAATGTCAAATATGGTATATAACTACAAGGGGATGGGTTTGTCCATGGGTATGATGTTAGCTGGATGGGACAAGAGAGTATGTACCAACAAGTAAAATAAACTGACTATTGTGTTAATTAAAACATATGAACAATTTGCAGGGACCACAGATGTACTATTTGGACTCTGAAGGTACTAGAACCCCAGGCAAAGTATTTTCGGTTGGTTCCGGTTCAATTTACGCGTTTGGTGTTTTGGACGCCGGATATAAATGGGATTTAACTGATGATGAGGCACATGATTTAGGCCGTAGAGCGATTTACCATGCTACGCATCGCGACGCTTATTCTGGTGGTATCGTCCGCGTCTATCACATGACTCAAAACGGTTGGGTGCATATCGATAACAACGATTGCATGGACTTGCACTACAAATATGCTGAGGAGAAGAAAGCAGAGAACACCATCTAACTTTAAATAATAATCAATTATATAATATTATGTTTCTATGTCCTTACTTATTTTGGAAATACACTTTCTTAAGAATTGATTTTGTTTTTATTTAAGATAGCAAGTTCCTTGATTACTACAGATTATACATTTCAACTGATTGTGTCAGTTCAATTGTTAAAATATTGCAAATAATATCAAAATTTAATGATGAATGACAATCATGAATTAAAATGCATAATAATCAAGGGGCAAATGCAGAAGATCATGAAAATAGTTTTCAATTTGATGAAAATAGTTTTCAATTTGATGAAAATTGTGATTACAATGTTCGTATCCCACCAACTCGGCCCCAAACCACTCACGCGTCTGACAACAAACATGCGATTGTGTAAGTACACAGTGTTGACTACGTTACTCGACAATTACCTCCTCCACTACTATCGCAATATTTTCCGTTCGAATTTGAAAAGCAAGTGTAAGTGCCAGCCGACGAGCGGAGTTCTAGAGGTGACCGGGACAACGATGGATCCTAACAGCGTAACGAACGATCCGGCCTGGAGCGAGCTCGCTGAGTATCGCGATAAGTATGGCCAAAAATTGGTTATTCGAGATTTGTTCGCCTGCGACGCAAACAGATTTAAAGACTACAGGTATGAAACAATAAGTTTTTATTAAAAAACAAGGCGTGAAGTTAAACTTTTGGTTTGACCTTCGTTTGATCTTGAAAGTTTGAGTGTAACTTTCACTAAATTCACTAAACTAGATTATCTATTCTTTTAGTTTACAAATTCCAACACCTAAAGATGGAAATATTCTTTTGGATTATTCAAAGAATAGAGTGGACTCGAATGTCATGCAGAAATTATTTAATCTGGCAAGGTCAAGAAAGGTGGAGCAGTTCAGGGATATGATGTTTGCAGGCGAAAAGATTAATTTCACTGAGAACAGAGCAGTGTTACACACTGCACTCAGAAATCGATCTAATAAACCTATTATTGTGGATGGCAAGGATGTTATGCCAGATGTAAAAGCTGAGCTGGCACATATGCAACGTTTTTCTAAAGCTGTTTTATCTGGAGAATGGAAAGGGTACATATTTCAAGTTATAAACACTGTGATTATCTATATTTCAACAATATCTACTCATATTTTAGTTATACTGGTCAGGCCATTACTGATATTGTGAACATTGGTATTGGTGGCTCAGATTTAGGTCCATGGATGGTTTCTGATGCATTGAAACCATATTCACAAGGTCTAAAGTCCCACTTTGTATCAAACATTGATGGATCACATATTGCTGAAGTTCTGAAGAAAGTTAATCCGGCAACATGCTTGTTTATTATTGCGTCAAAAACATTCACTACACAAGAAACTATTACAAATGCTCTTTCTGCAAAGCTGTGGTTTTTGGAAACAGCTAAAGATGTAAGTTTAATTAAATATTTATGCATTTCCTATACTTATTATACCTATAATTCGCAGGAGAAAGCTGTAGGCAAACATTTTGTTGCATTGTCTACTAATGAAGTTAAAGTTAGAGAGTTCGGCATTGATACTGCAAATATGTTCCAATTCTGGGACTGGGTTGGCGGTCGATATTCGTTGTGGAGCGCTATCGGCTTATCGATTTGCTTGAACATTGGATATGACAACTTTGAAGCGTTGTTGGAAGGTGCTCACTTTATGGATAATCATTTTACCACTGCACCATTGGAAAGAAATGTAATTTACTTACATAAAGCACAATTATATATCTAATAATTCTTACAATTTTATAGGCACCAGTTATTCTGGCTTTGTTGGGAATTTGGTATTCGAACTTCTATGGTAGTGAAACACATGCACTCTTGCCCTATGACCAATACCTGCATAAATTCGCTGCATATTTTCAACAAGGTGATATGGAAAGCAATGGCAAGTATATTACCCGTGATGGTGCACGTGTCAATTGCAGTACGGGACCAATCGTCTGGGGCGAGCCGGGAACAAATGGCCAACATGCATTTTATCAACTAATTCATCAGGGAACACGCCTTATCCCCGCTGATTTCATCGCCTCTGTGCAAACGCACAATCCGGTACAAAATGGCCTACATCATCGTATCTTGTTGGCCAATTTCTTAGCACAAACCGAAGCATTAATGAAAGGAAAATCGGTCGATGAAGCAAAAGCTGAATTACAACAAAGTGGCATGTCTGCTGATCAAATTAAACAAATCTTGCCGCATAAAGTTTTTGAAGGAAACCGACCAACGAATAGTATTATGGTTCAGAAAATATCACCTTTCACATTGGGTGCTTTAATAGGTATGCACAGAAAGTTTAACCAAAGGCGATTCAACCTAAATTTAATAATTAATGTTTTGTTTCCTTTTTAGCAATGTACGAGCACAAGATCTTTACACAAGGTATCATTTGGAATATCAACTCGTTTGACCAGTGGGGCGTCGAGTTGGGAAAGCAATTGGCGAAAGCAATCGAACCGGAATTGGTTGATAATAAGCAGGTTCAATCGCACGATGGATCTACAAATGGCCTGATCAACTTCATTAAAGCAAATCGTTAAGAAAAGAAAACCATTGTTATATACAATGAGTTATTTCACTAAAACGAGGTGGTTAGCCGGTTAAAATTATAATTTCTATTGATATTCCTGTGTTAGGTCACCGTGGGTAATAAAAACACAAAAGTTGGATCATGTTGCACAAATTATACAGACATTTTTATAATTTTTATATAGTAATAATAATAAAGGTTGTACTAAAATGGTTTTGATTGTTTAGCCACCATTTTGTAAATTTTCCAGAAAGTAGAAATATCTTATCTAAATCACTGTGTTTATTTGGTAATATTAAACCGGTCGTTATATCATTTTGATTTAACAAGCGTTAGTTGACTATGTGCTTGTTTGTTATAGCAGAAAATACGTGTGCACAGCGTGGAAAGCGTCGAGTAAAGCAAACGACCCGAGCGCTACTCATTTAACTATTCGGCCTTGCCTCGGCTGAATACAACGCATATTGTAATATGATTCTGTTTAAATCTAAAACTTCAAAGCATAATTACACACACAACATACTGGAAGTAATTATTTAGATGGTGATTATTTCAAGCAGTGTTATATCCAACGTGACAACAAGTCTTATCTCAAGTGCGGGTGTATATCTCTGATTGCAAAGTGTTTAGAGTGCATAAAAGCACGGCACCGCACTGTGTTGTTTATTGGCCAATTGCCAACAAGTGTGACCGAGTTTCGTCGCTGATTCACAATGGGAAAAATGCAATATTATATGGACAAGGTTAGTGGGCAAATTAGCGCATCTAGCGCATGTCGCATCAACAAATCGATAAGTCAAAGCTGTGCCTTTGAACTCAAATATACCGAATGTTATCATTTTGTTAATCATGTAGAAGTATTACTTAGCTACTCATTGATTTATTTATTTAATTTATTTTTGGTTTAGAGTTTGGCCTCAATTCGCTTCTACGAGCTAATTCAAACTATCAAACTTTGTACTAGTTCTTAAATTACAATAATTTACTCGCAAACTATTACTATTTGATTAAACTTTAAACAGTGATTGCAAATATAATTGTTACCTATTTAAATTGAGTTTAATAACCTATTACCACTGTGAATTCACGTTTGTTTGTTTAATTTTTAACGTCTTATATAATTTCTCCAACACAGATAAACAAAACGGGTGTTTGAAGGTCACGACAGTATAATGTAAATCAACAATATCACGTATTTTGCTATTTTTAACTGTTGCATTTGTTAATTTGAAAATATGACAATATTATGTGTAAGTTTGCAACTATTTCAATTACGACAAAATTTCAAAATAATCGGCGTTGGAAAATATTTATACAATATTCAATTCAATCAAATACAACCAATCGAACCAAAGTAATATGCCTTTCTTTTTTAATCACCAATAGTTACTAATATTCTTGTTATTCTTGTTTACATTAGACGCCATCCGGCAAGTTCCAGTTTGCGATCGACCGCGGAGGAACTTTCACCGATGTCTTCGCACGTTGTCCCGATGGAAAGATTGTGGTACACAAACTACTCTCCGAATATCCTTCGCACTATAAAGATGCGCCAACTGAAGGCATTCGCCGAATTTTGGAACAGGTTGGTTTTTGGCATTTTATATATTTTTATTTGTTCAATGTTTTATTGACATATAATGTTTTATTGATATACAATGTCATTCCTGATCACATCAGTTTTTGAAAGGTATTCAGAACACTTTTTACTTTTCATTTTACACATTTTATATCCATTATTATTGTTCTTATGGATTTGCACATGAGCAAAGTACCGAAACATTTACAATGCGCGTCTATGCGCTTCCACGGACCTGATTTAATAAAACGCATAGAATTACTTCAACTCAAGCGTCAGTTAGAAGTACTTGCGACTTTCGTACCGAACGAAATCCTGAATTATCAACAAGATAGACAACAAAGAAGTTGTGTGGGAGTTTTATTATTCGCTGATGTATCTGGATTTACACCACTTACAGAAAAATACAATAAAACTGGCAAAGGAGGAATTTATCGTCTTACGGCCACATTGAACGCTTACATCGGGGCCATCGTAGAAGTAATTCATTTATTCGGTGGTGATATTTTAAAATTTTCCGGAGATGCATTCCTGGCACTTTGGAAAGTCAAGCAAGGACAATCTGCATATGACATACTTCACGTAGTAGTAGTATGTGCATTAATCATCCAAAAAAATTTAGGTGTCTTCGAAACAGAAGTTAATGTCATGCTCAAAGTGAAACTAGCAATTGCTTGCGGAAATGTTGACTTTGCGGTGATAGGATCCGGTGTAACAAAGAACTACGTAATCGTCGGTCAAGCAATCTATGACGTCAAGAATGCAGAATATGTTAGCGTAAGTGGTGATGTTGTAATATCACCAGCAGCATGGTCACACATGTTACACGATCGTTATGTCACCACCGAAGCAGAAAACGGCAACGTAAAAGTCTGGAAGACAATTTACCGGAAAAACGAAGAACAAAAACGTATTTACTTTGAAGAACGAACTGCTGAGGTTCTGGAACAAGTTGTAAAACATTTAGCACACAGAAAAAACATCCATGTTAAAAGATCCTTCGAATCCAATTCAACAATGAGTAAAATTATAGAATTATTCATTAGGTCTTTACCCAAACGTGAGGTAATAAAAGACGTACCAAAATATTGGACCATTGATGAATTAAGACCATTCATCATAAAACCTGTACAAGATCAAGTTGATGAAAGTCAACCAGTTGAATACCTGACAGAAATGCGTGAAGTTACAATACAATTTATAAACATCGTTCCAATTTCCAGAGAACCCGAGTATATGATAGAAATGTGTCATAATTCTTATAACATAATATGTCGCATTGTGGGCGAATCTCTGGGTGTGGTGAATAAACTATCACTCTTTGATAAAGATTTCATGATCCTGGTGCTTTTTGGATTGCGTGGAATACGGCACGAAATGGAAAGTCAACATGCGCTTCGCAGTGCTTATAATATACGAAAAATGATCACCGAAAACGTACGAAATGTAGATTCCTGTTCAATTGGCATCACTCAAGGATTAGTCTATTGTGGAGTCGTAGGACATCCATTCCGTCGAGAATATACTGTGATAGGAACAGAAGTAAACAAAGCAGCTAGAATGATGATTGCTTACCCATGCAAAGTGATTTGCGACTACAAAACATTCAAACATTCACAATTGGCTTCATTTTACTTTAGATTACAAAGCACAGTAAAACTTAAAGGTATTGAAGAAGCTGGCAGTATCTATGAATACAACGAGGCTTTCGATGACTATGATGATAAACGTAGACAGAAATTAACTGTGTTTGGCCGCGTAAAAGAATTCAACATGATTCGCAATGTGATTTTTAATAGTGCCGAAAGTTTATGGGTGAAATATAATGGTATTTGTTTCCATGGGCCGAGAAAAATTGGCAAGACTTCAATTTTACTCCAGTCAATAAGAGCATTACGAAAAATTGGATCTGGACCAACTATCATCTCCATTGAATTGAATAGTAATTCCTTCGTTCCATTCTTAACTATAACGAAACTATATGACAAACTATTCGATTGTTTAGGAATGATAAAATCGAATGTTACGCTTCTGCCTAATCTGCCAAGACAGTTATTTAAACCTGATTTGTACATGTGGTTTCCACGATATGATGTGTCAGTATTCAAGTATAATATTCTCACAACTTTTCGACAAATTATACAAGCAAATAGTGAAGTAGGGACGATATTTTTCATTGATAATGTTCAATATATAGATATGCAAAGTTGGGACATCTTACAAGTGTTCCTTGATGAAGGTATCATTAAACTTTTTATGACAGCTTGCTGGGAGGATGCTACATGGAACGTACAAGAAAGTCTAAGAGAATTACAATCATTAAACTTTTATGAAGTAGGACCAATTTCACCACGATATGTAGCTGTGTTAGCTTGCATGTTTTTGGATGCTGTTGGAATACCAAATCACTTGGAATACCTTCTAATTCGTAGCTGTGGAGGTAGACCTGGATATATCCAAAGTTCTATTCTACGTCTGGTCAATAACGGCTCCTTACAACTTAAAATTATCAACAATTCAGAAAAAGATTACACGCGTTTCATATTCCCGGTTGAAGTAAACACGGATCCATGTGATATTGTTGCTATCGTCGAGTTTTCAGATAGATACAGACATATCGGTCAAGAATTAACCCTGCAAGCAATTTCAATGGATTTGTTTGATTCTTTTACACCATATCAACAATTAGTGATTAAAACCGCATCGGTAATCGGTGAAATGTTTAGCAGATCATTACTTGTGGTTGCCATGCAGTACCCACCTGAAGAACAATTGGCAAAAGTTGTAATGCAGTTGTTTGAAGAAGAAGTTTTTGAATGTGGGAGTAAATATGTGAATGCCAGTGATATGGAACGTTCTGCATATGTAAAATTTTGCTGTCGGTGCTATTTCAAACGGTCTTCACTTGCTGGTGAGGCAAAAGCGCTACCAAGATATGCTTATTGCAAGATAATACATTTTAAAAACAAAAGTATTCGAGAAGTGGCTTATGATTTGCTACCAGGTAATCAGAAGAAAGAACTACATTTATTGTGTACTGAAGTATTGGAATCTTCAAAACATTCTTGTCCGACCTGTACGAAACAACCAAGTTTATTCATCATGCATTCCTCCTCATATAAAACAGTTATGGAATATTGTACAGACCCAAGAAAAGCGTACAAACATAGTAGTCTTCCTGAACCTGAATATGGGAATATGAAGAAAGTAGTGAGGAATTCAATGTTTGGCACTTACGTTGAAAGATACGCCAGTGATATTTACAAGAGACCAAGTAGGACTACTCAAAAGTGTAACTGCTTTGAAATTTGGAGTAGCGTCTTTCAGAGTCTAAAATTTCACGCGGATCAAGGCAAACATACTGGTAAACTGGTATATTACACAATGAAATACGGATTTATTTTGATGGCTGTACATGATTTCTACAATGCAATTTCTTACTTTAGAGAAACTATCGAATTGTGTTTAGCGGACGCTAATGAAATAAAACAGGATCCTGTGCTATCCAGATATAAGATATTTATATTGGGAAGGACACATATTGGTCTCACACAAGCGCATCTTGCACTCGGACAGGTACACGTTGCTAAAAATCACATAGTAATTGCGTTGAGGCAGTATAACATCCCGAGCTTAGCATTAGAATATCGCACATTCCACGAATTACTCAAGAAAACATTTGTGGTGAATATTAGACAAATGTATGCAGAAGCATATGACAACACATGGTTTAGATTTGATTGTGGTAATGCTTTAGCATTTTGTGCGAAAATATTCACACTTGAAGGTAAATGGTCCTTAGCTAAATCTGCAGCCTTGCATAGTTTACATTGTCTGAAAGCAGTCAATTCTAACGTACCACTTTTATGCGATGTTTATTGTAATATTATTGAAATATATTCAACGTCTAATGAAAGATCAAAATTGGAAAAACTACAAAAACATGTATTTCAAGAGATACTTTATAACTTCAGTAATCGAGATATTAACCATGTAAATACAACTATTGTTTTGATGGAATCATTGCTTGAATCACACTATGTTTGTGGACATATCACGGAAGGAATACGCATTGGTTATCGCATGTTAGATATATGCTCACGTCTTGATTACTTTGCATTTGAATCAAGATTATTTTTTCATTTACCACTATTGCTTATATACAATGGAAGAATTCGTGATGCTGGCGATGTGATGAAAATTTATAAAAGAAGAATGCATTACACTGTTAACTACATGTCAATCTACTACATTGTCGCGTTTATTATTTATTTATCAACTGGTTTCTCTATTGAAAAAATTGATGCGATACTCAATTTTGCATCGCAGTTAAAACGCATCAAAGGCAAATCTAAACGTGTGAATGAATTTTTATTCACATTGGTACAACTTCACTACTTCAGGCTTGGCAAGTTTTATAAATCTGAAGAATGGAAAGGTGACAATATCTGGAATCCGAAAGAAGTGAAATCTTCAATTCCAATGTGCGAAATGATATTTATCATACAATGTAAGCTCCAGCAATATGTGTATAGCTATCATCAAAAGAATACCACAGCCGAAGTGGAAGTAAGACGAATTAATACTCATCTTATGTTACTTAGGGAATCCTGTAAGCAATATACAGTATATTTACCGATGTTTTATTATCTAAAATCATGGTTAGCAAGAATAACAGGACACAAAAGAAAATCTCTAAAGTTTATGAAGAGAATGCGACAAGAAGCAACAAAATGCAAGAATTATTTGGTGGAATATCAAGGAATTGCTTCTTTCAATTGTTGGAATGGTGGTTATTCCATCAAATATGAGAATAGACCGCAAATATCTTATTTAGAAGCTGATAATTATACAGAGAAACAAATTATTCAATTTCTTCATGCGGATAATGTAGAATAAATCATTAAAAACTAAATGTGTGTTGTTTTCTTGGACTATTTTAGGAAACTGGTCAAGCTGTTGGTAGTGATGGACTTGTGGATAGTTCTCAAATTGAATGGGTCCGTATGGGTACCACTGTAGCCACGAATGCGCTTTTAGAGCGCAAGGGTGAATCAATGGCGTTTATTACTAATTTGAACTTTAGGGATGTTTTGTTTATTGGAAATCAAGCAAGACCAAATATTTTTGACTTGGTAGGTATTATATATCAACATATTTTATCAATATCTACTAATTATATTTTACTGTAGGAAATTCAAAGACCTGAATTGCTTTACAAAGCAGTTGTAGAAGCTGATTGTCGTATTATACCAGAACAATCAGATATATGCAAACTTGATTCGTTGATAGAAAATTGTAAGCGTGTAAAGGGTAATACTGGAGAGACATTTGTGGTTTTGAAAGAATTGGATGAAAATAAACTACGAAAAGATTTAGAAAAACTGCGTGAAAGTGGGATCAACAGTGTGGCGGTTGCATTAGCGCATAGTTATGCTGTTGCTGAGCATGAATTGCGTATTGGTGAAATAGCAACTGAAATTGGTTTTGAACATGTTTCATTGTCACATGACATAATGCCAATGGTACGATTAGTACCTAGAGGGTTTACGGCATGTGCTGATGCATACCTCACCCCGCATATTAAAAAATATCTGAAAGGATTTACAGGTGGTTTTAAAAACGAATTAGAAGGTACGAATGTTTTGTTCATGCAAAGCGACGGAGGATTGACACCGATGAAGAGTTTCAATGGTTCCAGAGCGGTTTTGTCTGGTCCTGCGGGTGGTGTCGTAGGGTAAATAAAAAAACGAATTAATAAATACTTGAAAATATTAAATTTACTATTTTAGATATGCTTTGACAACATGGAAGAAAGAAACGGAACTTCCTGTGATAGGTTTTGATATGGGTGGTACCTCTACTGATGTTTCTAGATTTGATGGTCATTATGAACAGGTCTATGAATCTACAACAGCTGGGGTTACTATACAAGCACCTCAATTAGATGTTAACACTGTTGCAGCCGGTGGTGGATCAATGTTGTTCTACAGGTAGTAAGATTATAGATTGTATTAATGAAATGTTCTAATTGAGCTTAATTTAGGTCTGGGTTGTATGTAGTGGGTCCTGAATCAGCCGGTGCTCACCCAGGCCCAGCATGTTATGGAAAAAATGGGGCTTTAGCCATTACAGATGCAAATTTAATTCTTGGTCGGTTGCTACCCGATTTTTTCCCGAAAATATTTGGAGAAAATGAAGACCAGCCTTTGGATGTAAGCGCAACTAAAGCTAAATTTGAAAAATTAACAGCAGACATAAACAAAGAGCAAAACTCAAATCTCAGCGTTGAAGAAGTAGCGTTAGGTTTCATTACAGTTGCAAATGAAACAATGTGTCGACCTATTCGAGCCTTAACACAGGCTAAGGGACATGATACTTCTCGTCATGCCTTGGCTTGTTTTGGCGGAGCAGGTGGTCAACATGCCTGTGCTATTGCCAAATCCTTAGGAATGAAAACTGTTCTCATTCATAAATACGCAGGTATTCTTTCGGCATTTGGAATTGCCCTGGCTGATGTAGTGAGTGAAAAACAAGAACCCTGCGCAAAGGAATACACAGAGAAAGAGTTTGCTTTCCTTGAAGAGCGCCTAGATAAATTAGAAGAAGACTCTCGTAACGAGCTTAAAAAGCAGGGTTTTAAAGATGAACAAATTCAACTTGAACATTATTTGCATTTGCGTTATAATGGAACAGATTTTGGTTTAATGTGTCAAGCAAACTCAGAAAAACCTGGCACCAAATTTGGAGATTTTATGGATGTTTTCTTAAACCGCTATAAAACTGAGTTTGGTTTTACGTTAGATAAGCGAGAAGTGTTGGTTGATGACATTCGAGTTCGCGGTATTGGTAAAAGCATAATGGCAGAAGAAACTGCAATACAAGAAAGCAAAGAGCCCCCTGTAGTAAAACATACACATCAAGTATATTTTGATGGAGGTTATCAAAAAACGAATGTTTATATACTAGACGAATTATTAGCAGGACAATTAGTGGTCGGGCCAGCCATTATCATGAATGATTTAAGCACCATTGTTGTTTTACCAGATTGCACAGCAGAAATTACCAAAAATGGCGATGTCAAAATTTATATTGGCGATGGTACCCACAAAAAAATTGGCACCGAATTGGATAATATTCAGCTTAGTATCTTTGGACATAGATTTATGAGTATAGCTGAACAAATGGGGAGGTAAATAGTTACTGAAAAAATACTAGAACAATGTTTTAATGCCAAATAATTGCTTTTAGAGTTTTGCAGCGAACCTCACTATCAACTAACATTAAGGAACGTCTTGATTTTTCTTGCGCGTTATTTGGCGATGATGGTGGACTCGTTTCTAACGCTCCTCATATACCAGTACACTTGGGATCAATGCAAGAAGCAGTACAATTTCAATTGAGAACTCGTAAAAACATTTCTGAAGGAGATGTGATTCTAACAAATCATCCAAAGGCAGGAGGTGCTCATTTACCAGATTTTACTGTTGTTACTCCTGTATTCCATAAGTACTTGCTATAACAATTTAGTGAAAGTGGAAGAAATTACTAAACAAATCTGTTTAATTTCAGAGACAAATCCAAACCAATCTTTTTCGTTGCAAGCCGTGGTCATCATGCGGATATTGGTGGAATAACACCTGGTTCAATGCCACCACATTCCAAATCCTTAGCGGACGAAGGTGCTGCTTTTATAAGCTTCCTCCTGGTTAAACAAAATGTATTCCAAGAAGAAGCGTTTTTGGATGTGTTAAGGAAAGCAGGTGGTCGCAATTTGAGTGATAATTTAAGTGATGTACGTGCTCAAGTAGCAGCTAATCACAAAGGCATACAACTCGTTGGAGAATTGATCGATGTGTATGGATTAGATGTTGTTCAAGCCTACATGTCACATATTCAAGCAAACGCTGAACTAGCTGTTAGAGATATGCTCAGAACTGTTGCCAAACAGACTTATGAAAAGTATGGTACCAATGTACTGTGTGCACAAGATATGATGGATGATGGATCACCAATATGTTTAAAAGTCACATTGAATGAAGAAGAAGGTAGTGCTGTTTGTGATTTCACTGGCACAGGAGTAGAAGTACATGGTAATTGCAATGCACCAAAGGCAATCACTTTGTCAGCACTGATTTACTGTCTAAGATGTATGGTTGGTCATGACGTACCATTGAATCAGGTATTGTATTTTGAGACAAAATTATAAAGTTGTTTAGATATTTATTACATGTAATTTTACAGGGGTGTTTAGCTCCTATTAAAGTCATTGTACCAGAACAATCCATGTTAGACCCAAGTGAGGGAGCAGCAGTAGTAGGGGGTAATGTAACCACGTCTCAACGTGTTGTCGATGTGATTTTGAAAGCATTTGGAGCTGTGGCCGCATCACAGGGATGTATGAACAACGTAACATTTGGTAATGAAAAGTTTGGAAACTACGAAACAGTGGCTGGTGGTAGTGGGGCGGTAAGAATTCAGATATTATTCAAAAACTTCATTATTATAATTATTAATATTACACATTTTCAGGGTCCAACATGGCATGGAATGTCTGGTGTACACACTCACATGACCAACACGAGAATAACAGATATCGAAATTATTGAACGCAGATACCCTGTATTCGTACGAAAATTCATGTTACGCCCAAATAGTGGTGGTAAAGGCCAATTTAATGGAGGTGATGGAGTTGTCAGGGAGATATGCTTCCGTGCACCAATCACCCTTTCAATCTTGAGTGAACGTCGTGTAACAGTTCCATATGGATTAAATGGAGGAGAACCTGGTCAACGAGGGCTAAATTTAGTTGAACGTGTAGATGGGCGGATAATTAATCTTGGACCAAAGAATACCATTGAAATGGGCCCAGGGGTATTTATTTTTAAGTTTATCACAAAACTGTTGTTTTAACTTTTTTTTTCAGGATGTATTTTCACTTAATACACCCGGAGGAGGAGGCTATGGCTCAAAAACCGATGAAGCAACAAGCAAAGATGCACAAACAAAGAAACCAATGTTAGTTGTGCGTGGTAGTTTAGAAAACTACAAAGCGTCACAAGAAGGCGTTTAAAACGTCACTCAGGCACAATTGTGACGTTTCAACTCGTTTGTACGTGATTTGAGCTCAAAATAAATATACCTCGTTATACAATAGTGTTTTTAATAAAATATTTATTAACATGAGAATCCGATTTGAGAATAATGCTGATCATCTTGAACGACAAGAGCATAAACGTTTAAGACGACTGGAACTTGCAAGTTTAAAGAAACAAATGGAACTAATTTGTACTTTTTGCCCGACTTACATCCTCACTCACAATGTAATCAATTCGGATAAAACACCATTCGTAGGTGTCTTGTTGGACATCCGTATTACAGGCATGCATCGACTTATCGAAAAATACAACATTTTACATGAAGCTGGTATCTACAAACTGACATTCACATTGAATGCATTCCTCAGCGCTATTTTTGAAACAGTGGGTTATTGGGGTGGAGATGTTTTGAAAATATACGGTGATAAATGTCTCAATTTGTGGGAGGTTTCCTCAGATCAGTCTTTGTATGAAGTTTTACATTTAGTTGTTTTATGCGCCGATATTATTAGAAGGGCACTTGGAAATTTTGATACTTTTCTACCACAGAAATTGAATATAAAAATGATGATTACAAGCGGTAATATTGACACTATTTGTTGTGGATCAGATAAAAAGTCATTGCTCTTTCGTGGAGAACCTTTTGAAGAATTAGACCAATTGAGTAGTGTGGTCAAAGCTGGCGAGATTTTGATTTCAACCAAAGCTTGGGCACATATGATACATAACCGATATAAAGTTACAGTAATTAACGAATCAATGATAAAACTTCTTGTAAGTATTAAACTTCTATTCTAATTTGTGTTAAACTGCTATTAAATTAATTAGGAAGGAAAAATTCCCCATAAAGCGGCTCAACGTGATGTCAACGAAAGTTTTGATATAAAAGAAGTGGAAGTCCTTCAGTTAATTGATAAACACTTAGAATTTCTGAAAACTATGCACAATCATCGTCAAACTGATTCAATAGAAACATTGACAACTTTAACAAATATGTTTGTAAAAGAAATTCCACCAAGAGAAGCAATAGGAAACGCGATGCGTTTTGAAGATTTTTATAGAATCAGTCCGTTTGTTTTTCGAAGAGTTCAGAAACACATATCTGAACATCAACCTGTAGAATATCTAACAGAAATAACCACAGTAACTGCACAAATAATTACTATTATCCCCAATTCATTCAAATCCATGAGTTCGGCATTCGTGAAATTTGTCTACACGGAAGTGAACAAATCAATCGAAGGTACCCATGGATTCATATACATGTTTGAGGTAACTACCGAAATTAAAATAATCGTAATGAGTGGAATAGAAGGTATTCGACAAGATATGGAATGTAACCGTGCTTTAAAAACAGGATACAAGATGAGTCAACAATTTCAAAACACACCGGGTGTCAATTATATATCAGTAGGCATATTTCAAGGATATTTATATTGTGGAGTTGTTGGTCATCCGTTTCGTCGTGATTACGTTGCTATTGGGTCTGTTCTGAACAAAGGTTTCAAAATTCTGCAACGTAGCAAAGGGAAAGTGATATGTGACTACAAAACATTTAAATTCTCGAAATTGTCTGCGTTTATGTTCAGATGTATAAGAAAAAGAAAATGTAATGTTGATTTTGATAATGGGCAATTGATGGAATACGATGAAAGTATAGATTACATGGAATACAAAAGTATACATGAAAAAGATCTTTTTGAGAAAGATGCCGAAGTAAATTTAATTCTACAAATACTGCAGAGTAATGCGTCTGCTTCCCAAGGAATTGTGTTTGAAGGTTGTCAAATGATTGGAAAAACCACTTTATTGCGATTCGTTAAAAGTCGGTGTTCAGACTCAGAAAACTTTCATGTGGTGTCACTTACAATACGAAATGGTACCAGTACACCATATTCAACAATATTCCGTATCTATGAACAATTATATAGTTTAAAAAGTGCAACGTATGAAGATATGAATCAATTTTTTAAACTGCCAACACAACTGGCAAATTGGCATAATAACTCATATAATAATAACGAAGATTCCATGTCAAAATGTAACATTCTGAAACACTTCCAGAATATGTTATTATTTGAAGACAATCGGGCACAAGTGATTATTCTTAAAAATCTTCATTATATAGATAATCAAAGTTGGGAAATATTAGAAATTGTATTGAAAAGTTGCAGGTTGAAACTATTTGCTTCCTCTGAGTTCTCATCAGGTAATCATAATTTCAAAAAAACTTTAGAAAAAAATCCTTATGTAAAATTAATAACCCTGAAACCAATCTCGGATGAATCGATAAATACTCTGGCTTGTACATTACTGGGAGTAGTAGCAATAGAAAAGAAAATTTCTGCATTAGTAACATCAACCTGTTTGGGTTTACCTGGATATGTACAAAGTTGCTTAAAATATTTACTCGATTGTAAAAACTATCAAATAGCATACATTTCTAAGAATGAACTCGAATCAAATTATGTGATTATACACAAAGATTTATTTCCTACGTTGCAAAATCCAATTGCAGTTTTGACTATACGAATCGACAAGAAAAGTGGAGAAGATATTCGTGATAAGTGTACAATAGAAGCTATCACAAAAGAAGTTTATTACTCATTGCCTCCTTTTGAGCAAACAATTCTAAGGACAAGTTCAGTTTTGGGCACTTTCTTTACCAGAGATATGTTATCGATAGCTCTGCGATCACCAAGTGAAAAAGTACTAGTTCAAGGAATTAAAATAATGTTCACCGAAGGTATTTTTGAATGTGGATGCACCACCTTCGACGATGATAAATTCTGTTGTCGTTGTCATATGAGCAAAGAAGAAATGGCAAAAATTCAACCGAATGAAAAATATACCCATTGCAAGTTACTACACCTCAAACACATAGATATAAAAAATATTGCATACAGTATGATCCCAGAAAATCAAAAGAAAGATTTACATCTTCTATGTACGGATGTTTTGGAAAACACTGCACATTTTTGCCCAACATGTCTACGTGACCCAGTTAACAGTTTTATTGTGGCTGCAAAGTATAAAGATATTTTAACCTACTGCGCTGATTCAAGTATTGCAGTAACAAGTTGCAGAGCAAAATCATCCGAAGGAATTAAACAATGCATTCGTAGATTAGTATATGATGCATGTCAGTGTCATAAAACTAATACTTGCAAGTATGTCTTACCTTTAAGACAAGCATTCAATCCATTACGATGCAATTGCTTCGAAATGCTTTTATATGTCTTCAAGAATTTGATATATCACAGCAGAAGTGCTAAACATTTAGGAAAACATATATTTTATTCGTCGATTTATGGATATTTATTGGTGATAACTCATAATGCAGTAGAAGGAATCGCTGTATTGCGAGAAGCTTATGAGTTATGCATGGTTAATGTTAATTTAGAAAAATGTGAAATTTCAGCAAACTATAGGAAGTTTAGCATTGGACGAATTTCAATGATGTTGGCAACTGCATTAATAAAACTACGAAAAATAAACCAAGCTAAATTACACATTACTTTAGCCATGAGACAATATAATATACCATCAGTGGCATTTAAATATAACAACTTTCAATGTTTATTAAAGAAGTCATATTTGGTCAATATGAAAGGACGTAATAGAGTGATAATAAAACAGACATGGATGCGATGGGAAGTTGGTATGTGTTTTATTATATGTGCAAGAATTTTCTCCATAGAAGGAAAATTACCAATTGCAAGAAAATGTGCCCGGTACAGTACATGGGTGCTGAGTCAAATAAACGAACGTATTCCGATGTTATTCGAAGCATATTGCAATGTGATCGATTTATATAGATATGGTTTAGATAAAGAAGTATGTGAAAAATTGCAAAAATATGTCACAAAGGAATTGCTGCTGAATTATTGCAATGATCGTGGATATTACGCTAAACATTTAATGACTTTACTCGTCGTTGATTTTGAATTGAAAGTATCAAGTGGGCAGTTGAAGAAATCGATTAGTATGTGTTATCGGATAGTTGATTTCACGCTTAGATTTTACGTGGACTCATCCAATTATGAAGTGGTCATTTGGTTCAGTTTATTATTTACGTACACTTTGCGTTTCAAGCAATTCATTGATATTATGCGAGTGATTTACAAAAACGCCATGGATGCATCTCCGGAATGCTTTTTTTCAAATGCTTTGGGGATTACAATATTAACTGGTTACTCGTATGTTCCTATTCGCTCTCTTGTGAAAGAAATTGTCATTTATTTGAATTATGAACAGACTCGACATACATGCTGGACTAAACACTATTTATCGTCTTTGTTATATTTACACTTGATGAAGTCCGAATTATACCAAGGTGCAGAAAAGTACAAACCAAAATGTACTTTGAATCTGAATGTTTTGAGAAGACCTATTGTGATGCGTATACAATTGAATATCATTGAAGGTGAACTCATTGAAATGTATTCTAAAATGGAGGATAATTCAAGTTATACGAGTCTTAAGACATCTTTAAAGAAACAAATAGATATGGCGAGTAAATGTATTAAACATATGCCAATTTTTTATCCCAAGTTGTATTGTTTAAAAGCGTGGAAATATCAACTTGAGGGAAGAGCGAAAAAAGCTGAGAAAGAATTACGAAAAGCGGAGAAAATTAGTATCGAACAAGGAAATGTTTACTATCAGTGTTTGGTGAGGAAAGTACGAAATTATTGGAGTGGTAGTCACCATTTATATATATCTTCTTATAAAAAACGACTAAATGTCGAATTGGAAGATATCAAGTATTTTAGTGAAAGTCAATGGGCGCAGGTTTTATTACCCTATCCGATAATAAAAATTTAAATAAATTAATAAATGAGGCAAGCAAATAGTTGCTATATGTTGGTCTCATTAAAATTTTCCAAATGTTAATTGTTTAATGTTTTTGATTGATTAATTTCAAAACTGCTAGGTTTAAATCAGAAAAATTTTAAAGTAGGAACCTACTGAACAGCAAATAGTTTACTGGACGAATCAGACACCACTGAACGCAATGTGCACAGCGTATTCCCTTTTTTAAAATCTGCGGACAACCCGCAAAAAGTGGTGGGGTAAGAGGCAGCAACATGGGTATCCCCTACGGGTCCTGAGAAGATCGGAAGTAAAAGTGGGGCAGGTTTGAGACACCCAGAAACGTGAGTACATCTAAAATTTCTATAGTTTTACATATGAAAAATAATAAAGTATGTGTCATTCCTCGGTTGCCCAGGTACTAAATATTACATAAATAATTAAATATAAGTGGTAGGCTATTTAAATCTAATTAACTATTTGTTTTCACAATTCAGTGAAGTTCACGATGACGTACAAAGGTAAAATCCGATTTGCAAAGTTAGATGCGACTTCAGTAATAGAAGAACAAGACTTTGTAATGCGCATTGAATATGTACAAACTAAGCGAAAGATCCACCAATTTGCGTCATTTTTACCCGACGAAATTCTACAGTTTCATGGGTCAACTCTTCAAATGCGCCAGCATCATCATTTTGTCGGAGTGTTATTATGCACAGATATATCTGGTATTAATCAACTTATAGAAAAATATTACAATGGTAAAATGGGTGAATTATACAACATCAGTGTTAATTTAAACACATACATCGGATCAATCATTGAGGTTGTCCGATGTTATGGTGGTGATGTGCTCAGCATCAGGTGCAGTAATTTTATAACAATGTGGAAATGTCTACCAGATCAATCAATCCACGAAATTTTACACACTGCTATCGTTTGCGCGAGTGTATTACAACGTCTTTTAGGATCATTCAACACCGATGAAAAAGTGACACTTAATCTAAAAACCGTCATATCCTGCGGTAATATATCCTACGGAATATTTGGTAATTACAACACCAAGAAATCTGTATTCATTGGAGATGCATTCAAATCATTACGACCGTTAATCGACGATGCTACATTTAATAAAGTCGTTGTCAGTGATAGTTCATGTCCACATATGGTTCAAGATCGTTATACAGTTGAGAAAACCCAAATGGGTTACGTAACTGTTTCGAAAATATCCTACTCATCTCGGGAAGTTGCAAAAAAGACCTGCTTTGATGAAAAATACTCAGAAGTTGCACGTCTTATAGAAGAACACTTTAAACAAAAAGACGCACTTATTCATATGCTGCATTCATCTAGACTTGTCGCTAATATGCAAAAACACAACAAATTTATAAAATCACTACCTGTACGAGAAGAAATTTTATTAGCACCGAAATATTGGACTTTGGAAGAAATGCAAACATTACAGCATGAAGTTATTTTTGAACATTTGACTGATAGTCAACCTGGAGATTATTTAACAGAAATGAAAGAAATCACATGCATGACTTTGAAAGTTGCACTGGAATCAGATACACCTAATATTTTATTAAATATCGTAGATGACGTATTCGTGATGTTAGTGAACGAAATTAAACAGTTGCAGTGTGTAATTCAGAATATTCACGTAGTAGAAACTGGAATTGTGATAGAAATTTTGTTTGGTTTACTAGCTAGTAAACGCGAGAATGAAGTTGCTTCAGCACTTGGACTAGCCAGAAATATGTCGTGCCTCTTAGCAGGAAAAACTCATGTGATTGGTGTTTCGGCGGGACTTTCAAGTGGAAATGTATTTTGCTCTGTTGTGGGACACCCATTGCGTAGAGAATATGTCATCACAGGACGACCTATTCAACAAGCGTTTCGTTTATCATCATTGGTGCTTGATAAAGTTTTATGTGACTTGAAGGTATTCAAAAGTGCACGTCTTTCGTCACGGTATTTTAAACTATACAAAGAGGAAGAAGATTCCGAAGGAAAAATTGATTATTTAATGGAATACAATGAAACTTTTGATACTGCAGAAGAACCTGTAAACTTGTATCCGTTGATTGATCGCATGGGTGATTTTAATTTAACTGTAGCAATGATTAAGAATGCTGATAAGGTTAAATTCAATTCTGTTTGTTATCTTTCAGCAGAAAAATATGGCAAAACAACACTTTTATTACACTTGCATAAAGAAGCACAAAACCACAATTGCTTCACTGTTCTAATCACGCTGTTGGAGATGTTCAAACGCCCATATTATTGTGTAACTGAAATTTACCGACAAATTTATGATCAAATATTCACGGTTGATGCAGAAGTTGAAGAGTCCTTAGATATACCTAAGGTTCTTGTTTCGTTTGGGAAAAGCAGTGATGCTGAAGATTTATCTATGCAAAAATATCGCACTTTGAACCATTTTCGTGACATTGTTGCATTAGCATCAAACACAATTGTGGTTTTTATTGATAATGTGCATTATATTGATCAGCAAAGTTTGGAAATTTTGGAATTGACGTTAGCTGTTGGTAATTTAAGAGTGGCAATGGCAGGATCACCGAAAAAAATGCCCAAGTTCTTTCTTCAAAAACTACAGAAAAATAGTGATATTAGAGTGAAGGAATTGCTACCGATGAAGGATCGATACATAGCTAAATTAGCGTGTTCTCTGTTGCAATCTGAAGGAATGTCGCATCGTTTAGTTAAATTACTAATTCACACTTGTGAGGGAAACCCGGGAAACTTAGAATCTTTACTTTTGAAGCTAATAAATAACCAAACGATCTATATTTTCTTATCGAACAGATATAATATGGATACCTCTTCATTCTATTATCCCAATATGAATGAAGTTGTAGAAATGACATCTGCCTTTCCTGTAGTGGATTATTCATCAGCACAAGCAGTAGAATCAGCAAAGTTTGCACTTAATATGATCTTTCAAGACCTGTATGATTCTGTGTCAACATTTTTACAACTTATACTCAAAACTGCTTCTGTAATCGGCACACAATTTGGAAGACACCTTCTACGCTTGATGTTAAATCTACCTTCCGAGAATGACTTAGCACAAGCAATCAAACAACTCTTTGAAGACAAAATAATTATATGTGCATCAGTTGCATTATACCAGAAAATGTACAATCCGGCTATAATATGCTGTTCTTGTTACTTTGAAAATGAGATTGAAGATAATCCAGATATACCAAAATACGCATATTGTAAATTGATGCAGTTTAAAAATGAAAATTTAAGACTGGTTGCATACAATCGCCTGCCAGAAAATCAACGTCATACTTTGCATGTGATGTGCGCTGATGTTTTGGAGAAAATGACGCATATTTGCCCAAGTTGTATGCGCAATCCTTCAAACTACTACGCATTTTTTGGAACTTATGATAGATTTGTTGAATATTGTAAAGATCCATCAACTACAGCACCGAATTACTACACTTATGCAAGGGATAGTTATGAAAATATTAAACAAGCAATAAATGATCAAATAAACAATCGGAAATTCGATGAAAACGAAAATGATTCATCAGAAAATACAAAAGAATCTATTGTAATAGATGAAAAGTACATACCTTTGAAACGTGACTACGATCCTTCATCTTGTCGTTGTCTTGAAATGCTCTTTGTGATTTACGAAGACTTAATCAGACACTCAGCCCAAGCGAATGAAACCGGCAAGATGATTTTCTATAAATTAAAATTTGGATTAATTCAGGTGTCTATGCGTGATATAACTGGAGCAATGAAAACTTTACATGAAACACGCGAATTGAGTTTAGTAAATTGTGGGCTTGAAAATAATGAATTATCGCCAATTTTTCGCAAGTATCACGTTGGCAAAGCTTCCATCGGGCTTGCAATTTGTAATCTTAAAACGAAAAACATCGCAGGAGCAAAAAGTAATATTATCCTAGCATTAAGACAGTATCATGTACCTCTGTTAGCGTTTTCTTTCAAACACTTACGATTTTTATTGAGAAGAAAACCTATGCGATTGAAAACTCTGAGACCATATAGTAAGAAAAAAGATGCTTTTGGTTGGGACATGGGTTGTGCACTATTCATTTGTGCAAAAGTATTTTCAATGGAAAATAATTGGAAAATTGCTAGAGATTGCTGCAAATGTGGAATTTCACTAATGAAAGCTAATAATAACAATATTGGTATGTTATTGGACACTTATACGGATGCAATACAAATATTTAGTATTTCTGGAGATCAACAAAGTTGTGAAAGATTACAGGCTTATCTCGTACGTGAGTTTCAGTCATACTATGCAAAAAACGATCTGTTTACCTTTCATATTTTATTGGATATGTTATATATCGTATTGGAATTAAACGTTGCGAAAGGATTATTAAAAGAATCTTTATGCCTGGGGTATAGATTTATGCATTTGGCTGATCAATCGAAAGTTTTGAAGATAAATCCATCAGTTTTGTTTTTGTTATGTGAGCTTAACATATACAACTTATCTTTTCAAAATTTTATCGATATGATACTAATGTTATACCGATATTTAAATCCGAATCATATTTATAATTATTTACATTATTATGTGATGTGTATGTATTGTTATAACAATACAGGATTTCACGTTCGGGAATTTGATGAAATCTTGAAATTTGCAAAAAATTATTTCACAAACAGTACGCATAAAATTACAAACACTGAAAGAACACTGAAACTTTTGATTCACGTACACTTTTTACGAAGTAATCGATATTCACGAGCGACTAGATGGGACGCAGAAGTTGATTTTACGAAAACTATTCGTACAAATGGTAAAATGATTAAATTGATGTTGGTGCAAATGGAAGCATATTTATTGAAACTGGTACGTAGCATTCGAATAGAAGAATATGTATCGCAAGTTTTTTTGAAAGACAAAATACGATGTTTGTTTGCCTGGTTAAAAGAGGTTGTTAGACACACGGTAATATATCAACCTGCATATTATGGTTTACACGCTTGGTATTCGATGCTAAAGAAGAAAAAATCGAAAGCTTATGGAGATTTAGTTAAAATGTACAATATTGCAGAAAAGCACAATATTGGTTATTATAAAGCATTGGCTATAAGATTAAGAAATCATTGGGAAGGTGGATTTATGCTTGATTTTGTTTCACGGCCTCATGTTGCGATTCAAGAGGCGCCGACGTATACATTTTGGCAGTTTGCACAATTTTTGCATTCTTATATACTATTATAAGTTAATGTTTTTAGAAATAAATAATCTAAGATAAACCATCATTGCTTTGACAGTCTTATATTTCCTGAATTAAATATTTATTTCCACAAAAAGTCATTTTACATGATTTTTCGTTAAACGCCTGTCAAAAAATAAATCATAGATAATAAAGACATTCATTATTTTTCGTTTTGGCCATGTTTGAATATAATTAAGCATGCTACTTAAATATTTATATCGCACACAAAAAACGGAAAATCTCATTCGTTTCACAAGTTTAACTAAACAAACTTTTGTTTTATTAGAGTTTTCAAAAACTTCCCGATAATGCATAATTCACTTTTGACCGAGCATTCGTGATCCCATTAAAATGCACTTAGTGCTTTATATATTATTATGACTCTTCAATATTTATTTATGTTCATTTATTTTAACAATATTTCAAATAACAAAAATTCAATATGCATAAATAAATTAAATCTGTGGAACATATTTAAATAGTTCACCAGTGAATCAACTTTCCACTTGAGCTTATATTTTTACAAAATGCTCATTGAAATGTTGTTTTCTATTATTTTAAATTATAGTGAATTTCAAATTAACAGATGCGTCTTTCACATTGCAAACAATGTGATAGTTGTTCCCAATAACACGTTATTAAATTTAGTGTTAGCACCAGAAGTTGTATTGACGTCGAAAGATGTTGGAGTTTGGGACCAATGCCCAAATATTGTGATATCATCTTCAAATCCACGAGAAACCTTCGAAAAATATGAATATTTTCTGCGTCATTATGGAGATGGCATGGATACACGCAAATATATAATACATTTTGAAATAAACCAACATGAAGATTTTGATAGTTTTTTTGAAAGTCCAGCGCTTTATTTTGTTGCTGATTTAATTGTCATAAAAGAATTCATTGATAAATGCAAATTATATACACATAAATACGTCGGAACTGAAAATCACAGTCAACCACGACTCTTAGATGTATGGTTTTCCAATGAAACATTTCTATACAATAATATTTTATTACCGAATAAGTTAGCAAATGTCCAGAGGCGAATTTTAAACATTGGTGCAGCAAAATATATTCCAATGTCTGATCCAGTGAATAAACGTGGATTGGAAACTATGTTTTTATTTGAATATGTCAAAAAATACAACTATACTTTGCGTTACGATAAAAGGGAAGTACGATTGGGATTATTGTATCCAAATAAAACTGCTACAGGATTTACAAAATTAATGATTCAAGATCAAATCGATTTAGTCACTTGTAAGTGGTGATTATAACTGAAATTACAATTTTGTCATAAAGTTTCCTATTAATTTATGTAATAGATGGATTGTATATTCAACAAGCAAGGAGATCGTTTGGAGAGTTTAGTTATCCAATGGCCGAAATTAGTTTAACTTGTATTGTTCCAAAACCAAGGTAAAGAAATTGTTTGGCGTAAAAAATTATTTTAGAGAACGTTTAGATATAGCATTATGATTATTCTTACAATTATTTTTTATATAGCATGACACATTATCGTAAAAATAATGCACTACGAATATTAGATTACCCCCTGAAAAATATTACGTCATACTAAAACTTTACGAGTATTGTTTTGACTTATTAAAGCATATATAGTTTGCTATTTTGAGAACTGTTATTCTTTTTGCAAATAATAAAATAAATTATTATTTTACTTATAACACATAATAATTAATAGCAAACTAAAAACAATCAATATTTAAGAGTCGATATTAAAATTATATTCGAAATTTTTTTATGCGGAATTAATATTGGCTAATAAAACACTTATCATTTATTTAAACAACAGAAGAATTTAGGATTAGACCGATACACTAGAACTAAAAATTTGAATTTTTGCTTCTTCTTTGTTTTAAACTTCAATATTATTCCGTCTCTCCTTAGGAAACACTTTTATGTCATAGCGTATTTTTGAAGATATTATATACGCGGTAATATGTACAATATAAAATTAATTCACGTGCTTTACTTAAAAACTTAAAATTATAGGGAAATGAATGAATGGACTATTGTTTACATACTACAATACGATGTATGGTTGGTTATGGCTTTCAGTTACGTCGTATTAGTATTAGTATTCGACCTAATACTGTGAGTATTTCCTTTTGTCAATATTATTTTTAAAATTAGCAATATGTACCCATATTAATAGGTTTATGCGTAAATTACCAAACGACAAAAAGTACACCAACGAAACAACTTATTTCATGGTATTCCGAATATTTGGCGGCCAACCTCATCCATCATTTATGAAAAACAAAGATCGCCTTCTTCTTGGCACACTTTTGTCGTTAATGATAATTATTCATACGTATTTCACTTCAAAATTGGCAAGTTTCAATACAGTACCACTGTGAGTAAAATAAAATATAGAATTTTATATTGCTTTAAATATTCAATTGATTAGAAATATTTTAGTTATAATGATAAGATTGATACGCTACAAGAGATGGCAAAGAGTAAAATACCATGGTACACAAAATACTACGATGAGATTAAAAGTTTAGAAACGGCTACAACGGTAATCTCTTTATATAAATTAGAAAATATGATTTATATTATTTTCAACTTTCGGTTTTCTAGAATCCGTTAGCGTCGCTTTATAATACGTTTCGAAATTCTACACCTGAAGAAGCAGTAGCGATGATGAATACGAACAAGCCGAAGCGATATGGTTTCGCCATAAATCAATCGTTTAATAGCAGTAATATAGAAACAAAATTATTTTGAAATTATTAAAATGTGGGTTATTTATTTAGTGTTATTTTAGAATATTACACTATATTCGACTATTTTACGCTTGAGAATTTGAACGATTTTCAAATAATTCAAGACTATATTATTCGCAATCAATACACAGCTTTCTTTGTTCGAAGAAATTCAATTCTACTGCCGTCTATTAATGAATTTTGGAGTCATACAAATCAACATGGGTTTGCAATTCGTTGGGAAATTGACGTATGTAGTAAAATAAAAATAACTTTTTTGTTTCGAGAATTTTACGCATTTTTAAAATATTATAATTGTTCTAGACGCTTTATGGAAACGATAGCTTAATCCAGCAATATCTACGGACTTCATACAAAAGAAATGCAAATGCAAGTGTTCTTACAATACCAAATCTAGCTGGTACATTTATAATATGGTTGGTTGGACTTGGCATTTCAATACTCACATTATTATTTGAAATTCTTTCGATTCCTTTATGGAAAATATTAATAAGTATATTTAACATAAGCGTTTAAAAGTACAAAAGTATAAACTTTAATTTTTTATTAATACTCACGACTTATCTAAATGTCTCGTAAACAACTCGTTAGATAAAAATACTACGTACGTCAAAAGATTGAATACTTTGAAATTATTTGCATCGTTTATAGTCTGTAATCTGGTAAAACCCAGCGAATATGCTGATTGAATTATACGGCATTGAGCAGATGCCGCTAATTATTTAATAAAAACATTTGTTATAAGAAATTCCATTTTCCACATTCGTGTTAGATATTATTATATTGACATTAGCCTTTTTGTAAAGCATATTGGTTAATCCCAACATTAAATAAAAATAAAACCAAACAAAGGTAACGAGTTTGTAATAAATCATAAAAAGAAATTAAAAAGACTAACGTCTGTCGTCCGCGACTTGGTCCGCCAAGAGTTTAATAAAAAGTAGCCTAACAAATAGCTTTCTTGTTTCACGGATTTATTAATTTAAAATAATGAGAAATGTTAATAATGCACATTACCGCCATCTCGGTTTAAACTATTTAACTAAAACTAAAAGTAAAACTTCATCTCTTATTTTACACCTTGCAAGTAATATTTTTACAACAAAAAGTAGACTATTTGATTTTCTAAAGAAAAAAATCTAAATAAAATCTATTCCAAAATTTATTAAAATTAATTGAGTGGTCTTTGCGTGAAAGCCTCAGAAACAAACTCATATTGGCATTTATAACACCTACTAGTTAGCATAAAGCGTTTCAATAACACAATCTGACTAGTTAATTAAAATCAGCTACTTGGACATTGAATAATATGTGGTTTTCCATCATTGCACCACGTGCATCAGCAAATTAAGTAGTTAGTCAACTATGCATTATTCTCAACAATTTCTTATTATACATTTTTCATTTGACTGCGCTTTTTATTTTATTTCTGTTAAGAGATTAAAGATGCACAACTCATTTATATTTATATTTATTCAAAACACGGACGGATATTACACAAATCTTAAATATAGTATAAGAATTATGCATTAGGATGCATCTCGACGATCGTCGAAATCAAAACGAAATACTATATTATTATGTATGCACGAAAGGTAAAAAAATGTAAATATATGAGTCTTAAATACGACGCATTAATCCGTATCAAGCTAAGAAGGATATTTTGTAACACATGTTGTTAATATACAGAGTGTTTAAAAACAAATGCAAAGATATTATTTACTTTAAAAATTTCATTCCTTTTTGAAATTTAATTATTATTTTTCTAATATTGTGAATTAATATGATCAATTTGTTTGTTAGTATAAAACAATACCCTGTATATCAACATGATTTGTTTTGAATGTGACTAAGTACTTGTATGTAGTTAAGAAGCGGAACTGATTTAGGGAATTCCAGTGTTGAAATTCTGTATAGGAGTCAAGATCAGTTCATTATGAACTCGATGAACAGCGTGCGTGATGCGCTTGTTGTCGTATGCTTGAATTAAATGGTGAAGAACCATAATGGCATCATTTCGAACCGGGATCTAACGGAACACGAATTCTTTCCAAATAAGTTTTCGGGGAATTTGAAGGTGATTTCTCGAAAACATCTTACGTCATAATAATAGAACAATAATAATAACTTTCTCTTATAAAATCATAAAAATACAAATTTAATAAATAAAGTTTATTAATAAATATTTCTTTGTTTTTAATGCAAAAACATAAATAAATAGATTCGTCTATATAAGTGCGTCATGGTGTAATATCTAGTATCAAATTATGTTGAAATATGTCAAGAACATCGTTGGGCGGAGAAATTGGTCTCCATAATAAGGGATACCAGCTTAATTCTTCCACAACTCGCTCGTATGTTAACGAACTCTTAAACGCCCAAAAGTCAGAACGTATAAAAAGGCATAGCTGCATTAGAACACAACTAGTATCAGAAGAAGTGCATTCGAGTGCATAGTGAATAGTCATCAAACAAACTCAAGAAAAAATGTTTCTAAAAGTAAGTGAAGGTATTACCCGTTTATTTAACAAACCAAATTAACCGTAATTTTTAAGGTGTTTTCATTAGCACTTGTGCTAATAAGTGTAACCACCGCATTACCAGCCATCGCAGTTGAACCCAACAGTCCACCAGTACAAATTCCAGCAAATATGGTAGTAGCCCAACCTAGAACCTTCAGCACTTTAGGATCACTCTTCGGAGGAGGTTACAGCACAGCATATAGATACCCTGAGGGCCACCGGGGTTATCCCAACTATGGATCTGCCTATTCTGGTAGCATATACGGCGGTAATCCAGCATCCGTGGTACCCCAACAAGTGGTACCCGCTTACTCAGGAGGGTATGGTGGTTACGGATGGCGTGGTGGTTCAGACAATCGTGGATATGGTCAACAAAGTGGATGGGCCAATCAGGCAACCAGTGGATGGTCAGGAAATTACGGAAGATAGTCATTTTTATCAAACGTATCAATAAGACTGCATAAATACCTATTATAGCAATAACAATTACGTCATGGAAAACTAAACATAAATTGACCTATTGTACTTAATTTGGGATTTACATATTGTTCAAGTAATAAAAGTTGTTGAAGGTGTGCGTAATAAAAGTGTTTTGAACGCTCACATCCGCTGGCTATTATGTCTTGAACTTGAACATGAACTCATCTGCGTATTATAGCCTCTTTTCATTTTCTTAGGAATGTTTTTGTTTATAACGCTGTCTTCGGAGTGAATTATCTTTAAATTATTAGTTTCAATGACTATGAAAAATATTGAGAAATTACATGTTTTTTTTGCATTGCATTTTTTTCGGTAATCATACCGTCATGGTGTGAGAAATACTCGCGTCTCATGTTCATTCACGAATTGCGAATTGTGTAATTATGCTTGGGATTTTGCCGTCGCTTCAAACAACCTTGACTGTGAAACGTCTCTAGTATGAAGAGGTGCTCATCGCAATTTTCGTACATATATAAAATAGCCAATCCTGTGTGAAATAGTACTATTTCAATTTATTGCACGTTCAAGACCACAGTGCATTAGTTACATGTTGTAACTTTGTCTATCCTCTTAGAAAACATGGCAAACATCAAAAACCTTCCATCGGTGAGTTTAGAACACAAAAATATCAATATGCAAATAAGTATTGCTTAATTAATTAAACAAATTCAAGGTTAAGCATTCCGTAATAATAATATTGTGTAAATATTTTTAGTGGTCGATTTTGGTGCTATTGTTGATTTGCATTGCTTCGTCACTTGCTCATCCGTGGTACAAAGGAGGTGGTTATGGTCATCGAAGAAGATGGGGTGGCGGTGGAATAGCAATCATCGCTGTTAAAAGATACGGTGGAGGCGGTTATGGACATCACGGAGGCTACCGACCTCATTATGGTGGACATGGAGGCGGTTATGGTGGAGGCTATGGCGGTGGTTACGGCGGAGGACATGGTGGAGGTTATGGAGGCGGTTATGGAGGTGGTTATGGAGGTGGTTATGGTGGTGGATATGGCAAACGATACGGTGGAGGATATGGAAAAGGTTATGGAGGCGGATATGGCGGCGGTTACGGTGGTGGCGGTGGAGGAGGTTACGGAGGTGGCTTCGGCGGTGGATTTGGATTTGGCGGTGGCTATGGAGGCGGGTATGGCAGATAAATTTGTCGATAAAACAGTAACAATGACGATACCGGTATGTGCAATTTAAATAAATGTATTAGACAATTAATAAATGTGTAAATAAAATTAGTTATGGCCAGTTGTTTTCTGCTTTTTTAATTACTACTTTTATAAAATAATAATAGTGGCAATTACCAATTAATGATTTGATTGTTTGATTGTTTCATCCATAATGCTAAAATCTCAGAAACAATCAGCGATTATTCGTTTTGTATTACAAAGTAAAAACGTAATGATGCTTTGTAGGAGTATCGTAAAAAGTTATGGTTTTACCAATTATTTTATTTATGTCAAGTTTTCACATTCACAAAAATAACAAAACTATGTTTTGAATTTAGGCTGCATTCTGCAAACATTTATGCGAAAAAATGTGACATTTATCGTTTTGATAAAGCGATAATGTAATGATTTACTGAAAACCTAGTTAACAGTCGTATACAACATCATTAACATTTCTAACTTCTAAATTTAGTAAAACCTAATCAGACTTTAGCAATGAAAACGAATAAAATGTTTATTTATAGTGTATCCGTCACTTTTTATGCATGTAGTAAAATTAATCTTGAATCTGCTGTTCAAAATTAATTAATTTGTTAACAATTTATTTTATAAAATTTCCGCTTTCGCTGCATGCAAAATTAGGTCTTTTCGTTTTGCCTCCATGTCTTTGGAAGCAATTCTAAATTTCAAGAGTAGAAAGAAGAAAGTTCTTGCGACCTCAAGACCTTGACATGAGATAGAAGATATCAAGACCAGTATATAACAGTTGACCATCAAAGAGGAAAATCAGAAGTTTTGACTCTATCTAACACTTAACTATTCTACAGCTATAAATAAAAATGAATTTAGTAAGTTTTGCTAAATATTATTAATTTATAATCATTTAATTAAAATTAATTCCTGTGTGTTTATATTTTTCCAGAAGATATTTGCTGCTTTATTATGCGTGATTGTGGTTACGTATAGTACACCAATCCCTCAACCACAATTTGGATTTGGTTTTGGTGGAGTAGGAGGACACGGTCACGGCAGACCTGGCCATGGAGGTCATGGAAGACCTGGCCATGGAAATAGGCCAGGAAACCACAATCATGGTAATGAACATAACCATTATAGTGAACACGAGCATTATCACCACCATCCCCCACCGCCATACCAGGTTACGTTTGGTAATGGCTTCGGTGGTGGATTCTATCACAATCCTGGATTTTTTGGCCTTGGTAATTCATTTGGATTTGGCTACTTTGGTTAAATATAAATAATAATATTTAAATATTTATTATATTTATTACGTACAAAATAAATTTATTAATTCTTATCTACAAGAATGTATATAATTTTTAATTGTTGGAATGATTTGTTCAAAACTCTTTGTTTTAAATTTAGATCAAAATTAAATTATAATCATTTACCATATCTGGCGTCATATTGTTGCAAATAATTTGGTATATAACCATTTCCACCATACCTCGGCGGTCGGAAGTAACCTGGATATTCAGGACCATACGGATTAAAACCAAAACCACCTCCAATTTGAGGACCAAATGGGTTTAATCCATTAAAACTTGGTGGTGGGTAATATCCAAAATTATTAGGATACCCACCAAATTGACCACCAAATTGTATTTGTCCAGAACTCGCACCCAAACCCACACCATTATATTGCCCACCAAAAGATTTACCATCTAATTTTTCTTCAACTTCAGGAATAGGTATAGGTACAGCATAAACTTCAAAAACTATTGAAGTTAATAGAATTACCAACAAACCAAAATTCATGATTGAAAATTTCTTATGTGCTGTGATAATATAGTAGTGAACAACGGTAAATGTGTTGAATATGTAAGAAACACATGCGCGTTGCCCTTAAATACTTTTGCTTTCTGTTTTATTTTCTGCTTATCTATGCACAGACTACGCGTAACGGATATTACTAATTATAGTAAATCAACTGGGCGTAAAAGACTGACAAACTGTGTTATGGTGTTAATGACTTATTTTTTGTGTGCTACAAAGAAAAGCAAAAATAGTAGACAAGTAAACTAGTGCATGTGTATGTCACAGCGCCTTGAACTTCATAGTGTTCGCTAATAAAAGTAAACAATGAAAGTGAAGTGAACAAATTACTATAATTTGCGTGCAATCAAAGAACGCCTTCGTGAATCATGATTTTCAATGACACAATCATACGAGTACAATGCAAGTGTTTCAGGGAAATACAAATTGTTAGTAATCATTATTTTCATTGTGTGTGGCGGAGTGGAAGAAAAACGATAAGACAAATGAAGCTTTTGCGTATTCAATTATTCAAGGTTTGCTCATTAGTCCGGAAAAATATGCGTAGCACAAAAACATCAACAATATTGATTTATGATTTCATCATTTATATAATGATTTACACTGATCACAAATTAAACAAATTCCACTTTATCATATCTTTGGACTAAATCTTTTGAATTGACAAACTGACATATATTCGAACAATAATAATAGTATATGAGTAAGACTCATAAAATATCTGGTTAATAACCGCGACGAACATTACCAACAGGAGCACGTCCAGGATCCCTATATCCTTGACCCACGTTACCAACCGGAGCAGATCCGGGATCTCTACCACCATGCCCAGAACCTCCTAGTTGACCTGGCCCTACATATTCCCCAACATTTCCTACTGGAGCAGTTCCCGGATCTCTACCACCTCCATATCCACCCAATTGACCAGGCCCAACATATTCACCAACATTGCCTACAGGTGCAGTACCTGGATCCTTTCCGCCGTTATTACCATTCCAATATGGTGAGGCCATTGTTAAACCAATTAATGCACACGCCAGCACAAACTACAACAACTTATTTTTATTACACTTGTTATATAACCAAGTCTGTCTGTATGTGTATTCTACTCACAGCAAAATATTTCATCTTTTATCGTTCGGTTGATAAACAGAGCAAGCAACGAAGTGACCACACACTAATCTGGAAAATGTTATTTCATGTTCTTATATACGCTCGCTTATCTTGAACGATTCTCATTTGCTGCTTAACGCATTCCAATTTGCACCGTGTACCAAGAAATCTGACAAAACGCGCCACGATTATACGCCGATGAGTTATAGCATGTCGACGCGGAGCAATTATCAATTCTACACACGTTTGCTAATAGAATTGCACATAGGATTCAATTAGAGCGTTGAGTGTTTGACAGAAATGTATTGGCAAATAATTACCATGCAAATATTAACTTTGAACTTGTGGTATTGTAGTCGGAGTATTATTGCAAAAAAAAAAACTTACGCTTGGGTTGAGCTTAGATTTACTCAATAATATACAATGATGTGATGTGATGTTTGTAGGTAGTTGGAATTTCTAAGACTGAGAAAAACAACATCACCAGCTGATGTTTTATTTGGTAGTTATTATGGTGAGCAACAAAGCGTGATACAAAACTCAATTGAAATTGCTATTAAAAGCAACCGGTATGAGGTGATAATTTAAAGTGGCATGAAATTCCTTAATTTAAATTTAAATTAAAGAATGTTTGATTCATATGGAGATCATTTGGTATATGTGCATATTTCGCTACTGCTCGCAATTTCCTCGCATTTTGCATTGTTCGCTTGATTTATATCATTAATAAATAATGAACTTCGTTCATATGATGGATACACATATCCATATAAAGAATGTATTGTAATTATTGCATTAATTTGTCATTATTATTGCAGTAACATATTAAATATACACTAATATTTGAATTTTATTGCCAAAAACGTTCAATATTGACTTTTTTGCAAATAAAATATTTAAAGGTGTGTACTTAAATCTTCGTCACAACAAAACAAATAGGTATTCACTATTATTCACTAGTGTAATAATATATTGTAGGTCACGCCTGTTTCAATTGTCGTCATTTTAGTGACAAAAAATTGTATTTGTTTTGCTTGCTAAATATCATAACCTCAGAAATTGCACCTTTAATTTGCAGCACGCATATTTAAATGTTGTATTAATTTGCATTTATTTTTGCAAAATTATTATGATAATTTATTAAGATTTTTGCCAGGTTTATGTTTATATTGGATTCATATAAGCTATTATTAATAATTTGGTTATATAATCTGGAGACTGCGCAGATCTCGCAAAATAAGTCTTTGTTTTTCCGCATTTTAGTTTGTCAAATAAATAAAGTTCAAGTTCAAACAAAATTTTTAAAATGCAACTTTCACTTGAATTAAAATGTATAAATGCTCATCCGTTTGTAAAATAAAATCAAAACTGATTTGAATCTTTCCAAGACAACATTAAGTTAATATCACTTTCGGTTAGTTTCAAAGATGATTAAACATTTGGTATGTGATAATTTTCATGTAAGACTAATAATGTATAATAATTACAATATTTGTAGGTACTGTTTGTGGTCTTGGTTGTGGTTGCTTTCTTTGCGTCCCAGGTAAATGGTGGAGTTGTTAAGGTGATGGGACCTTATTCCCTACAAGGAGGAGGCCTTGGATAGGGATCAACCAGCACGACCACTACTCCACGCAACGCAGAAGGTTGTCTAAGATTTTCTCTTAAATTTCCTTTGTTTAATAAATAGTATACTATTAAGAAATTATATTTGTAATTTTACTAATTTAATTTTGTTATATTTGGCACCACAAACAATTTATTAAACAAAATGTAAATCAGTCTTCTGTTTAACTACCCAAACAACAAAAACAACACTTTTTCATGGAATTGTGACACATATTTCCTGATCAATCGGAACCACATTTAATGTCAATAATGGCAATGAAACAAACTTGTTTTCTGTGTTGTTATTCTGTAAAATTGATATGTTCGCATCTTCGTCTCGTACCGACAAGGCGACCAATTATTCACAAGTTTAATTGTGACTACCGCCTGTTTTTATTACAAACGAAATGGTGACTTACGTCAAAAACCACTTGAAGCAGCCGGTTTTGCTTTCGTAGATATATTTGTTACCAAATTAATTAAGAAATAATTTAATTGCAATTTTTAAGATCAACTAATTATAGAGTACAAACCATTGTGGTAAAAATTTGTTATTAACAATTAGTATAAGAATAAATAAATAAAAATAAAACGACATCAAAGTAAAACATCGACTGGTAACCCCCCAATGATACTTAATTTAATGTACTGTAAACAACACGCATGAGATTCACGAGGACTATAAAAGTGGTCAGATGTCAGACCGTTGCCATCACATCTCAACCACAACTCCTTGGAACAAACTCAGCAAGAAAAAAAACTTTGTTTAATCATCCAACATGAGCAAATTATTGGTATGTATTTAACCCAACTTTCTTCATTAACCAAAACAAATATATTTATTATTTAAATATTAGGCTTTGTTTGCTGTCCTCCTGGTTGTGACAATGGCGTTTGCTAATCCTGCACCAGAACCAGTGCCTGAAGCTGATCCAGGTTATGGATATGGTCATGGACATGGACACGGTGGATATGGACATGGTGGCTATGGGGGTGGTCATGGCGGTTACGGACATGGTCATGGAGGATATGGACATGGCGGTTACGGACATGGTGGATATGGACATGGACATCATGGTGGACATCACCACTACTAAAATTATTACTAACGTTTAATTTATGAAAATCAATTAATTATGTTGACGTATATTTTGTACAAAATTTCCAGCTTGTAAATTCGCAATAAAAATATTGAATTTAATTTTGTTTATAACATTCATCTTTTCTTGTTCCACTCATGGTGCCATGCTATATACTACATAACTACATCATCATAATTATGCTTGCTATTTATATTTAGCAGTCTTCTCAAAACACGTCAAATCAATTTCACGCTTTTTTAAATAGTAATTGGTTTACAAAAATTAATTTTTAAATCGCCTGCTGTGACTGCTTCAAAAGTTCAATGTAATAAAAAAAGGAAGTGCAAAAACCCCCACACAAATCAATTTGTGATAATTTCTGCTAAATTACTTCCACGTCGATGAGAGCTCTTATAAATAAATGTGCACAGGTAAAATAAAATCAAAACAAACTTGTGCGCTCTTCACAACACATTCGTTCCTAGTAAAGTTCAAGACAACAAAATGAATTCGTTTTTGGTGAGTGAGTTATAATAATTTGCATATTTTTATGTAAACAAATAATTTTATGTGTTTACAACATTATTTTATTTTAGACATTATTTATCGTGCTCTTTGCGGTGAATCTTGCCTTGTCTGAGGCACAACGTTACGGATACAGACCAGCACGTCCAGGAGGTTTCGGTTTTGGTAGTGGCGGTGGAGGTGGACGACCAGGTGGTTTTAATGGTGGATTTGGAATGGGATTCCATGGAGGCTCTGGTTTTGGAGGCGGTGGAGGTGGAGGATTTAGGCCAAGTGGACTTGGAAATGGGGCCGGTGCAGGACCTGGTTTTGGAGGTGGTGGAGGTGGAGGATTTAGGCCAGGTGGCCTTGGAAATGGAGCAGGTGCAGGACCTGGTTTTGGCTCTGGAGGCGGTGGTAGGCCAGGAGGCCTAACCGGTGGACTTGGAAATGGTGCCGGTGCTGGTCCTGGTTTTGGCGGTGGAGGTGGCAGTGGTTCTGGGTTCGGTAATGGTGCCGGCGCTGGTCAAGGACAAGGCTTCGGAGGTCGGCCAGGCCAAGGATTTGGTGGACGCCCAGGTCGAGGATTTGGTGGACGATCAGATTTTGGTCGTTAAACTTTCTGTTATTTTTATTTTTTTTAACAATACTATTTTTTGTTAAATATTATATGAATAAAAATATTATTATTATAATTAATAATATTTGTAATTATTTATAAAAATCCCCAAAAAATGCTCTAGGCAAGATTCAAGTTATCCTATGTTGTAATAAATTGTTTCTATGATTCAATAAATGTTTATTGTCTACCATAACAAAGTTTCATTTAATTGCCTTCAAATTATGTACAATAAAAAGGCATTGCTTTGTTGTGTCAAATTTACATCGCAAAAAAAAACCTGGATAGACCACATGACCAACATCCAATTAGAAATAATGATGTTGGACCATATAAATAAGGGACCTGCTCCAAAGCAAACACTATACCCGTTTGGTAAGCTTCTGAGGCAACATTCAATCCATCAACAAGAATATTTCAACACATCAAGATGGGCAAACTTATGGTGAGCAGTATAAATATAAATATTAATTATTCAAATTATTTATTTTTGATCATATTTTAATAGGCTTTGTTCGTTGTTCTACTTATTGTGGCAACTTTGGCATTTGCGGCACCTGAACCCGAACCAAGACGTGGTTATGGATACGGACATGGGCACGGACACGGGCACGGTGGTCATGGTTATGGGCACGGATATGGTCATGGACATGGTGGTCGGGGCCATGGACATGGACATCATGGATGAAGTAAACTAATCTTCATAAGTTAATTTAATGTTAATATTAAATCTAAATTTGCCTTTTTGATTGAATTTTATATGTTTGTGTAGAATTTTAATTTCAACATGTTTATTAATAAATAATGGAATTTAAAACTGTATATGAAATGTTTTTCTGCTTTATATTATTTGCGTAGCTCATTCAATTAGCAAACCCGTTAATTATTACTTGGACGGTTGAAGTGTTAAAACCTCTACGCATCAATTAAATGAGAATTCCTAGAAAGTAATAAAAGACGGAAAATCGGGGATTAACAAAAACAAATTAATTTACTGCGGCACGCTGTATATCAACACTTATCTAATTAATTATAAACCTATGAACGTTGTTTATTACGTCGATATCAACTTGCCTTGCCTATGAATACGTCATAAGTTTTACACGTGTTTAATTGACCGTGTGAAAAAAAAAACTCAGCAAAGACCACTGCAAACAGAAATTTAAATATGAGTTTGTTTGTACGTTTGTAACGCTTTCATACCAAATCTACTGAATCAATTTTGATGAACTTGGTAAAGAGATACTTTTGACCAAGAAAAAGCAAGTAAACTACTTTTTGTATTAAATATACAAGTTTCAAGGTGTAAAATATGAGATGAAAGATAATATAAAAATTTAAATTAACAATCCTTATTTAGTACCATCGATATAGACATTATGCAAACATTAATTTTATTACCGTAAATCACTTGTTTTCTACGAATTTCTTGACCAAACTAATTAATTGCGGTTTTTAAATTAATTTAATTGTCGTTTGGTCATAAACCACTTCATTTGTATATTTCCTCAGCAAAAACATAAAATTAAGAAATGTTGTGTAAAATATCTTAAAACTGCGTATTGCCTAAATAATTGTAAGATTTCACAACAATTTTTCATTCCAAGGGTTTCTAATGTCCTTAATGTCATTCAAGGTTTAAAACTCAATTGTTTACATAATTAATATCCATTTAATATAATCTTATTCCTATCATCTTCCTACACTTCAACAAGTGCGAAAATTCTTGACATATCCACATACTAGAGAAACAATGGGACCTGAGTGGCATCAATCTTGTCTTTTTGCTCGAGTCTGAATTGTCGAAACTATTGTGTTTACATTTCGACCATCGGCACTTTGTTGTTGAAGCATCCAGCATGAGTAATGCAGGCAATATAAATTATACGAGTGGATACCCTCTTCGTCGCGGTGAACTACTCGCAAGTCGCAAAACAAGGCTGTCGATTTGCGTAAATCACGTATATAAACTTAATTTGAAAACAACACGGTAAAACGGCGACAAATCGCCGTCGGTCGTGGGTTTTTTTCGGTATTGCACTCAAGTGGCCGTTGTGCACCTGTCTTGAATATATAAAAGGACTCCCGCGAACTTTTCGCCACACAGAGAAACAGAATCGCTCAAAAGCAACTTCCCTCGAAAAGTCAGTGTTTTGAAGAAATATAATCAAAATGTCGAAAGCTTTGGTATGTATATTAAAAATATACACGAATACTCTACGCAGGGTAAAATATAGTAAAACTAATTTGATTCATTTAAATTTCAGATTATATTTGCTTTGCTGGTACTTTGTGCAGCGTGCACATTGGCAACACCACTTTTCGGTATTGGTTTCGGTGGATATGGACATCATCATGGTTATCATGGACATCACCACCATCACTATCCACACCACCATCATCACGGATATCATGGGTATGGACATGGATACCACGGGCATGGCTATGGACATCACCATCACCATTGGTGAAGTCTGATATTTCCCAAATTCAAAATGCAATTATTGCGCGTTTTAGTTAATATAAGTCAAATATATTGTATATTTTATCTATAATGTGAACATCGTGGCCAGTATATATCAATGTTTTTAAATCTCATAATTCTATGCTATTAAAATATAAATGAACGCAAACGATACCTGTTTGTAGTAATTAATTTTAATAACTTACTTTATTGATGGGTAATTATATAAGTATAGGAAAAGAAAAGAAAAGCGTTTGCAATAATGAGTGGCCTTATGACATTTTTTTTTAATTTGTTGTTGTGATAATTCACATGCTACTATTCTTGTTTGGCTAAGTGGTTCTGAAGTGCGTGAAGTAAAATTGGCGGTCGCGACATGCTCTTCCTTGAAGGTGGAAATAAAAACGCATAAAAACCGGTTCCAATATGCTTCGTTCTTTGCGAATTGTATGTATTTTGTGTTTTATTATGAAGTGTAGGTACTTGCAATATTACAACGGAATATGCATCGATAGTGCAGTTAACAGTTACTAATAATACAACCTTCAAACTATTTTGATACTATTTGTGTATCAAATGTAAACACTGTGTGATCTTATTCCAAGAAACGCAACGATAACACGATTGATTGAACAAATAAAGCACAAGTTAATACAAATAAGTGCATTGCAACGCCATCTAGGAAAGTATTGAGGAACCACGAATTATTTGTATTCAAATAAGTAAATATGAACAAAGCAATAATAAAATGTAAACTATCAAGATATTGGAGATATTTTAAAAGCATCATGCCTAAAAATAGAGAATTCATTTCTTTTGATCACAGGTTACATATCTGACAATGTTGAGCATTCAATATTTTTCAATAAATTTTAGTTTTAATGAAAATTTCAAATAAACGTACTAAAAAGAAAAAATACTGTTGCAAATTTCCAGATTTAATTCACACAAGTTATCTCGCCGGCCCATCATTCAAAACCACTGGTCAAGTGCGACATTAAAAACAGAATTATTCTGCTATTATTAATTAAAATTGATATACCTATATTCTTGCACAAATATGCATTAAAATTTTTACATTAAAGCTTTATTTTTTATAAATAAACTCATATATAACATAATAAATAAATACAACATAAATTTTAGTATTAAAATATCATTGAATCGTTATAATAAGGAACCTGTCATGAATTACCCACAGAAGTATAACACTTGGTCGTTTCATTAGGATAAATCATAACACAACGATTACACAATCCATTTAACCCTCCCATTCCACCCTCCGGCATGACGTATTTGAACCCGAACTCACTTTTCTCATTCTCGTACTCCCTCAACTGTTGATTACTCTGTGATAGTTCCTCTAAGTCCCAAATATGAACATTCAAACTCTTCCCTTGTTTCGCAATTACAAACAACCCCGCATAGCTCTCTACGATCCCGAAAACTATTGCCCAGTGCGCTTTAAACCCACCCTTCATGATTGGCGTGTGGTTTTTGTCGCAATCATAGGGTACTAATAATGTACCGCCAGACATAAGAAAATCAACGAGTTTTGGTACGTTCAAAGACCCGGCGTGTATCTCGATTGTACTCTCAGGGATGAACCTCATTGCCAGTGAGTACATGTAGTCCACACTGAACATCTCACCAAGGTTAGTCATCCCTTCCTTATTGGCATAGGTGAATATCTCCGCTACTTTTTCTTTTGACGGGGTGGCAGTGCACATTGCCAAGGCGACAAGTCCGCATTGTGGGCCTTGTTGGGTGACACTAGGGATGATCTTGATACAATAGCGATCTGGGTCGCTGAGTTCAAAGCGACCATGTGCCCTGCAGACTAGTTGCAGGTCTGGATAGTCCGAGCACCAGGTAAATGCCATTTTGATTGATTGTTTCAAAGCTTATCACAAATATTTATTATTTACAGTACTAATAAGGTATGAAGTAAAGTGATAAATGAAATATGGTATAGTTTATCACAGTCTAGTCTTTCTACTGAGTACTTTACTTCAATTTTAAGGTTATAAGAGAATAAGGTAAGTTATTCTTATTCACATTTAAATTTAAAAGTTTAGTAACACGAATTTATATCATGCTCATAGGGTAATATAATTACTATTTATGTATTTTAGCGATGGCTGAGAAAACTACGAAATTCTGTGTCGGCAAAGATGCCTTTGAAAGAATGAATTATTTGTTTCAATTGAGTAACATGTGTGCAACAGGTCAAATACAAAACTCTGAAGTGGCTGCAAGATTCTATGCTCATCAATTGATTGCTATTTCAAAGAAAACAGTTCAAAGAATGTAAGTGTAAATCTAATTGAAAAATTTTTTATATTAATTTTACTATTTTTGATTCAGAGAACCAGCAATTAAAAGGAAAATATGCAAATCATGTCACCAGTATTTGGTTCCTGGTAAAACATGCAAAATTAGAGTGAAGAAAAAGTTGTAATCCATAAATGCATGCTCTGCCATTGTGAAAAACGTTTTCCAGCTACACCAGATTATCTTTTATGGAATGAAACCCCTGAATCTATGGGTGAATTACTAGATTACAGAAATAATGATACAAATGAAAGCCAACCAAAGACTAAAAAAATCAAAATGGCTGATGATTCCAATATAACAAAACAAAATAAGTAGCAATACATTTTTGAATGTCACTGTTTGACAACACTCATTTTACACATACCTCTATCAAAGTTGTGGTTTAAACCTTCTGATATTTATAATAAACTAGACCAAAAATAAAGTAAAAATGTCCTATTTAAGTAGACTCCTAACACGAAACACCAATTTTTCTGGCATCTCAATCACCTCAAAGTATTTCTACACTAATTTCGCCCACAAACCAATAAACACACCAATAAAACTCATGTGTCCATTCAAGCCAATCCAGATATCAATATCGCCATTTACAACAATCCGTCTTAAACCAACCAAACAAGACGATTTCATTGAGCCTGGAATTATGGAGCATGACAAATACAACGCATGCCTTAAGCGTCCACTGTCGCCACATATTCGAATTTATAAGAAACAACTAACAAGCTTGCTATCATTTTGTCATCGGTTGACTGGACTTATGATGGTATTCTACGTTTACGTTGTGACTGCTGGGACATGGATCTGGCCTGATATAACTACGTTTTACGACTATTTAGAAACTTTGGATATCTACACAGGGGAATATTGGTGGACAGCCGCACATAGAACTGTCAAGTTTTTGGTAGCTTATCCATTTTGCTACCATGCTTTGAACGCAATCCGACATCTGAGCTGGGATTTCGGGAAGCTATTGGGAATGAACCAGATTTATTCAAGCGGGTACTTCATGCAAGCAATGGTGATTGTTTTTGCGTTGGCTTTGGTATTCCTAGTTCCGTTTGACATGGGTGAAACGGAAGAGGAAACCGCTGAAGCCACTGCTCCAGTTAAAGATGCCAACAAAAAAGAAGTCCAGGTGGATGCACAGAAAGATCCAAAGAAACCTAATTAAATATTTCATGAATAAATTCATGTTTATTATTTTTTTTCGCCTTTTATGATTATTTCTATTGTAAATTGTTTTTGGCAGACATCCCGTTGTATTATAACTATAAAGAATCTCCTGTTCAGCTGGTGCACTATTAAGAGATGAAATAATTCCCTAGTCTTACTCTAGTTTTTCTCAAAATGCTTAATTTTTGCTTGAAGAGTTGTTGAAGCTCTCTACCAGTATATAAATTAAGTTGGCCGTTGACATTTTTCTTTAAAATCTACATCATTTGCTGCATTAAAGCAATCAATGTTAACGATACTTTGTTTGGACAAACTGTAACAAGAATACGTACGGGAAAGCTTATTTTTAATACCCATGAATTACAATATTTGATACTACAAAAAGACCGCCTCGACAATTTACCTTGTTTCTTTATAAAGGGTTCTGACATTTTCGAAAATTAGCCAAACTTTAAATATCTTGTCGCGCACTCCTGCCGGAAAATCAAATATTTTTAGGTTTGATTACTGAATCATACATAGAACGACTTGTAGCAAACAGGTCCGTATTTACTTACATTTTAAGTAAGCACATCTACTGGTTTGCTAGATAACTATGTACATCAGGTTTGAAAAACATTTACATTAGTTTGCAATAGTGATACACACGAGTATATATCGTTTAACCATTTCAGACTTATTTAAATCTTGACATCTCGATATAAACTATTAATATTTACATTTTCGATCAATTTTAAACACTTGAAGCCACTGAAGTGCCAAGATGCATGTTTTATGACTTGCATAATTCATTTGAAACATACGCGATAAAAGGTCAATTTTAATCATTTGTAGTAACGAAAATTATTTCACGTCTCATAACTTCAATCAAGTTGACTGCCCCCCACTCTACTCGTAATGTACACAACGTTAGGAAATTAATTTGAACTTGAAACCCACCTTGGTGTGGATCAATATGTGTACCTACGCAATAGCTCAGTCTATGTACTCAGTATACTATGAAGCTTTGTACGCAGCGTTCCTAATTTTGAGGATGTTTTAACCTTCGGAATTTACTATAAACAACATCACTATGCTGTTAATAATATTAATTCTCGCGGCTCTTGGGCTTCTCTGTTACTATTTTTTGATAAAACCACAACTTTATTGGAAGTCTAAAAATGTAAAACAGGGCCCACCGATTCCTCTCTTAGGAGACAGCCTTAAAATGGCTTTCCGAGTGGAATCAACAACTGAAATGGCTTTAAGAGTCTATAATAGATTTTCAAATGAACGGTAAGTTCTGATTCCTATTTATAGATCAAACAAATACCTAAATATTTACTTCATATTTATAGATATTCGGGAATATATCAAACCATAATACCAACATTAATTCTGCGTGATCCGGAATTAATCAAACAAATAACTGTAAAAGATTTTGACCATTTCACGGATCACATCCATGTACCCACAAATGACATTGAACCGATATTTAGTCAAAATTTACTATTTTTAAAAGGCGGTTGATGTTTGAACTGATGGATACATCCGCCAAGCAGTATGTTGATTATTTTTTAAAACAGAACAAAAATGTAGTTGAACATGAGTTGAAGCAAAGTTTTACACGTTTTGCAAATGATGTGATTGCAAATTGTGCATTTGGCGTTACAGTAGATTCATTAAATGAACCAGATAATGATTTTTTCGCAAACAGCAAAGCTTTAACCAATGTTAATGGAATTCGGTCGACAATTGTAAGCATGATAGTGATGTTTTTGCCAAAATTGGCTTCGGTAAGTTGTAAGATAAATATTCTGAATATAAAAATACTAACACATGTATTAATTTGTTACTAGTTTCTTCGTTTAACCCTATTTCCAAGAGCAACAACGGAGTTCTTCAGGAATCTATTCAAAAACTCTGTAAAAATGCGTATTGAACAAAACATTGTTCGTCCCGACATGATACACATTCTAATGGAAGCGCAGAAGGGACTTTTACAGTCAGAAGAAAATCAAGCAAAAGAAGAAATTACTTCTGATTCTGAAGGCGTTAATAAAACACTTCTAACAGAAGAAGAAATGGTCGCACAAGTTCTAATATTCTTCTTCGCTGGTTTTGAGACAATATCCACCGCAGCAACGTATTTCTGCTACGAATTAGCCGTAAATCCCGATATACAAGACAAACTCCGCAAGGAAATTGACGAAGCAAATAGAGAACACAATGGAAAATTATCGTACGACGTTCTTAAAAAGATGAAATATTTGGATATGTGTCTTTCAGGTATAGTACCTATTAATATTATTTTATTACGAATTAAAATAACTGATTGATATTTTATCTTTAGAAAGTCTAAGGATACATCCACCAGTTCCTTTTATTGATAGAATATGCACGAAACCGTACACTATTGAACCTGTAATGGCGGACGAAGAACCTTTGCACTTGACACCCGGTGAAGTGTGTTGGTTGCCTATTGCTGGGTTACATCACGATGAGAAATATTTTGAAAAATCAGAAAAATACGATCCGGAGCGATTTTCATATGAAAATATTGCTAATATTAATCCGTACGCGTATATTCCTTTTGGTTCAGGTCCAAGAACATGCATCGCGTCAAGATTTGCTATAATGGAAGTCAAGGCGCTAGTTTTAAATATTTTAAGTAAATTTGAATTGGTGGTCATCGATAAAACTACTATTCCTTTGAAATACGATCCAAATATTATGAATCCTGCGATTCTTGGAGGTTGCTGGATTGGTTTCAAGCGAAGAGAGTAAAAAGAGACAAAATGGCTGTCTTATTTTATATTTTGTGAATGTAACCTTTTGCATGGATTAATTTGACCAAATAAAACTAATAGATATGTATATTATGATTACAAGCGCGTAGAAAAGGACCTTGGAATATTGTATACAATAAAAACTGTTTGTTTAAAATAAAGCCGAACCTGTATAAAATATTGTTGACGCAGCGCTTGCGCGATTCGCGCACCGCTATTTCCCTTTTTCTCTCTGTCGTCGTGACAGTTTATCAGCGATCGCTCGTGTGCTCTAGCTCCTGCTGTGTTGTGTGCGTGCGACTAGAATATGGGCGACAACGTGGTCGAAGCAGTCGAGAAAATCGACCTCAACAAAGAGGAAAAGGCATGAAATAACTTTTATTACTTATCAACTTGCAAAACTCGGGATGATGTTCAAAGTTTTGAGTTCAATCACTTCACAAAAACGCGTCTATCCAGTGTTACGGCAAACATACGCGACACTGGTAATGATACGCACCTGGCTTACCTGATGCAATATTAATCATAGGTTGCAAATATTGCCGGTAAGGTTAGAAACTAATAACACGATTTATTTTCGATTATAGGCAAAAATGAAGAAGGAAAAGAAAACAGCTGCGGCCGGAGGCGGTGATAAATCCGCAAGTGTCAGCGAATTAAAGCCCTGGCCTCAGTTCATTCAAGACCGGCTTGTGCTTTGGGACAAACTCAAAGCACAGTATGATGAAGAGTTGGCTAACAAGCCACAGAATCCCATTCAGGTGACACTACCTGATGGAAAGGTGATTGATGCCACTTCATGGAAGTCTACACCTTACGATATTGCTAAGGGTATTAGGTGAGTGTAATATTTTACTATAACTAGGCTAGTAGTAAAATACTATGCATTTCATTGCATTCTATTACAAAGTATTAAAGACTGACTCACTTTCAATTTATTAATGCCCATTCCAGCCAAGGTTTAGCTGATAATGCAGTAATTTCTAAAGTAAATGGCGTACTCTGGGACTTGGATCGTCCGTTAGAAGATAGTTGCAAGTTAGAATTGCTTAAATTTGATGATTCTGAAGCCCAGGCCGTATTTTGGCACTCATCTGCTCATGTAATGGGCGAAGCTATGGAGCGCATTTATGGCGGCCATCTTTGCTATGGCCCCCCGATTGACTCGGGCTTTTACTACGATATGTTCCTTGAAGATAGGAGTGTAATGCACAGCGACTATCCTTGCATGGAACATGTAATCAAGGGAATCGTCAAAGAGAAACAGAATTTCGAACGTCTTGAAATGAAGAAAGAAGATTTACTTGAAATGTTCAAGTATAATCAGTTCAAAGTGCGCATTTTGAACGAGAAGGTGACAACACCAACCACAACTGTTTACCGTTGTGGACCACTGATCGATTTATGTCGCGGCCCACACGTGAGGCACACAGGAAAAATCAAGGCAATTAAAATTACCAAAAGTTCTGCTTCCTATTGGGAAGGCAGAGCTGAAGCTGAGAGCTTACAGAGGGTTTACGGTATTAGTTTTCCCGATAACAAGCAGCTTAAAGAGTGGGAGAAATTCCAGGAGGAAGCTGCCAAGCGCGATCATCGAAAAATTGGCAAAGTATGACTTCAAAAGTAAAAATAATCTTAATTTAAATTATCACTGACCTTATTTATTGTTACAGGATCAGGAACTGTTCTTCTTCCATGAACTGTCACCAGGATCTTGCTTTTTCCAACCGCGTGGCGCGCACATTTACAATACACTGATTTCGTTTATTAAAAAGGAATACCGAAAACGCGGTTTTCAAGAAGTAGTTTCACCGAATGTCTATAACGCGAAGTTGTGGCAAACGTCCGGTCACTGGGCACATTATGCTGTAAGGAAAACAAAAATTTATATTAAAAGAGAGTATTAACACTTTGATATTATTTAAAGGAAAACATGTTTCAATTCGACGTTGAAAAGGACACGTTTGCATTGAAACCTATGAATTGCCCAGGGCATTGCTTGATTTTCGACAACCGTACACGCTCATGGCGTGAGTTACCGCTTCGTTTAGCTGATTTCGGTGTTTTGCACCGTAATGAACTTTCTGGAGCTCTCACCGGTTTGACAAGAGTCAGGCGTTTCCAACAGGATGATGCTCATATTTTCTGCGCGGTTGAGCAAATTCGATCGGAAATCAAAGGGGCATTGGACTTCTTAAGACATGTTTATGGTATTTTCGGCTTTACGTTTAACCTGGTATTGTCTACAAGGCCAGAAAAGTATTTGGGAGAGTTGGAAGTTTGGAATGAAGCTGAGAAAGTAAGTGTTTCTTAAAGAGAACTTAAACAAATACTAAAATAATAATTTATAGGCTTTGGAGGATTCCTTAAACGAATTCGGTGATCCATGGAAACTCAACCCTGGTGATGGAGCTTTCTATGGTCCTAAAATTGATATTACTATCATGGATGCACTGAAGAGGTCGCATCAATGTGCTACGATCCAGTTGGATTTCCAATTACCGATTAGATTCAATTTGACGTATGTTAGTGAATCTGGTGATAAGAAACGTCCTGTGATTATCCACCGCGCTATTTTGGGCTCTGTTGAACGCATGATAGCCATCTTGACAGAATCTTACGCAGGCAAATGGCCGTTTTGGCTTTCACCACGCCAAGCAATGGTAATCCCAGTAGGTCCTACCTATGATTCTTACGCTCAAGAAGTCAAACAGTTGATTTATGAAGCGGGTTTCATGTGTGAAGTCGACACAGATGCCGGTGATACCATGAATAAGAAGATTCGTAATGCACAATTGGCACAGTTCAATTTCATTTTGGGTAATTATTACTAAACTAACTTTTGTACTAATTGAACTAACTAATCTTGTATTTATTTAGTTGTGGGCGAAAAGGAGAAATCAAGCAAAACTGTGAATGTTCGCACACGCGATAATATTGTTCATGGCGAATGTTCCATCGACGACTTGATTAAGAAGTTCGATAACTACAAGGAGAACTACATCAAGACCGAAGATCAATTCTAAATGAATTCTATACCGCTTGCTCGGAGGTTTCGAAGTTTTCGAATATAATAAAATTTTAAACTTATAACGTACACGTGCACTTTGATATTTGGTTTGAAATTTTGAATATTTGAGAGAAAGACAGAGGCCATTCCCAGTTGCATTGATAACTTAAGTTATTTATTGTTGCATTTTTTGCTTTAACATATAAATTACTTTGTATTTGGTAGGGCAATTGTCTAGTAAAAAATAAAACGTTTGAAAAACATAATAACAAGCATTACTCAATTGAATTGCTTTATTGAATCCTGATTAAAGTAATTGAAACCAAGAAAAATTATTTGAATTCCACTTGAATATTTTCAAATTTACAAAAGATAACCTTAAAGCGACATTCACTAGCCAAACATTGCATCCATCACCTATACATTTGTTATGAGATATTCCATTCCACATACATTCACAACACTGTCTAAACTTTAAATCAATTTAAATTTAATTATTTCTGAACAATGGCTGCGGGCAAAGTTGCGGCTGGTTTTGTAATTTTTAGAAGATTCCATAGTAAAGTAGAATACCTTTTACTACAGACTTCATATGGCATTAATCACTGGACACCACCAAAAGGTACAAGTTTGAAATTATGATACATGTACTGCAATAAATTGGCTTCATTTGCTTTAGGACATGTTGATCCAGGTGAAACTGAATGGGAAACAGCACTAAGAGAAACAGTTGAAGAATCAGGACTTGTTGAGAGTGATTTAAAGTTCTATAAAGACTGCAAGAAGGTCTTAAACTACCCAGTGAATGGCAAACCAAAGAAAGTCATCTACTGGCTTGCTGAACTTGTTAACAAGAATGCCCTGGTGAAACTTTCTGATGAGCATCAAGCTTTTGAATGGTTGCCATTTGACAAGGCATGTGAATATGGTTCATTCAAAGATATTGTTGATACTTTTAAGGAATTTGATACATACATTACTAATAATTGTGCTTGAAAATAGTATATTATTGTGAAATAATAAAAATATTCCGTATTTAACCTAAAGTTTGGTTAAGTTTGGTGTTGCGACATTCATTAAATACTATATATCGCCCTGTATATAAATACTGCGCTGTTGCCAAACGTATTTGATATTCCCCTCAAATCGGTAGAAAAGAAGGGATGAAATAAAATGCCCTTGAGAAGATGACATCAGACTGTCAGCTTGTCCAAAAATTCTTGATTTCGTCTGGTTAGTCATAGTTGGTCACAACATTTATGAATTACGCAGATTGCCACGATCGACCGCACGTCCTAAATAAAGTGATCACCATTTCGAAGTGATACACGACTGCCGTTGAAGAAAATCGAGCAAAATGAGTTTCTTCGGAAAGATCTTTGGCGGTAAGAAGGATGATAAAGCGCCTACGACTGGCGAAGCTATCCAAAAACTCCGAGAGACTGAGGAGATGCTCATCAAGAAACAGGAGTTCCTCGAGAAGAAAATCGAACTAGAAATTACGACGGCGAAAAAAAATGCATCCAAAAATAAAAGAGGTAACCAAATCAATAATTTTATCTTTGTTCAAGATAAATGCCAGTAAAAATGAAACTTTATCTTGAAATCAATTGTTTACAGCTGCCATTCAGGCGCTCAAGAGAAAGAAGAGATATGAGAAACAGTTACAACAAATTGATGGAACGCTCAGTACTATTGAAATGCAGAGAGAAGCTTTGGAAGGTGCTAATACCAATACTGCAGTGCTTACAACAATGAAAGATGCTGCAGATGCTCTCAAAGCTGCCCATAAACACATGTAAGTAGACAAATTATACTTTATAAAACCATACTTAATAATTTCATCATTAAAATGAGATCTAAGTGACCTTCAAGTTGTAAAACATGATTTTACATTGTGTATTTTTAATTACAGGGATGTTGATCAAGTACATGACATGATGGATGACATTGCTGAACAACAAGATGTCGCTCGAGAAATTTCCGACGCCATTAGCAACCCCGTTGCGTTCGGTCAAGACGTGGATGAAGACGAGCTCGAGAAAGAATTGGAAGAATTGGAACAAGAAGCGCTTGAAGATGAACTTATCAAAGTTGGGCCAGCTGCTGATGATCTACCAGCTGTTCCTGAAGGAGAAGTCGTTAAACCAAGACCAGCCAGTAAGAAATCAATAAAATACTAATATTTCCTTCTTCTAATCTATACTTTGATGTTATTTTTAAACAGAAAAAGTGGAAGAAGACGACGATATGAAAGAATTAGAAAATTGGGCGTCGTAAACCAGTCAATATCGAAATCCGGATGTCAGTGTTTGTTGGAGAGTTATCTAGCGATATAAAAACATTTAAACTGCAACAGAACTCGTCGAGTTGTCACGTGGCATACATTTAAATTTGCACATAAACCGCCTATACATAAACTATTTTAATATTAGAACTACATTTAATGGAAACTACGTTTTTTTTGGTATTTGAAATTTGAAGATTATGCAAACCAGGATGATATACACAAAACGAATGCTAATTATTGATTAATCAAAATAAGCTTTTTTAATATTGTAAATACGATTAATTGAATTGTTGAGAAGGTTATTAAATGAAAAGAATTGTCAAAGATATAAAAATAAACGCAAAATGTAAAAGTTGAGCAGGGAAAAACCAAGTAAGTGAAAAAAGAGTTATCGTCACCAGATTATAGAAAAATAATGAATAATATTTTTATAAACATAAGTTATTATCTAATTAATATAAATATTCATTGAGAATCGTATTGTCTTAGTAGGAATATTGTACTTGTCAGGTTCAACTTGACTTCAGTCGATTGAAATGGCAAATGGCGCGTCTTTCGTTTTAATTAAGTGGAAGTATTTTGTTTATTATTATTTTTGATGAATAAATATACATGATAGCTAATTGACTTTGTTTAGTTTATTAATCGTTTGTATGTTTCTAAATCGCAAATTGTATCAAATTTCAATGATTAATTTAGTACAGTCAGTCTTTGTGCGCGCTACTTGCATATAAACATGTCACCTAGCTTAACTTACTTCATTTAACGTCGTGATTGCACAATGAATTCAAGACGCAATAAGTTTTTCCAGAAAGTCTTTGGTAGTAAGAAAGATGACAACACACCTACTACAGGGAGACTAATTCAAAACCTCCGAGAAACGGAAATATTACTAATCAAAATTCAAGAGATTCTCTTGGATAAAATCGCACAAGAAATTATTACAGCAAAGGAAAATGCTTCAAAAAATCGAAAAGGTAATGAAATAAAAACTTTGTTATTTCTTAAAATTAAAAATTATTTCGTGAATTTGAAATGAAATTACCTGATCATAGGTGCAATACAGGCATTAATAAGAAAGAAAATATATGAAAAACGGTTACAACAAATAGATGGAACTATTCATACAATAAGAAAGCAGCGGAGAGCACTAGAAGTTACCAAAATATCACCACTAACGTGTCTGTTACCTGGAAGGATTTTCCCAATGCGACAATCGCATAATAATAGTTAGTATAAAGATGAGAATACGAAGTAATATTTTGTCAAAAGACTACATTATTGTATTTATATGCTTGTAATCATGGTTAAATGTGCTAATATTTGTCTTTCCTCATAAGTTTTGAAGTTCAAGTGGCCATACTTAGATTTATTAGTATCTGTCGCCGTATTTGTACTTTATTTATATCTACTCTGTTGAATCATGTTCACGTTGCAGTTTTTCACTGTGTATTCATTGTACGAAAGCGATCCCGACAATAAACCGTAATCTAAACACAAAGTGCAGCGAATGAAAAAGATAAATTTGCATGTAACGTAATTCGTGCTCGAGCCGCGGATTAATCATTCCACATTCACATTCGGTATTCACATGAACTTTCATTGAATTTCATGACCTGATGAGATTACAATAAAAAATATCATTTGTGCTTCGGTAAAGTGAAGTTAGCGTTTATTTTGGTTTAAAATCTAAAGTAATAAAAGTGTAGCTATAGGTTTCGTGTGTTACGTATTCAAACGGTTTTGAAATTGCCTTTTCACCTACAACCACTCCAACTTGTGACAAGTGTGCAACGAAAATACAAATGGAAGCAGAAACAGGTTAGAAACCTTCAATAATCGACGATCAAACGTCATTTTAACTAATTTCACCTGAAAGTATTTTCGTGCAATAGATATTAAATCATGTTTTCTTTTTGGAAAAAAACAGACAAGAAGAGTACACCTACTAGTCCTACTAGCATACAAAAACAAGACTTGGATAAAGATGCAGAAGAATTAAAATACACTGTTTATGGTAAAACCAAGAAACAAAACAATGTAACAAATAAACCATGATGAATTATTGTCATTTTAGATTTTATAAGAACAATCAAAGATCCAGAAAAGCCAAGCACATTGGAAGAACTGAATGTTGTCTATGAAGAAGGAGTTTTTGTAAGTTAACTTACATAAGAACAGCAGTTCTACTTAAATATTGGAACTGTTTGTGAATTTTATAATTTTTGAAGATAAAAGGTACAACACCTGGTAACACAAGCATAGTCAGAGTTGAATTCAATCCAACAGTGCCACATTGTTCATTAGCAACCCTAATTGGTCTCTGTATTCGAATAAAACTGGAGAGAAGTATTCCATACAAGTTGAAGTTTGATATTTATATCAAGAAAGGTGCCCATGCCACAGAAGAAGAAAGTAAGGAATGGTGAACAAATTATTGTTCAAATTGGTTCAACTTCTTTGTGGGCATATCTAATTGAATGTTTGTTTTTAGTTAATAAACAAATTAATGACAAAGAAAGAATAGCTGCAGCCATGGAAAATCCCAAGTTGAAAGAAATGGTTGAAAGTTGTATCAAAGAAGAAGATTAATCCATCAATCAGTCAGATTGAATTTCAATGTATTAATATTATGTACTATATTATTGTTGCCATGCCAAACTTGGCATTTTTTTAATTGTAGAGTATGATGAGGTGATTTTGTTATAGACATAGATTATAAAGAAATGTTTGATGTAACAGAAGCTGTTACAATGACTGTTAAGAACAACTTTGTACTTGAATAAAATATTCATAATTAAATGCATCTGTTTCAATTCTCAATTGCAATTGGCGTTTATAAAGCAAATAACATTTTAAATGAAGTTACTTTGTTTATTGCGCGATGCTCTTGCAGAAATACGAATTTGTGAACATGAACTACATTAAACTATAAACATAGGCCTGGTGTAACAAACTACCTGGCCGTTAGCGCGGCGTTTGACAAAAAATGGCCGTTGTTAAGTTTGGTAACGCCGATAAAGAAAAATTGAAATATATGGTTTCTCTGCATTGTTTTTAACATTGAAATCATGCTAGCATGCTGAAAAGCAAAGAGCCTTACCTTAAATTTCGTAAACACAACTTGGTTGTTATAAAATACACACTTATCACAATAAACAATTCGCGTAAAATAACACTTGTCCACTTTGCACAAATCGCACCAACATTCTTAACGAAATCAAATAATTGCGGATTGTTAGAAATTGAATAAGCATAGTTCAACCTTCGCTCATAGATGTCACTACCAAAACCAATTTGAAAATTTATCCTTTTTATTTTATAAATTTACACACTTATTATATACTTATTTAAGTATATTAATAATTTTGTTATTATAAGAGTAAATAATAACATAAATAAAATACACAAACTGCCTTGTTTTTAATATTATCTCACTAATTTATAAAAATAAAAATAAATTCGTAATTTTTAAGATCACAAGATGGCGCAATGTATGTCAAAATAAATTAAATATAAAGTCAACAAAAACTTGTTTGTTTTGATTTATAAAACTTATCATAACATTACAAAAAATGCCTTACACTTCAAATCTTTATCAGATAACGTTGTAAACATCAGAGTTTGAATAGTAAATGCAATATTTTTAATACGTATTTTATTGTATTGTCGTGCATGTTTAACGATTCAAGTTTAAAACATTTTATTTCATGACGTTAATTGAATTAGAAAGACATTAATAACATTGGCATTCCATCGTGTGACTCGCCGGTTCATTGTTAATTTAATAGGTCGTAGTGGCTTTGCATTGCTTGGCGTTTTTGCATTTTGCACGTTCCGTCCGCAGCTTCGTGGCCCATTTCAGGTCAAAGGTGACGGCTGATCGCCCGAATCGTTCGCTTCTGAGCATTCAGAGTCGTTTTGCTCAGAGGTTTGCTTTATTTGGTTCCTTGGCGTCGTCTGCATACACTCCAAGTCCAAATTTGCAAATTGTTGTGGACAATGGACGTAAACCACCAAGAACGAGCAAACAATAGATGTCTTTCATCTTTAGAAGTGTTATGACAAAAATAGTCAAGTGGTAAACCAATAATGGTACCACAAAGGGAAATAAAAGAGCAAATAAAATGAGATTATGCTTTTGAAGGTTTAGTAGATGTGAAAAATAAAATTCGATTCAATTCAAGTCAAAGTCATTGCAAAAACGATCTTAAAATTTATATTGCGGAGAAAGCTATCGATGGCACATGAATGAAATATCTTAAAAGTGCTCAGGGCAGTCAAGATGGTCGTGAAATCATGAATCTTCTTAAATGAGTCATGAGACAATAAATCCTATAATTTAAAACGTCATAAACAACATTTACTTGATTATGCACGTTCAAATATCTAAATAATTGATCGAAAATGTAATGATTCTTAGTTTTGCATTAGAACATATACAGAACTCAAAAAGCAATTAAAATGAAGAGTTCACGTAGTTTTGTAGTAGGGTAGACTGGGTACGGTAGTACCAGGGGGGCGGTAGTACCAAAGCAAATATCTCGTGAACAGTTGAGCACAGCCCTATGCGTTCAAGGAGTGATAGTAGCCGCATACAAGTTGAAGTATGTAAGTTGTAAGTTGAGTCACACAAAGCCAGTTACACGCGTGTAGGACGTGTTTTTGATTTTTTGAGATCAAAAGTAAATATTTGATGATGAATTGTTTTTAGTTTTTAAATCTTGTCTTGCGTGTTACATTATACGTGTGTGTTTATTGAAAATAAATGGTTTTTGAAGAATAAAGGTATGTTAATCAAATTCTTGTATCTCTATTATTTTTTTTATTATTAAATATAATTTGGAAAATGTCCACATGGGGACGGTTGTACCAAATAATATGGGGACAGTTGTACCGGTATAAACGACCCCATGCCTTGTATTATTTTAAAGTAAAATTTCTTTTTCTTTCTAAACGTAAAACGTTTGCTTTATATTAGATGCCACGAGTACGTATTCGCAAAACAGGAAAAGGCCAACATGATGATAGCGCTTATATCAATGCCTATGAGTGTATATTGAGTGTTAGAACTGGGCTCATGGGCAATGCACTGACGGAGAACCCAGCTACGTATGCAATAATTGTGATTCCAACTAATTTTATTGTTGCACACATAGCAGGACATTTAAGTATAATTTTAAAAGTGTTTTCTTTATTGTAATAAATAAGTTTTATTTCTGTATGGTACAATCGACCCCACCCCCTGGTACAACCGTCCTGAGGTCTGAGGTCGGTTGTACCATTTCTCACCCACAACAAAATTTAGATTTATGAAGGTACTTGTAACCTTGAGGGATTAAAAATATGGGCAAAACGTAGCCAGATGATTAGGCATTAAACTATGACAAGTACCATTGGGCTAAGTAAAATCCTATTAAGCCTACAGGCAAAAATCTAAAAAATGGTACAACCGTACCCAGTCTACCCTACATGCGTGGAATCCACGTGAATCAAGAATGAAATCGTTACATAAAGCATCTCTGGCGGTCTGGCGGTCAGCCAACATTCCACATATTAAAGACTTGACCAATTTCGATGGATTAAACGACGAGGCGGCAAAAAACCCACAAGCAACGCATGAATTCACAAAGTGGACTTGAAGAATTTTGATCTTCAGATGTGCAAAAATGCAGACTTCAATTTTATGTTCAAGACAGATAAACTTTCGTGTTTTCGACAATCAATGTATCACATATAGTCATAAAATTTCGAAGAATTATATTTTCACAACACTTTGAAATATTTTGTAACATAAAGTTAATAAAGTCAATAAAATCAATCATGAATTAATCACTAGTTCAACTTTAAACTGAAACATTAATTATACCATTAGAAAATCATTATTGCTACTATATTAATGAAATATTCACTTGTAACATCGGCTTACAAAACCTAAAATGTAAAATTTATGGTTTTTGTTTGTTGAAATGTTGTTTATTACCTTTATGACCGTAAACTATGCAAAGTAAACAGGTTGTTTTGATATTACTTAAAGTCTTTAAGAATTGATTGGTTATTATGTCGGTAATAATATTGTAATGCAATATTTATTGATTATATTAGTAATCTTTGACTACATAAAATTCAAAAACAAAGTTTTACTGTTGATGAGGTGAATTTTTGACAGTTTACACGTTTCACAAACGATTGACAACGTTTAACTAAAGTTTACCATGTAACGCTGTAACGTTTTACGATTTTCTAATTTTATGTAATTCGTAATTTGCAATCCTTATTCGTAAATAAACTGTACATTTATGTAATGATTGATTTCCGTTTGAATAAATCACATATTCGATTGAATTCGATTTAAAGGTTTGGCTCCTAAAAATATGACCCGTAACTTATAATACAATATAAAACTGCTTAAAATGTATTGTATATTGATGTGTTGATAAAGAAATTCAGTTAAATATAGTAATACGTATGTAGGAAATATGTTAACAAGTTTAAGGCAACATTTGTTGTGGTTTTTGCATTGTTTGACTCTTTAGAGCCTCATTGACTCTTTTGACTCGTTGAATCTTTGCAAATATTGCGTGTGCATGAAGTCAAACCCAAAAACGCAAACAAAAATGAAGATGCAAAGACGTGAAGACCTTAAAACTTTCCTTCGCTCTTTATTTTCACTTTCTTTGAGCTTTTTTGCGTTTGCTTTTTACTCTTTTTGTTGATGCTTTCTTTTGTGATGAAAGAATTTCTTACTGCGTACGTTATGCAATGGTTCAACATGCAGATATGTTCATAATGTTGGGAATTTTACAAATGTTACTAGTTTAACAATATATTACGAGATTTACGTGCGTAAAAATTTAATTTTATCTTCATTTTACTATATGCATAAAAATACGCAAGTTTTTTTATGATTATTTGCAATAAAAAATTTTAAACTTTTAAAATATAAAAACTTAATATAAAAAACTTATTTTAACATCGTTTATATTACATTTAATTTTTCACACGTACTGAACATGCTTATTAACAACATTTTGACATTTACACACCTCTATTGTTGTTACTACACACATTACTACATTTATAAGACAGCGACTCGTCGATTTTATCATCGCGCACATCGTACACATGCTTATTAACGAAATGTTATATCAAATTAATAATTTCAGCAACAAAAACGATTCTTAATATAGCAAATGCCTTCCAGCTAGACAAAATCGTTTAATGAATAACACTTTTACGATTCAACAAGTTTATGTACACACTCATTCAGTAGAGAGTCCAAGATTGAATGAATACATTTTTGATTGATCAACAACTAAATCAATATGTGAAATATTTAATTTTTGTTGAACGCGTCACGTCAGGTCATTTTCATCTAAGTTAAGCATAAATTTTAAAAATGATAACATAGATAACTGGCGAACCAATTTTATCATTTTATTTTCAAATCGTTTGTTCCCCTTACTCTTAGCGCCACTTGAACCCGAACCTAAAGGACTAGAAGAATAGCTACGGGTTAGCTACCCGCAAAAAGTGGTGGGGGTTGGTGCGACTTCACAGGTACCTAGTTGGTTGCTCATAAGGATACGTGGTGTAAGTAGCTGTAAAAATGGTATGTGCATAAGAGGGGGAAGTTATTATTTGGTTAAAATTACAATTTTTAAAATTTTTCTGCTCTAAAATTTTATATAAACTTACTACTAACTATGAATCAGTATATTTGTATGTTTGTAAATTTCAAGAAGTTTAAACACTGAATTTCGGCAATGATGTGTCTATCTACGGGTATATACCGATTGCAA